CTTCCTTCGCCGAGCCTAAACTTCTCCGAGAAAATTACACGTACATTGCCCACATATTTGATATGTGCTCCGGGATAACACAATTCTGACAACAGACTTCTATGCTGAACTGAATGACCAAGATATTCCCACTCTTGCAAACGCCATTCTTCAAATGCCATTCTTTAAATGACATAAAAGTATTACATTCAGAGGTGAGTGCAACAAAACTAATCAAATTCATAAGAATAGGTAGCTCAAATTTACTCAAATACACATAAAATTTGGACAACGACTTTAATTTTTGTAAAATCTTAGCACCAATCATCAAAATTGTCAAAAATTAATGAATTATGCAAACATATATCGGTTAAGATTAAAGGCAAGCGATACAGAAAAATGTTGTTTTTAATTTAATACAGCACTTTCGTTTAAACAACGCAATGCTTACAAAATGATTTTTATTGTAGAAAAATTAAAGTTTTTGAAGCATGTAGCTATTTCTTATGCTTAAGTTTATATTTTATAGTGGAAGATATAACAAAAAGGCTTTGTTTCAACAAAAGATTTTTTCACTCTTTTGCCTTTTAGATAAAGTTTCTACTCTTTACTACTAAACTTTTTATGAACTGACAGATTAAAGAGTCTTTACTTGCCTAACCTCCATGCTCTGTCATCTGTCTTATTCCCATTGCCACTATCTCAAAACCATACAACAAGGTAGGATTTGTACTGTCTTGTAAACCTTTCTTTTCATAATAGTTGAAATTATTTTGTCATTTAACACAAAGGACTCATTTCTCCAACCCATCCACATACACTTTACATCAATCTAAACTTCTACTTCGTGTAACCACATTACTCTTTCCTCTACATTCTGGAGCATGATTCATCTTCTCCGTTGCATGGAAACATTTGGCCTGTGGTTAATTTACACTAACCAAAACCGTATGAATAGATAGTGTTTATATTAAAATTTCTGAAAATGAGCACTTTCCTTACTAAAGCTAAGACTTCGTCATTCATGATGATAAAAAAGTAGAGGTTCCCCTTGTCTTCTTTCAGTGCATTCATACACCTCATATTCTTTGGTTTTTCTCCACGCTTCTTACTGTGTACATAACTGTTAATTGCCTTCACCCTATCTACGTAGGCCTTGTTTACATGAGACCGGAACAAAGTCAAACCGGAATGAAAATCAGAATTTGTTGTATGTTTACATGGGACCGGCAAGAAATCACGAAAAATCCTCATTTGCGTAATGCCTCCTTTGTAGGCTAATTTTACGCTTATATATATTGGAATATATTGTTATGTAAAACAAGGGTAATACACCATATGAATTTTATTGTTGTTAATCATAACATTTTTTAATAATATAGTGGGCATTGATTGAGCAAAACATTTGATGTATATTTGAATTATAACTTTGCGATGTTTTTATGGAAGTGCATATGCTTACTTTAATACTTTAATCATTTCTCTAATACTTATAATTAAATGTTATTTATAAATTAAAATTGCACAGAAAGAGTGTAAATGCTTGTATACTTTTAGCATAATATTGAAATACCGGCTGAAATTTGCAACACACAAACTTGTTTAATTATTCATGAAATTTGAAAGAAACATAAAAAAACAAAAATATTATGTCTTCGTTTTATTATATATGAACATGAAAATTGTTCTAAATTACACTCAACATTCTTAACTACGTTGTTATGAAGTATTAACTATGTTAAAGATTATATCGTGGGCGCATGTGTTCGTTCGGGCAACGTTCGTTGTTTTTCTTTTATCTTAATAAAACTTAGTTTTATGTTCAAATTGTTTTCTCTTCTGAAATATATCGTAATGCGAACAAAAGTAGCAAGCAAAACACTCACTGACGGTTATAATCAAACAACCTAAAGTATAAATGCTCTTCAAATAGTAGTGGTAAACATTGGATATACTTACTATGTATGAGCAATATACAATTTTCCTAAAACTTTGCTAAAAGGTCAGAACGCTACCTCCTCCAGCGACTTTTCATATTATTTAGCTTCCCTAATACGAAGTATGTTCTACAACCACAATGCAAACGAGAGTCTTCACGTCTCTATTTTATTTTAACCAGCTGCATCAAGCTATTAGAAAGCTTTAGCAAGAGTACGACTACGACAACGAGTACGAAGTTTGACCGTGTAAGGGAATGGCACGAGGAGGTTTGCTGTCGTTGTCGCTTCGTAATAATTTAGTTTTAGCTATAAACAACAGAACGAGCCTTTTTATTGCAAAAAACACCGACGTATAATGATATTAACCAATCGGTAATACTGATTTTGCGGGAACTATTTTCACTATTTTCACTATTTTAAATTTTATGTACGATATATTTTTACTAATTTATTGTTTGTTTACCGTTCACTTTTCGTACAAGATACATGAAAGTTTGCAGGTGTTTTTTTTTGCTATTAAATGTACATATGCACTCAAAAAGCTTTTAAAGTAAAGCCTGCATGCTCGAAAATAGTAATGTAAACTAATATCTTACAGAATGAAGAAATATACCTACTTTCTTTGCTTAAAAAGACATTGTAGACACGACTACGAATTTTTTACAAAACATCGTACTTAGATTGATGACGGCTACGTGTTGTTGTCGTCGCAACAATGTTTTCGAGCCAAAATGACGTAAATCATGTTCAAGTTTAGCTTTTATATTTTATGCATATTATGCAATATTTCATGCTGCATGATTCCGTCATATTTGTTCAGTACATAGTTTGATTCATTTTAATGTGTCATATATAAAATAATCATGTTAAAAGTTGGACATAAAATGACAAAGCACTTAAATTGGTTCTTGCGGACCATGATTACTTGTAGATCGATCTGCTCAACCAGTGAACCGGTGTGCGTTCAGTTCGGCTTAAAAGCACCGGTGTTTGAGCCCAGGCAACATTAATGTCATATGTGATGAAAACTAACACCGATCTGTAGAAACGTTAGCTACATCGAGTTTGACAAATCGTTTAGTCCTGAATATTATCACAGATATAAACACAGTAGCAAAGCCACATGATTCGTATTCCTATGTAATGCAAATATTTCCGTGATGATTCACTGGAAAAACACTAAAGGAATTAACTTTCTGAAGACATAAATAATTTTTCGCTGAAAAATTGCTTTGGTGTTGCCTACGTAACAAATGACGGTAATGCATTCCTTGACCCAATAACTCTTTAACAAAGCTAATTATTGCATTGGTTTTTAAAGAACTTACTTGACGGTAAAATTTTGTTTTGAAAGCAAGACAATTATAAATATGCAAACTATGACACACCTTACTGACAATACTGACAAAAAATTTCATAAATCGTAAACAGTAATAAACCAAAACAAAAATTTTACTAGATAATTACCATCTATAAATGTACGCATGTGTAAAGTTTCACAGCAACTCAATAAATTGTGTTTGGGATTGAATTGCATCTCTGTAACATAAAAAAACTGAGGTCCTTCATAGATCGAAGAAAATCAGAAATCGAAACCGGAAATTTCAAAAAGCAATAATTGATTTTGGTAAATACACAATTTGAAAGAAATGATATTTGAAAAAGTCCGGTGTTGCAAAATTATAATCAAACACTTACCCACATCTTTATCCAGATTATGGTCAACGTTGTTGGGATTGGATGATGTAGACGCTGTTGTTTGAGATTGTCTTCTGTTAAGATTCTCATATATGTCTGTTTGAACGCTTGGAGGCTTTGACGCATCAGCGTAAGGCTCCATGAGCGCAAAATTGCAAGCGAAGAAAATGCTATAATTACAGTAGTAATTGCAAGTTAAAAATCTAGAACACACTCCTCGTACGAAGTGCACTTATTTCCAAACTATCGCGTATGATTCCGTCTATTGCTTTTTGAGTTATGTATAAACAAAGCAAAGTAATTGATTGGCTCTTATTAGACAGGCAAAGCCAATTGTATTAAAGTTCTCATGTTGGCCTAACTACGTAATACGTGGTCATTGGTTGCGGCATAGAAAATAAGGTCATTACAGCCACTCGGCCACTGCATTCATAATTACTGCTATGGGCAATATTATAGTTTGACTAAAAGAAACACGGAACACGGCTTACAGCTCCACGTATTCTGATAAAATATACAATACTGTGTTGTACAGAAATGCCAGGGAGATTTGTTGATTTGGTTTAATTAGACTGCGTACCTCAAAATAGTTGTCATGAAATACTTATATGTAAAACAGTTTTGCAATATGTAGCACCACAGTATAGAGAACATACAGTAGGGCCACTCCATTGAATTTTTTCGTGCCACCCGTATCTTATTTCGCATGTGATTACCATATTGGCCGCCAGTAAATTGCATTGTGTGACCAATAGAATTGACGATATGGCATACGGCAGCCAGCTAATTAAATATACAGCAGCCAGTTGCACAGCGAAGTGGCCCTACTATATATTCCCTATACTGTGGTAGCACTAAGAATTGTTGGAAGTTGAAAAAGCAGCAGTCATAACTAACACTCAATAGCGTTTTTTCTTATCCACAAGACTTACCTGGAAATTTAAAAGTCAAGGGGAAGAACTGATATGCCGATAATCCAAATTGTGAAAAAATTCACAACGAAGCAAGTTTGCGAAGGCAACTTATTACTTATGATATGCAAGTGAATCATCCTTCTAAAGATTGGCTGTCAATAAATTGTCAAAACTGTCGTTACTTTTTTTGGACAAATAATTTTGATTCTATACGATACTTGGTAGCAGTAAATTGCAATGTATGACCAATAGGATTGACGATATGGCAAACGGTAGTTACTAAACTAATTAAATATACAGCAGCCAGTTGCACAGCGAAGTGGCCCTACTGTATATTCCATTTACTGTGGTAGCACTAAGAATTGTTGGAAGTTAAAAAAGCAGCAGTCGTAACTAACACTCAATAGCGTTTTTTTCTTAACCACAAGACTTACCTGGAAATTTAAAAGTCAACATTGATCAAGGGAAATTATTCTGCCATAAATGATATGGCTTTTGATGTTGTAGCTTTATAATACAGGTTTATCACATTGCAAATCACATTCCCAAAAATCAAAACTTTAATACTTATAGTGGAGGCAATGATAGATTTAAACTATTTTTAACGATACATTGGTTAGAATAACGAACATTTTCATTCATGCAGTATTTAAACGTCACACATGCACTTTGCTACTTGGTTAAAGAAGATAGAAATTATGATATATTGTTTTTAACTACTTACAGATGTTCTCAAATGTTTTCTAATTAAATGACAACTGTTTTCTGTATTTGATGTAATTTTATGATGAGATTTTTGTAAACTGATTTAAAAAGTACCTATATATCTTCCAAATAATCTTCCTGAAAATTAAATGCGCATTATTAAGTTAAAGAATATCAAGCAACTTTTCGTCATTAATAAAAAAATTGTCGACTAAATCAATATATTTTTGAATTGTAATCATCACTTTTCTGACATGCAAGCTTCCAAGCTTCAACAGCATGTGCAACAGTAACTTCATTTGGTAAACTCTCCTCAAGATCTTTAATAATTTCACAACCATCTTGTTCAAGCATTGCGTTGATGTACTCTGCTAAACTATATAATAAGAAGAAAAATTGAAATCTTAGTTGTATGAGCTAAATAAACTTAAGCTTTTTCCAATAAATACAACTAGCTTTCTGTTGATACAGTTAAAATAAGCCTTATCGATTTATAAAATGACAAAATTTGATTGAAAAATTTTAGAAATTTAAAACGCAGATGATTTTACAGTTCAAATTTTTTTCCATGATTTTGTATTACCCTTTTCCTGTAAGCAAGGACAGGTTTCCACACTTTTCACATTTTTCCGAAAAATAAATGTAACACATTTGGAAATGTTCGAACATATTGGTTGTATACACAATGCAATATTCTTGTTCAAGCAATATTTTCCTTGTATACATAAATGGTTGTATACAACAAGAGTTTTCACGTCAGACAAGGTGGTCAGTTAACTCCTTTAATTCAGAAAAATTCCGATAATTAAATCGTATTCTTTAAACATGCGTGTATTTTTAACAAGCTATAGAATTTGAAATAAACTATTCAATGAAACGGTAACAAGTGACATTGATCCAAACAATTTTCGTGGTACGATTAGGGTTTGATAACGAATCATAACGATCGACCAACTTTACGATGTAAAAAGTTGGTATATGAAAGAAAAAACATGTAGCAGATGTTAAATAAGCAGCACAACAAATAGTTATGTAGCTAAATAGTTTTACTTACGGCCAGTGCAACTGTTCGTCTGGTGCATTTTTCAAAAAGAGTAAAATAAGCTGCAATAATTCATCAACGAAACGATCAATTTTGATTTTCTGTAAACCACGACTTAATTCAAACTTTATTTCCCTTGTCAATGCTGTCTTTATCTTATCTGTTACATCGTCAAATGGTTCCTATAGCAATACCACAAAGATTTCAATTTTCCCATATCATCTTTTGAATTACATTTTTTAGTTGCGCACTATAGTCCATACAGTTCTTAAACTTCATATCAACATAAATTATTTTAAAGGGCTGCATATCAGAACACATATTTTTCATTGATGTAATTATGGTAGTCAATATGAGCTGTAGTTGCTTTATTAGATTAACGATAAAGTTCGCTGATTTGAAACAAGTAAAAAGCAGGACTCGCGTGCAAAATAATCATTATGTTTAGCTAACTGATATGCTTTTGATTCACATTGGTTTTGCTAGTCCAAAAAACAAAATATACGTATAATATTATATCTGTTAGCGCAATTAATTCCTTCACATAAGAATTCCTACACGATTTATACCAAAATATAATCTAGGCCGAACAAACCTGTTTACGTCTAGTCAATATTTTTGCTCTTTCTAATGATAACAGTTTCCAAAGCGCAACAACATGTTGAAGTTGACAAATCTGCTCTGCCTAAAAGATAATTTAAGAAACCCTTATAAATACACGGTGAAAGAATACAAAGTACTGTTATGGCTTTCATTCTTTATATTACATTAGTAATCTGTTTGGCTAAATAGGATAGACACTCATAAGCCAAAGTTAATTAAAAATTCAGAGCTATTCAAAGAATTAATTTCGGTCAAGCATTATAAAACTGAGATTTAACAAACTAATATCGAATTGAACCCGCCTTTGAAAACTCTTCAAGAATGTTTTTGTTTGATAAAAAAGACTTTAGCATACAGTTTTCAATATTCACAAAAACTCAAAAGTCGTTCATTTTATTTACAAAGAAAAGCTACCTTGCCACTTTTTAAACCGTTTCTAGGATCAATTTTCAATGCTGATTTCATATATTCACTGATAAGCATTCCTGGATTTCCTCCAGCAGATGATAAGAAACCAATGACATTGTGGAGAGATTTAAGAACGTCACAAACATCAGTGAGTTGGTTCAGTTCACTTAAGATCTGATCTTTCACTGGTCGACTAAGTTTAATCTACAAACAAAATTAGAAACCATAGACGTTAGAAAAAATAACGGAATTAAAAAAAAAATGACCAAAATCTTGAAAATGAGATCATTCATACAGAGCAGATTCTACATAACTCTGACTACATCACCGAAAATTTATTTTGTTTTGTCTTTCCTTATCATAAGTAAAGTAGCTAAATTAGCTACTTTTCTTATTAAGTGTACCTGAGGGATCTTTTGATTCAACGCTTTAAAAACAGCTCCATCACAAATATCTTTGCTGAACACAAATAATTCAACCTAAAGAAGCAGAAACTTAATTTATATAATTAAACGCAGAAATAGCTGACAAGACCATAAATTCTCAATGCAAGTCATTTATATCCCTTTCTGTACAACATGGATAACATGGAACTAACCAAAGATGTAATTCTAGGTTTTCCCCGAATAAATCTGTCGACAAGTTGTCTTTCTAAAGATTTCCAGTTGAACTTCACAACCGTTTTTTCACCTCCTTCACCAACTTTTAGTGAGTAATCACAGTGAGCCAGGACCATCGGCAAAAAATCTCTCTCTGGATCATAGGCAACCAAATGCCCCTTAATAACGTTCAACAGCGATAGCTCCTCTGAACTATAAAGATGTAAAAAATATTTAGCTAACAGAAGGATAGCAATGAAATATTTATTAGGGTGAAAACCTGCTCTATAAGGCAATTTGTGTTTTCAGAATACATAACCAGCCGGAGGAATAAAAGTAGCCCTTTTATTAAAACATACAATTAAATGAAGTTCTCACCAGTGATGAATCCTAACAAAATCTTGCAAAGTTTATCTTACTTTTTATCGTCCTTCAACAAGCTTTTACATCGTCCAATAAAATTGTTATGTAAAGATACAAGGTAATTTGTCAGTGCCAAAGAACACTTTCCATATCCTTTCCACGAAGGCAATAACATAGAAATCGGAGTAGCGTTGATAACTTCCTTCTCTCTCATTTCTTTTGAAATTCCGTAATGACCTAACAAGTCAATTAAGACAACTGCAGTTATTTAAAAAAATCTTGGTAATACAAACAAAGTGATTTCAGATATTACTCAACCGAATGCATTAGTTAACACTTAATTAGGTATTGATTTGTCAACCAATGTTGCTCGCATGCATTAAAACAACTGAAGAAAACACATCAGGAAATAAAATAAATAAATTGAAAAATTCACTCTACATAGCATCAAACTTAACTCAACTTTTATTTTGTCACTCACCATCTTGTGGAATAGATGATCGAATGATTTTCCAAGCCATATTGAAACTGTTGATTAATGACTTCACATGCTGTTTTATGTCAGGGTCTACAAACGAAAAAGAGAAAATCAAATTTAAGGACTATTTCTTTGCCATGAAAAAGTATTTAATTGATCAAAACGTGAGACAAGAAAAAAACAAAAACCAATTTTCAAAAGTTATGAATGATTTCAATTCTATTCCATTTATGTTGACGTCTTAGCTATATATCTGTCTAAGAGAAGATTTGTCTATTCAACAGACCTTAGATGCAAGCTACGAAGAAAGTTGAATAATCTTGACAAAAACATGTTACAGCAGAAAAGGAACACGCATAAGAATTATGGTATTTTTAAGTGCAAGACGTCAATACAATGGAAGAAAACCTTTTGTTTGATTAATATTGACAATATGAATAGTTGTTTAACCAGACATGCTATATACAGAGCATCCACTAACATCACAAATCAAAAGTTATTTAATTTTACAGCAAGTTGATTTACTGGCAGCAAAAGTAGTCTAACTTTTATAACTTAAAATAGAATAGGGATGCATGTCAGCAATGTAAAGTATACAGTTGATAAACGAAATGAAGGTGAAAATAGAAGAAATAAAGTTTAGCTAAAATAGGAAGGATATTTTATAAAAAGATGTATTAACCATAGAACAACAAGAACCATAGCTATTCTACAGCAGTAATGCAATTTACTACAGAATCAGACACGCTTTTGGATGTACCCCTCTTTATATAAGTCTCCAATGGTGTATTTTCAGCTTCATTTGATCTAAGCAACGATGAAACTTTCAAAAAGAAAACGTTGCAACTTTATAATATCCGGAAGATACTGTAGGCACGAAGATGACATTCTGGAAAAGAAAGTATAGAAGTTTGTACAATGTATATCTTAAAATCTTTAACAAGTGATCCTGGGCCAGGGTAAACTCTCAATTTAGCTTAGATTAAAAAAGTAAAGTGGTAACAAAAAGTCCTTGTTGTAGACTGATTTTGAGAAGTCCTGAACTAACCATAACATATTTAACAAAATGTCTATTTTCATGTTTGTAAATGTAGATCGTCCAGGTGGGTATAGTCCTGAAAAGGATTGTTTTTGTTGTTGTTGACTGACGTTTCGACAACCTTAGCGGTAGTCATCTTCAGAGTGAAATGAGGAGTAAACGTCAGGTTAGCCGTATTTGTTATCCGGTTCTTACGTCATTGTCTTGTGTGTACAGGAATTGTGTATTGTCACTGTGAATTAGTATGAAGTGTATGTTTTTAGTTGATCGTTTGTTTGTATTGTGAATAAGTCGTTTGTAAGGTGCCGGTAATTGCTGTGATTTGTTCAGGGGGTTTGTTGCAAGTTGGAAACAAACTTCTAAATGTAAGCCGTTGTCTATAGTCAGTACTGTGGTAATGCATTTTGCCGAGTCCCAATAATGTTGTGCTTTATGATCTGCGGATGTTCGGTACGATTAGTTTTGTCTTGTTTCTTAGTAACTCGTTTGTGTTCAGTAAGTCACATGTTTAAGTTCGTGCAAGTTTCCCCGATATAGGAGGCGTGGCAGTCGAAGCAGTTTTTTTTTGTAAACTGCACCTTGTCGTTTGTTGGGCTGTTCTTTGTCCTTTATGTTCGTTAGTACTTGTCGTAACGTTGTGATTGGTTTATGTGCGACACGTATGTTGTAATAAAGTAAATGGTTTGTCGAAACGTCAGTCTACAACAACAAAAAGTCCTTTCCTTGTGGACTTGCCGTCCTGGACGATCATCAATTACAAACATATAACGGCTGTATGGTCAAAGATACGCGAGATAGTCTGTGACGCAAATTCCTTGATGTAAGGTATCGTTGCTGTTGTCACTGAGTTGTTCGTTTCGTTGGGTTTGTAAATGTTGCGTTTAATAAAGTCAGAGTTATAGTTGTTTTATCAAAAACACGTTTGAGATAGTTGTTTTCTTGCTGTGGAAACCGGTGAATCACATACGATTTGTGAAACGTCTTCATAATGTTCTGATTGTGGTGGCTTTGTGTCATGTAGGTAGTAAGATGATTGGTCTAGTAGTCGGTCAGTATGTTGGCTTGCGATAAACTGTTGTTCGTAGTTTTGATTATGTCGTTTTACCAAACAGTCGAGAAAAAGGAAGAGTTTCTGTTTTCTTCAACATCTTTGAAAATTGTCGGCTGTCTGTTTGTTGATGTGAGTGTGAAAGTCATCAATCTCGTCTGCATGTAGTGCTGTGATTGTGTCATCTACGTAGCGAAACCAAAAAGGTTTCCCGGGTTCAAACCATTTACTTTATTATGTCTATTTTCATCAAATATTTTCTGCATTTTAGTTGTTTTATTTTAACAATAAGTTAATTGTTCTTAGGATAGCTACTTACACGCCGAAAAAAACACATGCATTTAATTTTAAATCTGTATTGTTCAGTAGCCTGCAATAACTGTAATTCTTACATAGAAAATAGTTACACCTAGCTAAATTTAAAGTTTTAAGAAAGATCAAAAATTAAAAAAAGTGAGTAACAGATTAGCGCCATTTGCACATTACATTTAAAATCATTGTAAAGGAAAATTAAGCATAACCTTTTTTAAAAATTCATCAAGTACTTCACACTTGTCTGTTGGCACTATGACACCTTGAGAATATTCTTGATATTTGAAGGACAAATGTTCAATTGTGATTTTCTTACGATTTCTCCAAAGTGCTGGACATGAAGGATCGAGTTTTGTAACGACATTGGAGCTTGGTTCATCTAGTTCGTTGATCAATTTCATTAGCCGATTATTTCCTGGAAAAAGTGATGGAAAAATGTTTTGACCAATTATCTAACTCTATGTTTTGAAGAGTCTGCGTTCTACTTTAGTATAAAAATATACGAATAAAAAACAAAAACGTAGCCCTAAACTGCCAAACGGAAAATTTTTATCAAATATTAAATAACTTTGTTCTCATAGTGGTCGTTTTACTAAATTAATTTCTTTTATCTAACTTGCAAACTTTTCATGAAGAAGCAAAACAGGAAAGGTTTATTGAAATATATAATTCTGAACATAAAATTTTATACAACACATCTAATTGTTTAGACACTGATCATAAAAAACAGGACTAAAAGTGTTAATAGAAGTGTCCAAGTTTCGTGACTGCATTTCAATTGAAATTTTAACATCATCTTGTTACGATTCCATGGGAATTTCGCTTCATTTTTCTTTCTAGAGATATTGATCGTGTTTTCATAGAAAATAATGATGCTCATCATAATGCAAAGTAGTGATATATTTCATTTACAATGTTGAACTTATGAAGAAAGAATAGTTTTTCTAAATTAAAGCTGCTATCTATAAAACATATTTAGAACGACTAAAAACCGGCTTTCAAGTTTCTTCTTACCCAGTCGTTCATCGCTGACCATTCTACCTAAGGCACCTTGCAACAACTGAGAAACAATCTTAAAATGAAAATATGTTAGTGTCAGGGGCGGATCTAGGATTTTTCAAACATCAGTCATAAAACGTCGAAGGCGCTCCGCACCTGGAGGGGTCTGAGGCATACTCCCCTGAGAAATTTTGAATTTCAGAGCCCTGAAAAATGCCATTTTCAGCGTTTTGTATACAAAATGTATTTAGGGGTACTGTTTTATGTAAAAAACAACACATTTTGCTTACGTTTTTCTTCAAAAAGAAAAAATGAAGTAAATAGTACTTGAATGTTTTGCCAAAGATGAAATGGTCATCATGCCAAATATATGGCGCATGTCTAGAACGTAAAATTTATTTTACAATAATGCTATTCAAAAACAGATTGAGTCTTTAAAATTCTACCAAGTTGTCAGGCATAGACCCCTAGAGACCCCATTCAAACCACTATGTGTAATGAGTTTAGTTAAGTTAGAAATTTGGTACTACAAGTGACAGTTCATAGATAGAAAAGTCAGACTTCAAACCATAAAGTTTATTGTAACCCTTTACCATCTCCACATCATGCCAGTAAATTCACCTTTTGGTAAAAACTAAAAATTTTTTCACAAAGGTTAAGCAAAATTATCAGAGTAAAATTTGTAGTTATGACAGCTTAAGCCATAAATGTTTATTAGGCATTTCACTAGACTATTATCTCCTGTGAGTATATGCAAGGTGCTATATAGCAAATCACTAGTAGCATTGTATTTGCAAATACAAACAGAATGTAACCAACATGTCTTTAATTATATAATTACATGAATGTTAAAATTGGTTCATGTAACATGCTTACTGGTTATGATAAATACTTTTCATATGATCAAAGCTTTATTTAAATGTAAACTAGAAATAATTTAGTTTAGAAATTATAATGATCATCAGAAAATATTTTGCTGTTTTGCCAAATTTCAAGGTTTATCTGCATACATAGTAAGACATTTTACTTTATAGAAAATGCTTTCATGTCAATAGCCCTCCTTTGAATTTATGGCAAACAATCTGTATGAGCTGTAGATTAACACACCTTACATCTCTACGAGGTGTTCAGTTAGAAAGGGACAATATGTGACATGGGACAACATTTCATGTATGTGAAATACTCAGGTTTAATACCATTCCAGTCAAATTGTCAAAATAAAAGCTTCATGGATCAGAAGACTCAAAATCACAGGTTATAGTAAACAGCTTCTCATGTAATCAATGTTAGTTTTCTCAAATCTTAAACAATATGTGTATAACTGTCCAATGATTGAATGATCAATGATCATAAACTGAAAAGCCCCAAACATTTGTTTATGATAAAATAAATAATAGTATGGCGCCTTATGGCTACAGATTTTGTCCATTGAAATATATTTAGAATGTAGATTTCGCTGCCGTATAACGGCCACGAATCCCCAGCACTAAAGAAATCATAGCTAAAAGTCCTTCGTCAACAACAATTTTAGAAGCATCGATCTGTTTAACACCATACGCCATATTAGCATAAATCGCATCATTGACACTCGCATAATTGACTTTGATATATTACATTCATGCATACACTTCCCTTTGTCCTTTACTTTACGATTTTGATGTAAATTTCTGCTCATAAACTCAAAACAATGTTGGCTTTCTTTGAACATCAATGACTGAAATGTCGCTCGCGAGATCGTCTTTGCCAAGCATTTAAAATTTATCCATAAATTTCCACCTCTTGAAAATTCACATTTTGGACAGTGCATCATGTCAATATATGAATTTGTAAAGATTTCCATAAATTCCATCTGATTGTAGTTTTAGTTTCTATCATGCTTATAAAAAATACTATAAAACGATCAACATTCAATTCAGACAGTGATTGACTAAGAAGTTCAGTTGGCTATCAGTCGAAACTGTCAAACCAATCACAATAAAAGCAAAAATTCAAATGAACCAATTGTAAGATAGCAATTGGACTCCCTTATAACGTCCGGCCACCCTTTTATTATCGTATTTCGAGACCATTCAGACTGTCCACTGATTCATATTGACAAATAAAATAAGCGTTTTTGACGTTCATAGACTCCTTTATGCGTCGAACCAGTCAAGCCACCCTGCTTACAGTCGGTTATTCCAGGTCAATTAAAATTCAACTGATCTGGTTACCAACGATATTCATTGGATTAGTTAGTTTTCAATAATAAATAAATGGGATTTTTATCAATGAAGTAAATGCGATAATAAAGTAAGAATAATTAATGAATTTTTAATTAATATGAATAGGTAATTTTTGAATTTCAAACATCAGTCGCGCGATGGATTTGACATACTCTAGATCCGCCCCTGGTTAGTGTAACACAAATTCTTCAATATTTATTAAATACCAAAACGCAAAAAACTACAATATCACTAAGAGAAGATGTTCATTATCAGATTTTATGTTGTTTTTTTTTTATTTTGTCTGCTTGCCTTGGCTATTGGTTGGTAAAAAAACACAGAATAACTTACCGATAGAACAGGAGTAAGGTAGGTATTCATAAATGCATCTTCCCAAGCTTGTCTTGACACTTTACTGGGCAAATCAGATTGAATGGCATTGATATTTCCTAACGATGGCAAATGTAGACAAAAATTATCACCCGATTCAAACGTTTTGACAAAAAAGATTTTTTGTGATGAATAAACAATTGGATTTTTTAATGGATAGCCAAAGAATAGGGGTTTAGGTCGAGTCATTATGTATTACAAAAGCAAATGTAAAAACTACTGAAATATTTTGAAATCAAGGTTGCTTCCCAGGATTGAAACTGAATTGGATGGAATTTATATTTTTGAATATAATGTTGCCTGTTGGTACGTTATAAAAGTATTGTATATTTTCCTTCTCGATTTTAGTTGTGACCAAGCAAAGTACTGATATTTCTGTTACTTCACAATGAACGTTTTGTTTATCACAATTCACTGCACAACTTGGTCGCTGGTCACATAACTTCTAAAATCATGCATGAGTAACGCGGTGAAAATATTTCTATTAATGGCATCCAAAAACAGTAGAAAAGAAAGAAACTAAATTTTAGATAATATAATAGAAAATCAAAATACGATAAATCGTCCGATGACTGACTTGGAAAATTTTAATATAAACTTCAAAAATTGTAAGTAAAGTTGATGGATGGTATGCTGCTACAGAACAAAATCAGCAAACGCGTTTAAAGTGGTATGTTTGACATGTTTATCTGTTAAATTTTACCAGCCAGTGTAAACTGTTTTCTAATTTGTGACACAACTTTTAATTTTTCACCAAAAATTTTGCCCCATTTATAATAACAAAAAAAAAAAGAAACAAACCATGATTATTTTTGACGATTTCCACAAAAATCAGATGGATGATCATAGCAGCTTGTTCAATATTTGTACCAACAAATCTTGCAATGCAACGTAGGTCATTTTGTACATGGTCTTTTATGAATTGAATAACGTTATTAACAGGTGGTTTGATAATAGCTGAAATATTCTGAAAAATTATAATCATAGAAAAGGTATAGCATTTGAAAGTTTCAGCATTAATCTTAAGCTACAATAATGAAAAGCTTTGCTAAAAAAAGCTTAAACTAAAAATGTGTAAGAATCAGCTAGAACACTAATTCATGTTCTAATGATTCTCATGTTCTAATGATGGCTTTGGACTACAAGCCATTGAATCGAGTTGGTCTCGACATTTTAAATGTTGAGCCGTGTTAGAAATTAGAAAGGTAGATAAAATATGTCGTAAATTCACATTTATTCAGTTTGCTTAGACACGAATTGAAATAAAATCAATTGAAGTTGGCATCAACTTTAACACACAGTAATGACTAATGAATCTGTGAAGGAATGAAATTCATTCATTTACACTTACCTGAATTTCATCGGGTGTTGTTCCTAACAACATAGCCACATGTGTCAAACAACGTAAAACACAACAGGATAATGGGTTCAAATTTCTTTGTGCACTTGCAGGTTGATCCTGTGTATGTCCTAGAATGTGACCAGTACTACTTCGATCTGCCCTAAAGGAGATATGGAAACGTAAAATACGAGCAAACAAAGACAAAAGAACATCATTATTTTAAAACTATCGTTCGTAAACTAATACGATTAAAGCTAGATTTTAAACTCGATTGTACCAATCAAAGGCAAAAAAAAGGTATAAAAGGACAACCAACACATGTCAAGCTTTTTATGTTAGTTCTAAGATTCTTACGAAATACAAAACAAATTTATGTAAACATGCAAAGACGAACCTCGACGCCTGTCTATTATTAGCTGCTAGCTGATGATTTGAACCTCCAATAGGAACACCACAGGTTGGGCAATTATACGCTTGGTTTGGACGTCCACACTACATTGATTGAAAAAAATAACAGCGTTTGAAATGTAGAAACACAAAAATTGTTGCAATTTTAAATATTTGCCTTTGCATAAATATTTACATAAAGGTAAAACCAGCAGCACATTCAAAAAAAATAATTGCGCACAAAAACATACTTATGTTAAAAGAAACTTACCTCAGTGATGACATAACGATGTCCGTTAATGCATTCTGGAGGGGTAAAAAAAATATAAAAGTGTACTTAATACCGCCATAGGTTAAGTATTAGAGCATCTTATGCGGAGTTAATCTCTATAACTTACCATACCACGTGCCTTGGGTAACGCCCATGACCTCGGGACTATCATCTTGAGGCATGGTGGGAATGAACGCACTCTTAGAAAGGAATTCCATAAATAAAAAACTGTCATCTGTCTTACTAATCATTTCACGTCATTTCTGACAATAATCAACACGAAGTTGTACATCCATGTTAAATAAAGTGCTTTTAGTGACGGAAATTACTGCCACTAAGGTTGTTGAACAACACCAACATTCCCTCTCAAAACTCCATTGGACAATCTACTCTATACAGTCATGAAAACATACTCCAGAATTAAATTAAAATAGAACTCATTAACCATTTAAGTTGGTCACAGTTATGTTTATATTTACGATTATTTAAATGAATATTAAAAACACATACCCTCATTGATCCTGGATTGAATGCAAGATTTGAGAAGGGAGTCAAAAGTTGATTATTTGGAAAGCAACTCGTAACAACAAGGAAATGAATCAAGATTTCATTTAAACGCCTATCATTTAAAGTTTGGCCACTGTGTAGCTGAAGTAATTGCTGATGAGAACGGTTGTCAAAATTCACCAAGAGATTCTTCGCAAGAGGTAGCTTAAAGAGATTTAAATTGAAATGGTTTGAGTGTTAAGCTATATTTGTGTTCCAAAATCAGCTCATATTCTAATAACAATTACGACATTTCCAAAATTAATTTGCACTTCCAAAGAAAATGCATAATCGATAATACTTAAATTATACTCAGAAAGAAAAAAAGAACTCCTCAAAATTTATCTTTTAATATTTGATAGTAATGAATAGTGCACGTCATCAAATGCCAACCTGTAACTTAAGCACAACAAGCAATGACGAATCCACTAGTTACTACACTTTTACTTTTTGTATAGCATAAGTGATATCTAATGTTTTTGCATTTGGTTTAACTGTTACCCTATGAAATTAAGGTTTTTTGGAGAGTAATTTATTCAACTGCCTGTATATAAGATTCCAAAGCATTGTTTCTGCACACAAAATACCTGAGTTGCCAAAACCTGACATCCAGTAAGACATTCATCGAGTTGTTCCACAATCTAATTATAAAATTATAACAATCATTCATACGAACATAATAACAAAAAAGTACTTTTTTATTGTACAAATAATGTTTCCTGACCAACACACTTTACAGAATACATTCACATATGACGATGTATTTTTCAAGATGTTCAACAAATATGTCCATATATTTTCCGTAATGATGATACAAAATCTTTTATGAAATTTGCAATTGCTAGATTTATGGACAGAAAACAAATTTCTCGATCTAAAATATCGACTATATTTATTCGATTCGTAAACGTAAAGTAAGTAAGACCAAGAAGTAAGAATTACAAAGAAGGTCAGGGGGGAGAAAATCCTGCTACACAGTCTTTGATAACGTGCAATACATATACCTTTGAAAGAATCCGATCTTCTTCGTTTTCAGTGGAAAATTTGGTCATTACTTCGCAATAAATTGCAAGTAAAATATAACAGGACTGGGCACGATCATCACAGGACATGTTCTAAAAAGAATAAAGTATAACAAATTTGTAACGTTACTATGGCTGATTTGACAAACTGCATTTCTCTCACAGAAGAAAGATCACAAAGATCTACATTTCAGCAAGTGATTGTAACTCCAAACCAGGATAGGGCAAAATTTATTTTGACAGCAGTCATTCGATATTTTACAAAATAAGCTCCTTTCTTGCAGCCTGATGCTCTAAGAAACTTTGAAGTAATTTGTTGTTTTAAATGTTATGTTAAAAATGTTTGAGAATTGGGTAAATCAAAACCTGCACGTAATACAAATCAGAAATAGAGTAAACGTAGACATCAAATTCATTGCAGGAGTGTGGGTTTGCTCAACTATATAATATATCATATCAAAAGAAACATGATTTCAGCCTCAATTTTATATTATGCTGTATAAATATACATTGGCCAAGTGAAAACAATCTTGTTGTTATAAGGAAAATAAATTATCTTACTCTCAAGATCAACTGTGTTTCTTCATAATTTGATGTTATTATTGCTTTGCCAATAGCTTCTCGTACTGTATGATAATTGTCGTGATGGACCATGAAACTGTCTGGTCTTTTGTCACGCTCCTATATGGACATGCAAAAGACAGAAAAGTCAAAGTTTTTCAGATAGTGAATATACAACAACAATCGTTCTTTACTTTTGAAACTGCTTCGAAACGTATCAGAAAGCATGCAACTTCAACATTGTAATGGTGGCCTTGTACATAAGCGTGCTTTATCTAAGCATATCATATGATAAATCGCTAATTTGAATGTGAAGATCAAATATTTGACATCGTTAATAATACAATTTATTTCAAGAATAAAACAAACCACACAAGTACGTATAAACTAGCTAGTAAGTGAACAAGTGGTTACCTCAGATTGTGGAGGCAAAATCCATTTCAATTCTTTGATCTTACATCTTTCTTTAACTCCATCGAAACCATTTTCATCATTATGGACCAACTGTTTTAGTAGGAATAACTGAAGAGCATATTCATTCTCACATAAATGTTTAGCTGCTTGGATGCATTTTCTAAGTTCCGCATTGCTCTTTAAGTTTTCGGACAGATCGTCATTGAAATATGTAGGAAGTTTACTAAACGCAGCCCGAATTGCAGCAACATCTTTAAGGCTGTTAATGTCCAGGTTTTTGTAGGTACGAAAATTTCTCAGTGTTCTATCAAGGATTCTGCACAACATGTTGATTTCAACACTGTCTTCAGTTTGTTTTGCTTTTAATAATTTCCCTGTTTCAACATCCTAAAGGAAGATAAAACCAATAGCAATAATTATGCACTTTTTTAAAATTCAACTCGAATTTTTACATTATCTTAAAAACTAAACACACTTTACTACAAAACAATAGATTTATAAGTGAATTATGTCTTTAACAACAAAGGAATAAAAGCACCCAAAATTTTGCAAAATGATTTTATAAAAACGTAATTTACCTCGATACAATGAACAAACAACACGCAAACGTTCATCAAATGTTCCTTGTTGGTAGATAAACCTTGAGCACGACAGAGATATTCTTCCAAATACGTACAAACTTCTTTTTCCCTTAAAAAAGCATTTTTTTAATACAACACAATACAATAATTTTTTGATAGCAACAACGCAAATTGATCTGTTCTGCTAGAATATTGATCGTTTCTTCGTGAAAAACCTAAACTCTCCGCTTTTTTGTAAGTTATCTTAACTGGCCAATCGAAAAAAAGTGCTTTGCCAAAAAATTATTGAATAAAAATTCAAAAACACTTTCATTATAATAAAGATGACTTGTGATGAAGCTAGAGCTTACAATGTACAAGTAGATAAAAATGTTACCACTGAAACGCATTTCCGCAAGACATCGCTATTACTCAGCAAATCGTGCCCGAACTTTAGCATAAATAACACTAATCACTAATTTTCCTTGCAGAAACACAAACAAAAAATGACGTTTCTCATTTTATGTAATCAAAATTTTGGTAACTAAAACGTGGTGGAATCATTTGATTTATTTTCACAGCATCAACATACCTTCCTTTGATTGAAAGAAGTTGTTGTAAAATATATGATCTTATAGCTGGAGTGACATCAATGCTGTGACCGTCGAAAGGAGAAAAATCTTCTGTGAATTCTTCATCGTTTATCACATAAGCAATGAAGTGTTTTACAAGTTCATCTTGTGGTAAGTCATCACCAAAGCAATAAACAGAGACAACATTCATGAAAAAGGATTTGCAACGATTACGAAAACTTCTCCACAACTCTAACGAAAGCCTAAATAAATAAAGTACTTGTAAATGGAAAATTTTACTTTTTAAATTACATGTTTATCAAATTTAGCTGTTTGAGAAAGTCTATCAATCTAAAAGTTCTTTTAAATAAAACTATAAATAAAAAAAGCAATAATTTCATTTCATAAGCATATATATAAAAGCAAAAACGACTCATTCAAGTGGAGAATGAACGTTAATTTTCTGGACAAGACGCCATAATTTATGACCAAACGTTTATACCATACATTAAATACAGACATGTCTACTTTGATTGTAAAGCTTTGAATACAAAATAGTTACCTTATTGTTTCATTAATTTGCAATTGAAAATCATTGCCAACATCGTGTCTACATGCAGGACATACGTCATGATCGTTAAGCCAATTGGTTATGCATGATAAACAAAACACGTGATGACATGGTAGCTGTACAGGATCTTGAAGTGATCTCTTGCAAATGGCGCATTCGTCATCAAATCTAACACCATAATAATTCATTAAGCATAACAGAAATGAACATACAACTAAATTTCCATGTTGAGGAAATCTTTAATGCGCAGATAAATGGTAACAAAATATGTTGCTATGATACAAAATTTATTAATGAATGCAGTGTATTTTAATATAAACTTTTAAAACAGTAAAAGTATATTAATGGGTTTGTTAGTCAAAATTAATACCACAATGTAAGAGATAAACATGCATTTTATGAAAATTATGATCATTACCACAAATGTTAAAAACTGTGACTCTTGATCTGGATACTTACTTGACAATTCGTTTATGCAAATCTTTACTGCAGTCTTTCAAAAATCTTTCAATAACAACGATAGTACGTAGTGAGGTTAAGTCGGGACTTTCACCCAATGCCTAGAAAAGAAAATAGGCGCTAAAGGAAATCCATTGAAGTCTGCTGTTGAAAATCAGTGGCTTTGCTTTTTCAAATTCGTAACCTTTAAAATTTGGTTATTGAACTTAACATAATGCATAAAATACAACTGGACACATGTTTATTGACATTTCAGGTGTATCAGTAAAGCTGTGTCTTACTCGACCGTACTGCATAGCAAAAATTAATTCAATTTGATTTAATATAAAAAAGGCTTTTTTAAAAGGCGATTCCATTCAACGGAAATGATCTATGCATTTAGGCTAATACGTGAAAACTTTACCTTTAACAATTTCAAAGCATTACGACCATCATCAGTATGATTCAAATCCTCAGGTGGACAAGTGTGTTCAATAAACATACGTACAACATCCAAACGTGTGAACATGATCCTATGTATAAAACGCGTAAGAACAGAATGTAACTTTTAGTAGATGTTAAAAATTAATGTCTAAAACATAGAGTTCATAGTGACCTAATGAAGGATATTTTGAACATTTTTCTTTGTACTCTACCACATTTTTTAGAAAAAAAAATTAAATCAAAGATTTTAATAGGTGTATAAAAATTCTTTAATAAAACATGATGTATCAGTTGACTCGATTGTTGCTATGATATCATGCACTATGTTCGTACTCAGTTTCCTTTTCTCATAGCCATGATATATTAAACACAATTCTTTGCATATTATATCCAAAGATCAATTGACACTTACCAACAAACTTTCAAAATCTGCTCAGATTTTTTTGGCAAAAGAGGAACAACATTTTTTGAGTTCCCACTGTCCGTTATTGACGCTTTCATAACCTGAATGATTGGACGTAGACATTGAACTTGATTACACCACGTCTTTCGTTTACGAAGACTCGTAAAATCATTTAAATTAGGCTCCAGTTCTTCTAGACAGCACTGAAGAGCCACTGCATCTAGGCACTAAAATGGTGGGAGAAAGTATATAATTGTACATAGTTCTTTAGTCAGATGCAACTGTTTTGAATACTTGTAATGAAGTGGAGATAAAGTATTGAAATTTGCTGTACATATTTTACAAAACAAAATCGGTAGGTGGAGTATATAATTACATATCACGTCTATATTTCTATGGCACGAATATTCCACAAATCAACGGGTAACTAACTTAGTGACTTACCAATTCTGAATCTATAATTCGTAATGGAGACGCCATAAGTTTTTCTACCACTTGAGGAAATGCATGAACAAGTTCAGAGAAATTCAGCAAACGTGATTGAATCATGGAATAGGCAAAATGAATGAGAGGAATGTCCAGGTGAAATTCATTGTTTTCATGAAAAGTTTGGTGTATTTGCCAAGACGTCGCAAGTACAGCGTCGTATATCAACTAATAAAATAAAAATATAACATTTGTTTAAACGTGTATACGTCTATTTCTATAAATGTTGATTTACAACTACCGGTGACCAAAACGTACGTTGCTCTTACAATTGTGCTTTGAACGCATTGGCCAGCACATTGAATTTTTAAAGTTAACAAACCTTCAGTTCATTTTCAACAATTGGCGTATACATCATATGTAAAAAGTCATTTAAATAACAATTCGCTGCTTCCTTCTTGATATCCGGATCTTCAAATGCCAATTTCTTCAATCTTCCCAAAGGAGAAGCATCAAAACATTTCTTAATGACGTCAATCTGTTTGTAATAACTCCTGAAATGCAAAAAGTATATGTTGAAAGAAAGAACAATTGTTCTAACCAATTTTAAAATTTGATCGTTAATATATTCCCAGAGACTAACCATACAAACAGAGTTCATCAAATTATTATAAATTATAAAACAATTTTTAAATATTGAAAAAAAAAGGTGAACAATTGAATTTAAAAAGCTTAAAGTATAATATAAACATCCCTTTTAACTTAAGCAATGTGTATGTACGTATGGACTCTCCTGTCGGGGCGACAGATGAGTAGGCATGCAGGTCTATCTGCGAGAGTGGGACCTCATGTGTGAATGGAGGGCAATTTGTGATGCACACAAACGCCCGCAAACGCTGCAGGGGTACGAGACAAGAGGGGCAGAGCGTTGCTTCTTTCGGGCCCTTTTCTCCTTGATGGCGGCTGCACTACCGGCTTCGAAGTTCCGAACGCCCTGGGAGCATAGATGCCTCCACTGCAGTCTGTCTCCCGCGAACTCCTCCCAGGTGTTTGGGTCAATGTTGAAGCACTTGATGTTGGCTTTAAGGGTGTCTTTGTATTTTCCAATTAATATTTTATATTTTTGTTAAATTTTCAAAAACTACAGCAGTCACTGAACGATCAACCTAGAACTAAATAGCCCGACGCTCGCTTAATCAAAGCAAACCAAACAGCCGTAAAACGTAGAGGAAAACACGATAAAATTTCTACATACCCCCAACTTGCAACGAAAGAACGTGAACAATATCTTTAATTATCCAGGAGAATGGAAATTTTCCTTCAAAACGATGTCCAACTCCACTGCTCAACACAGTTGCTCGTTCTCGTAGCCTACCGGATACAGGTGAAATGAATGATTCATAGGTTATTGCCGTAAGGTTGTCTTCCTTTAACATTTCAAGCCATAACTTTCGTGTCCAAGTGTTTTCTTCAAGAAGCAAGTTGAGGTTTTTATTACGATCACAATACGCAATAACTTCGGACAAAATAGGAGAGACAATTGACGATAATTTTTGCCATAAAGCTTTCCTAAATGTGCCAGTTTCCTGTAGATGTCCCTGACATAGCGCTTCCTCTTGAAGCCAAAGCCTTTGATCATCAAAGCATCTTTCATCACGCTCGTGGAGCAGTTTATACATACGAGCAACAAGAATGTTTGATAGGTCTAAAACAAACAAAAAATGTACCTCGTATATACGTATGTCCCGCAGTAAATTTCAGCCACTAAAAGAAAAACTACAAAATTGTTAGAAACCTGTTTCATCTCCATCTTCGGCAGGTAAGCAATCCAGTAATATCTCAATTCGTTTTGTGGCTCTCAAGACGTCATTAGATTCGTCAAAGACTCTTGCAGCAGCAGTTTGCATGCAGTTCCTCAGCAAGACAGTGGGACGTATATTTTCTTCGTAGAAATTCTCCTCAATATTCTATATAATCAAATAATGATAAAGAAAATTTCTAATCAAAGCGATAGAAAACTGCTGAGGAAGGTTGATAAATTTGTTTATTTCGTAAAAAAATCACGGTATCTTTTATTTTTTCAAAAATGCCTCATTTTCATCTATATTGAGCTTTAAATAGATCAACCAATCTTTAAATAGATCACTTTCGATGAATTAAATGTAATAAAATGTCGTAAAAATTGGCCATTAGTATAATATATACGTAAAGATTGTATATTTTTGTTGAAGGCTACCAATGAGCCTGCTCGCAGCCTGAATTTTCTCACTAGCTACCTAGTTTGCACACTTTGTTCCAAGATCTATAAATGCATAAGAGTGTAAAACAACATTTTTATAGAACCTTGTCAGTTAGTCTTACCTGCACATCACTGTCTGTCGGTGATTCAAGGTCATCATTTAGTGATAGCCGTATGTCTCCGAGATCAAGATTATTATTTGAGGAAACATTTAAATTAAAAAGATCACTAACAGATCGATTAACAAGTAGTTCAATTTGCGGTAACTTTTCATTTGCCTCAAGAAGTTCGTCAATATGGACACATCTCCATTTTCCACCTTGAAATCCCACAAAATGCTGACAGCCACCAGCAATTCTCGGCAACTGGATGATAAAAATAATATGAACGGGTTTCGGGTTAAACGTTTCCAAAGATATACGACGTGTTTGATCAACAAGATAACGACTGCACGCAATAAGATTTGAATTTTTCTCCCCGTCATCACACTGCACCAATAGGAGTCCTTCAGCACCTCCAAGTTTGATGAAGAAATCGCTAATCAATATAAATTTATGAGTTTACAATGAGGTAAAACTTTAAAAAAACAAAATAATAGACTTACTCCAAAGTTTTGACAAATTGTTGCTCCGTATGAAATTCTTGAAGACTTATACATCGTGATTGCCAGCCTAGGAAACCAGCTTCAGCTGCTATAGCACGAGCATTTGCTTCCGATAAAAGTCGCGAGTGGGTGGTTATCTGTAAAATAATTCAACAGTAAAATCACAGCATAGAAACAAGCAGCAGGGCTACGTCGCTGTGAAACTGGCTGCTGCATATTTAATTAGATTATTGGTTGCTGCTAGTTACCTCAGCTCTTCTATTGGTCGGAAAATTTAATGGCTGCACTATGCTAATGACATGCGTAATACGATATGCGTAACACAAAAAATTTCAATAGAGTGAAACTACTGTTTGGTTTGATACTATGATAAAATGAAGTTAATTTCTCTTCATTAAAAATCGCACGAAAAACTTTGCATGCTGTTTATTTTGAAGAAATAAAAAATATATGTCATATACTTGAAACCTGAACGAGAGAGCCACTGTCTGCTGTGCTGCCTTTTGTTTGAAAACAATGAACTAAATATTTCTTCAAACTTCCGTGTTGTTGATTTTGGTAATATTCCCTACGAATTTCGATGGCTTTGTCTTTTAACTGTGATACTGTGAGTCTGGCAATTGCATCAGGAGATGCACATTGTAAAAGGGTTTTCTTTGAATCTTCAAGTATCTAATAAACAACAAATTTTATAGCTTTAATGGTCTGTGATATTCGCAAATTAATAATTGCAGATGGAAACAAAAAAGTGAGAAGAAAGATATAGTAAACCACAACTGTGACATGTGAAATATATGACCTCTTGTGAAGTTTTAAACTAAATATTAAAAATTCTTTTTCGTACTTGCAATTCATATATATACATAGCAAAAACGTAAATTTATTATTCTTGGTATTTTTTTGTTACACCAAGAATACTATACTTTGAAATATTGCTGGAATGCTAAATGCTTCTACCAGCACACCTTAATATCAGAGTAACCAAACTCAAATTTTTGAATCACGACATTAGCTGCTGTATCGCTGTGATAACCAACAAACAATCACCTGGTCCAAAAAAACTAAAAATTGGAAATAATATCTGAGTTATTTCTAAGGTTTTTTGGTGCATGTAGATGCAACTTTGAGTTGATTGCAACTTTCCTAACACGCATGCACACTAAGAAAAATGGGAATTAGGCATCGCATAATTCAAACTGTGAATACGAATTTAGGTGTTAGTTCAATTTATACGTGTTTTATTGTTTCATTTTCATTCCGACATGTAGAAATATTGTCTGAAATTTTGTATAAATCATCATGGCATTTATTGCTTCTTTATATATATATGAACATATGCATTCAATTCATAAAAACATAATACAATCATGAAACAAGTATGAACAAGCAAGACATAAACAAGTTACAAGGGGTAGACAAAAGTACTGGCACTCTTATAAAATTACATGCTTATCAACGAAGCTGGTTGAAAACCCAACTAGCTATTGCATACCCACAGCATTATTTCTGCAATTTCTTAGTATTATTTTTTTCTCTTTTAATAGCTTGACTAAACTTAAAGTTGACGATCGTGAACATAACATTTTTGTTTCATTTATTTTTCAACTGCATTTTTTATATTTCTGGAATATTCTCTCTAAATCTAAGGAGCAATAAACATTACAAATCTCTTAACTTTATTTTCCACGTTGCAAAACTTAAAAAATAAAACTTATCACAAACTTGATGAGACCCTATATGATAATGTTCATTGTTCAGTGATTTCGTTCATGCAAATAAATTTTTTTTAATGATATATCTTTGAGTCTGAAATGATTCCTAGATAAAAACCCTCTCCAATCCGATGTCAGGAATGTTTATTTAAACTCTATACACTTATTGTCTAGGTAATATTGAAAAAAATTTCTTAAACATTAATCGATGTCTTTATATATCAATTAAAAAATTCCGATCAAAAACATTGGCAGTCCGTAAGTTTGATTGTGGGATGCAAATATTATCGTGCTTATTCAGTAAAAACAAGGAATTTCACAAAATTTGACGAAAATTGTACGACAAATTCAATTGGCAAGGCAAAAAATTAATAGATGAAGTCCATAAAAGTGCTCTTTCGGACTTCATTGAATAGGAATGGTTTGTCAAATAATCTAATACACCTTTCTTGTGATGAATATTCGTTGTTTGCTTTAGAGAATTTTGCAACCCACTTCTCCAGTTCTTCAACCAAATCGGTTTGACGTTTAGTCAAACCACTTGACATCACCAACAAATGTTTCTCAAGACGATTAATAAGAGGAATTGGAAAGCGCATGTAAACGTCATCTTTTTCAGCAATCACTATCAATCTAGAATATGAAGTAGAAGTTTATGTCATTTGAGACAAAACTTGGGAAAAAATTTGTCCCAACAATATAAAACCATAATGAATTATCTATAGGAAGTGGTGCAATGAATTGAAGTGAAACAAAAACACTGTTCCAGCGCTTATAGTATGTAATAAAGTAGATACAATAACCGTTATTGATTTTTCTTAAAAAGAATGTGCATCACACAAAAAAATTTACTTGAAATTGTCAGCAACACGGCACTTGACTCTGTGGTTTCTAAGGCCTAGATCGACGTACTTTTGTTGATCTAGATACACGTAATACTACAAAAGATATAGGTACAAAGTTTATTATTTAGTTATAGCTGAAACTATTCCTCCGAATATAGCATTAACTAGCAAAATGAAAAAATGCTGATAAATAAAGAAAATTCATATTGACACGTGTAAAATACCCCATAGTCCCACACTAAAAACGAGCTCCACCTGGTCATTGGCATTTACACCTATACGGTGTTTCCTCTACACTTTGAAATTTAGAGTATTCCGAATCACCATGCAGTTACAGCATTCATTATGCTAACCTGGTTTAAAGCATCATAAAGACTTTCATAGAGACTTTCCAAGTTTAGTAAAATCACCATTTTTCCTGTTTCCATGCACACTTTAATACGATTAATATTTCGACAAATCTATAATTGATATCATATTAAGTCCACTTGCAGACATGGCTTTATACATCAATGGTTAGTTTTCCCAAACGTCCAGTAACTTATTGAATTGATTATAGGTGTCTTGTGTGTGTTTTACCAACGTCAAACATATCGAAAAAGTTATCAAAAAAATATCAAAGCTGTTATAGCTTATTTCAACAATAGAAAAGACAAAAATTCAAAACAAACAGCATTAGTCTTACAGTTGATATGCAGCTATATTCACACCAATTGAAAATTGAGAAAAATAGGCACGAGAAAACGAGAAACGTTTCACGTTTTGAACTTTTGAGTTTCTTCAATGTTTGCAATATAACAGCATTTTGACAAGAAAAAATGCTTCATATTTTTATAGCATAGGCAAGAGACATAAAGTTTAAATTTGACCATTTTATATAATTGATTGCATCAAACTCTACAAAATCATTAATTTTAAGTGTCAGGAAACTATTGTGATTAAACAACGTGTTCTAACTTGGCTTTCAGGCTATCCGTGCAAAGTATTTACAAATTCAATATAAATAACTATTCTTTGTTAAAAAAAAGTTTAAAGTAATAGAATAAGAGCAATATACTACTTATTTCCAGAAAGCCCAATTTTCAATTATATATACCTGTGTGTATTGTTGATCTTTTGGAAAACTGCTGCCAAAAATCACTTCAGGCTCATGCTTATGAAAGTCCTTGCCTTGTAGTAATCTCAATGCTGCATAGTTCTCAGTCAAAACAAGTAAATAACGACTTTCTCTGAAATTTTAATACGTATGGATGTAAGAATTGAGATAATATCACAAGAGTCATTTGTGCACTGGTAGCTTGGTACATGACTAAAGTATGAACAATTTTATATGAAATACCCTTCATTCTCTGTTCTACCCAAACTGTTATGAATAAGACAGACGGGAAGACATTCCGGTGAAGGAGTCTAAGAACATTGCAGAATAAATTAATATTCCAAAACTTTAACAAGTTTTTTCTATTGTATGCGTAGTACATTACCTTTATATGTTCAAGCTCTTGGAAATGTTGACTAAATATTTTAACAGGATTAAGATCATCCAAACCACTAAAATTTCTTCTGATGCATTGCTCTAATTTAGTATCACCAATCCAAGCACCATCATTAGTAACTCTAGCTGATCCATTTACCATCTTTACAAGACTATTCAAAGAACAAAGTACAAACGCAGTGTTTTTTACAGAAGATAGTTCCAATTTAAAATTACATTATAAAATGTAGACGCTAAGCTTAAAGCCAACATATACAGCATCTATTCGTACAAATTGTTTTGATGTACTTTGAAATAAAAATATAGAGTACAAAAACACATTCATACCTATAAAAGTCTCTCAGACCAAAGAATTCGTCTTTTTGAGCGTTTTCTAAAGTTTTGGAGACTTTCTGCTCTTCATACAAATCAAAATATCCTTCGCACAACTTTTTCATGATTCCTTCTATATTGTCATCATCATTGCAAGAACATATACCCCTAAAAAATTTGTAATGACCAGGAACAGTAATTTATACACTTGTAAAGAAAAAATCATTTTATGTTTTGTTCACAAGTCTTATTTGCAATACGTTAAAGGTGGTGATTGCTACAAAATTCAAAAAAATGTTTTATCAGCGTTTACAATACTTGCAGCAATAGTCATACAAGTTTTCGTTGGAATTAATAAAAAACATACTGAAAAAGTATTTTAGAAAAGATCACAGGTGACCAGTTATGTAAGTCAATTTCATATTCTTAAATGAGATTTTATTGAAGTTAAATCACTATGTTTACTACAAACCTTGCACTGTCCAGAAGTTCAGTTTTGCTTGGGGCTCCTCTACTCAACATTATTCCACGATTCATTTTTGCGGGGTCTAAAGCCCAGTTTGACAAACCTATAAAACCTACACGGTTATGATCAAGTGTCTTTCCAGATTCTTCAGAAGTGGCTGTACCGTCTTCAAGTAATGGATGAAGTGTCTTCAGTGGCATCAATGGTGAATCTTCTGCTAAACCAATCTCGTCTAACACAACTACGGAGACGAACTTGCTCAAATCTTTGTCTTTCTGAAGTTGGGAACATTGTTCAAAGATGGAGATGATACCTTCAGGTGTAGATAAAGGGCTGCATTGATACGAGTGCATGTGAATCTAAATATATTTTAAAATATGGATTATTATACTCTTTACATATAACTATGAGCAAGACAGCCAGGAAAGAACATTAACGAGTTTCAATCAAAACTATAGAAAAAAAGCTATCTAGCGCCACGAATAGTAAAAAATCATTACTTAAATTTAGGACAGTCAGCTGGAAGCTTAAGGTAGCTTGTTCTTATAGAAAAAAAACGTTTGGAAATGGTGAAAAAACTTTCTAACCTGTTTCAAATTCTTAAACAATTCGTCGTTAGACTTTCCAGCTTGCATGTTAGTTGATATTACATCTTTTGCTAGAGACTTTGAGCTTCCTGGTTTACCAACTACAAACAATGGGATTCGTAGTTCTGCACATATCGCCATCATAAAAACATTTTCACAAAGTGCTGTATTTCTTGCAATATTCTGGCCAAGTTCCACATCGTGCAAAAACGTTCGTTGACACCTTTTGTAAAAAAACATTTATATATTTACCAAGTTCCAAGAATGGAATCATATCAGCTAAGTTCGTCAACTATCGTCATTTACTTCACGTAAATACAACATTCAATTATAATTTCAAATTGACAATTACAAAATGAGTTATAATGCCGCTTCATCAGGCTTTGTTTGAGTAAGGCACGTACGTATAAAAGTCACAAAAATACAGTGCAAATTATGAGAGAGATTCTTATAAACATCTAGGTCATTAACACTTAAGGATCTTACTTTACTATTTCATCCTTCATCCTTTTAACACCTCCAGGAAGTGGGCATGATTTGTCAAAATACTTGATGATGTACCGGCAATACGCATGTCTTTCATTTAGTCGTGCATAATAACAAACACCAATACCTTGGACGATGGAAAACACAATACGATTTAAAGGCTAAAGAAAAAGGGATAATCATTTTAGTGTTGATAATTGTGTTGACCGTAAATATTATCATGGTTGACAACAAATACAGAAACAGTATATTAAACTGTGAGCAAATTTGAATACAAAATAAGCTTATAAAATTGAGATGTGAGTTCTGGACATGGTACAATGACATATTGTTTCAAGTAAATTTGACTTGCCAGAAAAAGGAAATTACCAACAATTATAGCTGTTGGGTTTATAGAACCCAAGCCAAATAACATCACACGACTATAATTCATAAACGTTTTTCGTGTACCATAAAACTAAACTTAATCTTACCAAACTTTCCTCATCTTCTTCTTTACTGTCACTGGAATCATATTCCTCTCGGTGAGAATCATTAATGATTTTCATTATTAAATTATAATTGTGGTAAAACCAGTTTATTACTGTCATTGTTCGTTCAACATCACGAAGGCTGACAAAGCTACATTCGTTCTAATCAAAAGAGAGGAAAATGTGTGTGGATCATAAATTGACTCGACATTTAAATGGCCCTTGAAAAGATCTTTAATGTTCTACCTTTTGTTTCCGCATGTATTGTTGGGAAGATGACAAAACTTTAGCAATACATGAAGCTTGGACATCGTTTCCACTTATTTTTTCATCGGATGTAGCAGATGTCTTGAATTGTAAAATGTTGACATATATATTTTGTGTATAACTATTCGATAGGTAATATTTCAATGTTTATTTGTTGGTCATGTTCATCGGTTGATAAAGCATATAAATTTGTATTATGATAACACATATACTTTGTTGCATAGTTATTTCATTGTAATTGGTTTATCATGTTCATCTTTCAATGTTAATAACAACAACGTGAAAAACAACTTACCGGTATTATTGAAGGAGTGGTCACATATCTCTTCACTATTTGTCTGGTATATAGTTCCTCAGTGTGATCCGTCAGCTGACCAAAGTCCCAGACAAGAGGTCTCAAACTTTCAGGTAAAGGATGGACACGATACACGAGCTGACGGAGAGGAATGGAGCCTGGGAAAGATAAATATAACATCATAATGTATTTATAAATTCAAAGTGAATAAATCAAACATAAAACTTCATTTATACAAAATGATCTTTATCTGCAAATTTGCGAAGAAAAAATCAATTTTATGATTATTAGATATAGTTGTCACGTTTCAAAACAAAGATTACGGGTTTTTTATTAATTATGATAAAGGAACAATTATTCGTTACACTAATTTAATTCCATACCTAGTTTATCTTCAGTCTCGTCAGCAGAAACATGGTAACCCAGACCAGCTGATTCCAATTTTTTAATCATCTCGTCAGTGTGTCTTAAATAAAGTAATAGTGATAACTTTATAAATGTTTGATACATTTAATTACGAGGATATTTAAAAAACAACACAAATTTAAAATTAAAAACCAACTTCCTGTATGGATTACACGCAGCAATAAAATGAAGACTAGTCAATTTTGGATCGATATATCGGCCCTTCACTCGTCGATCAACCATTATCTCTTTGATGAGATCAATTGCATCTGTTGTATTTGCTACATCAAAGAACAAAATTGTGTCAACATTTATTTTTTGGTTACATGAAGCCAAAATTTCCGCCTCTGCGACTTTCTTCTCTATTTCGTCGTAGCTTGTTCCGCTATGAACCTGTTTAAACACAATTGAGCAACTGTGATCGATATCTAGGTGAGAATTTTTACAGATGCAAACATTCCCTAGAAAGTTACGTTTCCTTCAAAATGAATGATCCTGTTTTGCCAAATACATTATAGCATCACAAGTAACTCAAATTTTATGAAAAATGCAGTAACAAGATCAATGGAAGTCTAGTAAGACTCGTAATTTAGAATTGTTTGCGGCTAAAAAATCAAATTCGCAAACCTTCATGAGAAGTAAGTTCTTTGGTCCATCAAGTCCAGCCTGAAGCTGACACATAAATCGTATCAATCTTGTTTTACCACAACCCGTTTCTCCCATGATAATGACAGGAATGCCACATCTATTCCAAAACAAGAAAAGAAGAACGTGCGTTACATATTGTCCAAGTTGCAGTGATTCAATCAATGCAACAAGGATGTTTACTGACGTATTTCCAAATTCAAAGACAAGAGATGAGAGATATTTATTTCTTACCATGCTTATACATATAAATGGTATGTCTACTGAGATAAAATCTTCAAAATAAATATGGAGTTTTTCAGCTAAAATCAGTATGGTATTCTCGTGCATGGAAAGTTTTCATTTCTTTCGATTAAAACAAAAACAAAATAGACAAATGACAATTTCAACATTTTTGTGTATATATTTAGCGTCCTGTAATATACTGTGAAAAATGTGTACCAAATTTTACTCAATTTACCTAAATCTCATGTGAATGGCCAAAATTTTCTCAACGTTGTCAGTGGTAAGCTCGTACGTTGGATCAGGATCATGAGGATAATCAATACCCATGACCTGACATAAGTCGTTAATCCTCACATCACTAGAAAATAACCATACACCTAACGGTTAATGCCGTTGCCATGGCAATAAAAGTTATTCACTTTTTTTTAAAACTTCGGTTTTTTACAAGAAAAAATCTCTACTCCAAACTATGTAAACAAGATTGTATCTTCGTCTTGTTTGTCAATAATAACAAACTAACCGTCCACCTATTTCGTAGTTTACATCAAAATCTACCCCTTGCACCTTCAGTTGACCTCTTAAAGTGGTTGGCATCAAACGTTGTTCTAAAATAGTTCTATTTCCAGGGTCCAGCAGGTCTCCGTTATCATTCAACAAGAATCCCAAAAACGTCATACTATGACGATCAAAGTTGAAGAAAATATATGGATGCGAACTGAAAGAAAATTAAACATTTAAAAATGAGAAATAACCACAAGAATTATGTTTTACAGAGAATGATAATAACTCAACAGTGATTAAAGAAAAAGGTCTGTATCATTCTCATTCATTGTTGCCATGCATTGAATATATTTAGTATTTACAAAAGTAGATCACTGTTAGGACATGGAGTTCAATGAGAAGACACATTATACTGTTTAGATAAACTTATTTGAATAGTTTTACATTAAAACTTAGAATGTTTTCAACGTTCGCCATGTTGGTAGAAAATCCCACATAGTGGAATCTCATTTAGGTTGATTTCATGCATCGGCGTTTTGGTGTAACCTTCCAACATGGTCGTTTTGACGTCACATGCACGCAAAACTCTATTGAGTTATTTCAAATGTACCTTAATTCCCAACGTCGACGTATTTGAAAGGGCTCTAGATCGTCATTTACCACCTCATCAGTGTCATCAATACCCAAATTGCGATCACTTAGCGATCTGGTAGCGAAGTCCTAGAATAAAAAACATTTAAACGAGCTAAAAAAAACTTGATGAACAAGGTAGAATCATCTATTTTAAACTAGCTAAACTTAAAACAAAAGCATCTCTATAATCTCTAAACCAGTATAGATAACATTTAATATAAAATTAACAGTGTATTTGAAATGTGTAAAAAGTTAAGATCAAAATTGCAAAAAGTAATTTGTAAAAGTAGAAATTTGTGCAATTGTTCAGCTAAGTGCCTATGTGAACACAAAATTAGAAATCTTTTCATAAGTCAAGACAAGCGGGAGTGATTCAACGTTGAACAGAAGAAATTTTACAAGCAATGAAACAATGGTCGCTACAAGTTAAGCTAACTATTGAAAAACTACGTGAAAATGTAAATCTTACCCGTGACATTTGGATCATAAAACGCACGGCAAACGTCTTAAAACCTTGCAACAAATCTCCAACCAAGTTAGTATCACAAAAGACACTTTCCTCACAATCATGGAGTTGAACATTTAAAAAGTTAGCAAAGTGATGAAGCTCGGCCCATAATGGATTGCGTATTCCACAGTATCTGAATGAAATGAAAATCCATATATCTATAAATGCAGCCATTCAAAAAAGTAAATGAAACAAAAAAAAAACTACAGCAGTGCATTATGAATTAAAAACCTCAAATCTAAGAAAAATCAAATTATGTTAATGTTGGAGACAAAATATATATGATTAAATACGTACCACACTCGCTTTATACAAATGACATTTACTTACTGGATCAAAATAGTCAACGCTTTATTTGGATCGCTTACAGCAACACGAGGATCATTTATAAATGAAAAATTGTCCAAGTTAGCGCCAGTGGATACTTGCAACAAATATTGTAAAGCTCGTTGATATTCATCACTGTTGAATTGCTCTCTGTCGAAGCTCGTATCTCCTAAATATTTTTCAAACATTTTAGTGAAGTAGAAAAAATATATGCGTCTTTAAAAGTATTGAAAGAACGATTATGTATTGTAACGTCAAAAACTACCAACATCAACACCATTCAATTCATGACATGAATTGATAATAAGTATGTATTGAAAAGACAGCATGAACAATACAATTTTTTTATGTGAAAATCAAATGTTATCAAATGATAAATGCCATATCATATGTAGTACTGAGAGTACAAAAGTGAACTGTTGATACAAGTCCTTTAGGCATAAAGGTGATTTTTTGTGTTTCTAAGCACTTTCACGTAATTTGGCACAGTTGGCTTTGAAATTTTTGAAAATATACTTACAAGTTTTTTCTAGTGAGAAAACCGTGGTAAAAATTAACACAAGCCATGTGCACAAAAATTACTCGTAACCATGAGTTAAAATATAGATTGTGTCGCGCAAGCTATCGAAATTTCAAGAGCTTGAGTGCATTGTGGGAAATTTGCATAAATTACTATAAACAGCTAGTACGTTGACTCTTATAGGTGGAAGTAAAGTAATAAATCTCGGTTTGATTCGTGAAAACGGGAAAAAAATCCAAGTTTTAATTTGTTGCGTTGATAAAAGCAAGGCCTATTTTGAAGGACTTTTAATAACAGTTCTCACACTATGAAAAAATATTGCGTTCTTAAAAATTCCAATACTAGCTGTTTTTCTATGTCCGAGTGCATTTTTTTAAGAGACCATTGTCTTGGCATATATTTTTTCTATTCACCCTTTGTGGAAAATGTTATCTTTGGCTCCTCAGGCGAAGTCATGTATGTTAAAATATTTCTTACCATCTCTTCGTAATTGCAAATTTCTTAATGTTTCCCTTGGTGAAAGACAATGGATGCGTGGTAAAACTTCATGAACGAATACTTGCCACTTGACGGTCGTTTCGTGAGTTCTACGGATATAAGTGATAGTAATTTTTGAATACTGAGCAAATCTCAATATTTTATACTAGCTTAGGCTAAAAACAAAATTTAGATACTTTAGAAATATCGAATAAATGATAACGACAAAATATCAATACAACAAACATTTTTTATCAACTAAATAATAAATGGAAATAACTTGAGTGCAGCAAAGCTGAGTGTTTTAGCAAAATGTTTATTTTAATTGTAACGAAAATTAAAAGAACTTACTAAGTATTTGTATATTAGCAAAAACTACAACTATGACTTTGGATAATCTCTTAAATGAACATGAATGCTCATTTTTGTAAAAATCAAATAAAATATGAAAATGTGTACCGGATTTTGATTCGTAGGAAAATTATCAGATGTTAACATCGCAAATGTCTTGTCAGTTGTGTGTTCAACAATATACAAATCGGTTGTTTTTCTTCGCCAAATATTTCCATTGTTATCTTTGACAGATCCAAGGATCAACAGTTTAAACAGAAAGTCATCAAGTCCTTTTGATACCTTGAAAAATTTTACTGTTACATTTGTTTCTAAGACAATAGGAATTCCTCATTAAAATATCTTCATTTTCATTTCAAACTTTTTTCACTTAGCTGTAATTGTACAACTTACTGATTGAGAAATGTCTAGATGAAAAATTCTTGAAACAGGAGCATATCTTTTTGGAGCATGTGAAAGGAGGTGACGAGTTATCGAATTGCCCTCAACACACACTCCATGGACTGGGATAGTACAACACAATGATGATTGGAAATTTCTGGAATTTTTCTTTATAGTGCTTGAAAGACTTTTTTCTAATTGTTTAGTAAGACGTTTTACAATCAAACTTTTCCCCATTCCTGCTCTAGATGACTGGATAAAACGCACACATGAGCTATAAAAAGAAAAACAGTTTTCTAGCTACACTTTTTGCACGTGTTTCAATGCCAAATTTTTTGACAAAATCTTTAAGACCTCTTATCCAAAACCAATTTCCCTTTCAAAATCAAATATAGCTACATTCCATGGCATGCCAAAAAATATTAATGTTTAGCGAATAAAAAGACGCTTATATAATACATACCTTTCTTCATCTACAATAGCTGCTGGCATGAAAGCATTGTTTATAAGTTGATTTGTACAAACAAGTTTTTCTTTCAGATATCTTTGGACACCTTCCAATGACGTTAGTGGAGGAAATGAGCGACGATAGGGATCTAATGTTCTCACCATATTCGATTTATCATTTTCAATACTGCATATTACGACCAAGTGATATTCTGAGATATAAAAAGAAGTAAAAAATGACATTCTCCAATAAATCACTTGAATCAAAATGTCAATGACAATGCTTTCAATTAAACAGATAAAAAACGTTCATTGGGGGGAGGTTGAATGTTGGCATTGAATGAGTACCAATAAAATACAATGCTGTATCGTTGAAAGTGCATTAACTTACTGGACTGTCCTTGCGTTAAAAAATCAAGTAAACGCAGTGCTTCTTGACTGACGTTAAAGTCCAAAAGATCTGCATTAACAAGACAAAACAATCGGCCAGTATCGTCAACTACAGCTCGTCGCCAAAATAGTTCAACCTATATTAAACCATTTAAGACAAATCTTTACAAAGCAAACGTTTACTTTTTAATATATCATTGATGTAGGGCGAATAACAAGTTCATGAAAGGCAAGGTTAGCAATGGTTATATGTCAAATACACAATCACAAGAAACTAAAAATGTTACAAAAAAATATGTTTCTCTTTCATTTAAGACAAGAACAAAACCTCAGGAAATACAAACACATAAAAAATTTTTGACACTAGACAAGACCCCTATCTGAGCGAATTGTATGTATTTTTATAGAAGAGTTTAAACATTTAAAACCTCATACGAAACAGAGCATATGTGACCCTGCTCGGAGCTAGTACGAAAACTGATACTTGGATTTATTTATATTTGTTTGTAAAGCCTGTTGTAAGATCTTTTCGTTTGGAGTTCATAATGAATGAATTAAATACTATGCAAGACAATCAGAAGATGAATGAAAAATATACTTTAATGCAACCGTACCTCTTCTGATGTCGTGTTCTCATCACAAACGAGCACTTCTTCTTCGCTTGGTAACGTTTGATTTTCACTTCCCATGAAAAGAGACACCACGCAACCAAATACCTCACCTGGTTTAAAATATTCACTTGTGAAAAGTTATTCAAACTCTTTTTCTTGGAAGATAAGTGTATGAGATGTCTACAGCCATAAAAATTACATACTTCCAATCAATAGAAAAAGAAAATACCTTTAGAGACAAGCAATAGATTTGGCTCCCCTTCTTTAAAAACGGTAGGAAATCGTCGATCTACTTGGCTATAATCTGCATGAAATATTCAAATCAGTAAAAAGATAATTCTGTCAACATTTATATTTTAGGTCATTAACTAGCCTTACAATGTAGAAACTAAAACTCTGTTAGAAAAAGAATTTATAATGATTGCTTGTTTAATGCAATTCATAAAAATTCCAACTGGATGTAAAATGTATGAAAACAACACCAACCAAAGTTGACTTTTCTTGAATCAATATATCTTGACATTATCAATTGCACTAATCTACATGATCTGTCCTTCGCTTAAATTGCTTGCAACATAGTAAATGTTTTTATGCCAGTGTTTGTTTGTCCTAGTTATGTACAAATTAAACAAATCCTGAATTGAAAATAGTGCTTCATCTAGATTGTGTTAAAACGTATTGGTAGTGCAAAAGACTATAATTTAAAAAAATAATAAAGTGTTGTGGATGAAACTAATAACAATATGCGTTAGCATTTACTTGTTTATATATTTCCTCTCTATGCGTGTAGATGATTTTAGTTAATCAAACCTGTTTTTGAAATCACTTCCAAAACAGCCGCTAAAACCTCTAACGACAAATATCTGTCCTCCTCGTTATGAACGTACGGTTCATTGAAATTGGTGAGTGGAGAGATGCTTTGTTCTTCATCAATGGGTCTAAAGTCAATCAATGAACATTAATAAAGTTGTTGAGTACAGCATAGCTTAATGTATCCCCTGCAGTAGGAATTTTGAAAATATAACTTCGTCAATTTTCAAGAACACAAAAATTGGTGTGCTATTTAATAATGACTAGTTGAATGCAATTATAAAATTTAACAGGAATGCAAAGAACCTCCTAGACCGTGTTTCACATTTCTACAATATCGTTATTTAATTTCTATGCACATGAAGCCCTAATGATCCTTGCAAAAACTAAAAGAGCAACTGACCTTTTGCATAATATAACCATTAGTTGATTGTGTTTAAGTAATTAATATAAACTTCTTTACACTTGCATTTCAGAAACTTAAGCCAAGAAGAAAGGTATTTTATAAATTGCGTCTCTCAGCCAAACATAGTGCACGTTTTCAGTGGCAAAGAGAACCCAATTACTTGGTTCTGCTGAGAAAATTTTCGTGTGTTCACTCAATGGAAAAACAAAAGATTTCTGAAGATTTGAATGATTTTCACAAATAATGTACAACAATTAAACTTTAATCCAAAATAAGAGTTTTACCTAGTAGGTTGAGAGATTTCCAATAAATTATCTTCATCTCGAGTGTCAGAGTCAGTACCAAACACTTCGGTTATAAGATCAGAAAGACGAGGATTTTGCTTTGCTTCTTGTGATAAAGCCAAGATGTTTTCTTCGTCATCATTACAGTCAAATACCCATGCAAGAAGATCGTCCTTTGTTGCATCACGACCACAAACTTGTAGAGCAGCTAGTATGTATTCCTCATCATAGCCCTGGGACTCTAGAATATCTTTTACAGAAGTAAGCACTTCAAACGAATTTTGTCTTCGTATATGTGCATGTAATGTTGTATCCTTTTCGCCATCTGTGTCACCGTCACCGTCCTGGTCACTGTCAAAAGGTTCATCCACATTTTCCAATTCTTCTTCATCTTTTAAATACACAAAATTCTCTGGAATCATTGACTTTGGTACATTTGCAAGTATTATCGGATCAATGTCATTCTTAACTGTTTGAAGAAGCACAAATATTTGCCATGGAAGTTCATTGACTGCAGTTTCACCAACACAAGCTTTGGCAAGTTCTTTTCGTAAGGTTAAAATCTGCTTCATAGTAAAATGGTTTAAAGAGTAGCAATGCAATCTTTTTTTATCGATAGTTTCTTTCCATAGCTTTAAGTCGTTTTCCATGTTATTACAATATTCATTAATGCTGGAGAGAAGTTTGTCATTCTGATGTTCTTTTTTACTGCATTGAAACTTAGATTTCCAGGTGAGATAATTGATTTCCCCCACATCGCAAAGTTGCAAGTAAAGTTCACTTAATCTCAAAATTCCTTCAAAAACCTAAACCAAAAGTAGGCATACACGTAAAGAAATTGCAAATATACCTTCAAACACTTTGCCAATATTGCAAGTAATCAGTTTCGAAGGATATTTTATCGTTTAAATTGTTGAATGATTTAATGAACTAGTTTAACAATGTGACCAACATTTATCTTCATAAGAATTCAAGAGGCACGATAAAAAATCAAGTGTAATCTAAAAAAAAATTGAGAAAGCAAATAACCTGATTGAATTGGTCGACTTCCTCCTTTCCACTGTCTGCTTTTCCAGCAATTAACATGAGTTTGCTTTGAATATCTTTAATTTCATCCAAACTGTAAATTTTTTCCTCTCGGTTCCTATCGGTATCCTCCGGAACAACAAGAACCACGACCTCTTCAGGTTTTCCACTTGTTTTCGTTGCTTTGTTTCCTTTTTCTTTTTCCTTGTCAGCAATGTAGTAAATACCACATGAATTGATTGCTTCCACTTGGAACATTGTTGTCAAAGCAACTGAACCATGTGACTTTTTGATCTGCTTCAGCCAAGAAAGATTTTTCTGCGTTAATTCCTTAAAGTAAAAAATTGACGTTAGTTATCATTAATTAAAACATGTTACGCAAGAACAGAAGAAACCTTTGACTTTTTTTTTGTTGATTTAGATGCGAGATAAATAACATAAAAGCTTTTTGTTTAGCGTGCTCAGTAGTTTCAGGGCAAACAAATTTATAAATTCGTCAATGCAAACGTTTTGCAATACTTTGTCTTGCGTTGAACAGTACAACAGAATTTGATAATCGACACTCTATTTAATTTACGTCATTTTATCTCCCAACCTTGCAAACGCTACAGTTTCTATAAAAGTTTACAATAACAAAACGATGGTGTAAATTCATTAAACGTAACATCAGAGTGTCTAAAATAGCCACCTATATACAATGAAGTTCAACTAGAACACTTACTAGCTTTCTGTCAATGGTTGGATTGGCATCAATCACTTGCCAGAGAGGTTCGCAATGTTTCATCAGTTTACGAAAACCATGCTCTTCACGATAGCCAAATATCAAAGAGCCAAATCCCAAACAGCTTGTATGCATACAAGAAATACGGTCAATTTCTATATCGCTTTCACCAGCTGATATCATGGCCAAATCAACGAATACCTTTAACTCTTTTTCATCTGGAAATTTACAGAAAAATTGAAAGAGTTCGCAAATCGCGAATTATCAACATACAACCCAAAGCACTGTGACGATAGCTTAATTCATTTTGGAAATTAATTAACCCTTCTCCTTTCGGCAGCAAACTATGAATTGTATTTATTTAATCACTAAGAAATCAGAAAACGTTCTACCTTTAATATTTTCTCTCAACCAATGAACTAATTCAACACTTTTGGCAAACACTTTTAAGCAATTCAGCCTGCAAGAGGTCATATTATCTAAAAGCTCTCCCGCTTTCAGTAAGTCATCTTTCACATCGTTAATAGTTTGATCATGGAGGTTACCAGATATCATCTAAAAGTAAAAACAATATCATGTTGCACACCACATATTTTCTTTTAATAAAAAACCATGCTTAAAAGAGTTTTAAAACGATTTTATATAAACAAACAGTAAAATGAGGGCACTAATTGGTATATTCAGATTAGCTAACAATAACATGTACAAACCGATCTGAGCTTGATAAATCAAATCCATCAAACAGTTGCAAATCATTTATGTATAGAAGTTAGAAGAAAAACTAAAACATTGTTTTAAATTTATCCGTTTTGCATTACTGTTATTTTATAAAGGCAAAAGATGTTTTTTCTGTTTGCACTGGCTTATGCACACCTCAAAGACGTAGACGCAACAATAAAAGTCTTTTTTTTTCTGAAATAATTCAAAAATTCAATTGGTCACTTTTGTGACAAGAATGCTTTATCATATACGGCTGCTGAAAGCCGTGAAAAGATATTTGTTGATCTCAAAGATTTTGATGAGCATAGTACATGTACGTTATTTTGAATGCAAAATATCCAGTCAAAAACAACCACTAAAATGAACGTTTTCACGACGATTGATGATGAATGTTTTTCTGCCTTCAACCACTTACAATATCAGTGTTTAATTGAAGTTTTAACTTTAAAATGCTGAATCATAGTTATACGTAAATGCAGTCATCCAAGGGATAAAATAACCATATAAACTTACCTCTTTAATCAATTTCACATCAGAAAAGTCACCTTTCAAATAAAATACTCTGCGTACATCAAGTATCGCCTGCGCAGCTTCCCCTTTGAAAAATAACTTCTTGTATTTTGTCACTTTACCAATGATATCTTTGAGTAGTTTGTCAACATCGCCCTGCGGTGGATAACCAAAATATTTTGAAAGAAGCTTGAACTCTTTTTTTAAAGCGTCGTAATTATTTCCAAGTAAGCGTAAATATTTATCAATCCTCGTCAGCTCCGTTACACCATCAAAAAAATCTTCATTAGCAGCCTTAAGTTTCTCTTCGATGACTTTCCAAACATCATCGTGAATCTTCTGGATGCTAAAAACTTCATCTTTTAACTTTTGCTGAAACTTCTTCCAGTTGTTTTTAAACAATTCACTTTCTTGCATCGCAATCATATTTTCTATCATTAGGAGAATGCTTTTGTCCACTTTGAAAAACAATGAATTAAAATGACCACGTTCATTGGTGAAGCCAATTTCGCGCAGAGATAAATCACGATAGTCTTGATCAATCTTTTTTCGCAAATAGGAAAACTCTTCATCAACTAAAAATAAACAATGCACAAAGTGATTAAATTAAAATTTGTAATCAATTTCTAGATATTTTTTACAGTTATTTTTTGTATTTAAAATTTTTCCGACATCTGCTCTAATTTGTCGGAATGAATTTTTTCAGCATAAAGCTATATATATATCAGAAAGTGCATCTCAAATTCATTTCTTGTGTTTAATATAATATGTAGTTGGTGTCTTAATTATAGAAATAAATTATTTATTAAAATGATGCATTCTTTGTCTTGTTGCTAAGGTTTACAATAGGATATGCTTTATAAGGATTTATAAGATAGGATATGCTATATTTCAGCATTCTGAGTGTTATTTTGGCAAGAAAATCTGTAAAACTACAGAATCTGTTCCTATATTTTGGTAAGCAAAATAGCAAAAAATCTGTTGAGAAGAATTATTAAAAGAATATTGTAATGCAAACAGCTGTCTTCAAAGAATACTGCATAATTCAGAAATACTGCACCATGGCGATCGATTGCTATCTTAAAAACTATTTTTAAATGTCTTATTGTTATAGAAAAGTAAAGAAACAATAAAATTATTTAGCCCAGAATAATATATAACGGTTCAACTACAGGGCTTTGTGGAATCCCAAACATTTCCTTCAGCGACATTTAGAAAACAGGTTATAACCAAATTCCACACTAGGCCCCAAACAACGTTAATTTACTGTCAAGTGTTCCATGCTTGTCTTTGCAAGTACAGGTGTATGGTTCCTTGTGCAAATTGATAATCTTTAAGTGACTTCAATTCACGTTTTCCAAGTCCATTAAAAACATAATCTCGTGGAGGTTTTTTGCACAGCAAAATTAACTTTACCAACATTCATTTTGAGATTGCGAAAGTCATCCCTTATAATTCTGTCTGAGGATGACTCTGAAATAAAGTCGAAAATTTAGCTTACTTCTCGTCTTGTTTTGATTCATATTTTGCAATCTCAAAATGTCTTGCTTTTTCGGAATTTGTTTTTTACTATATTTGTTTCATTTTTCAACATGCACTTTTATTAATCAATATGACAGTGCATATAATCATAGTTGTTAAGAAAATAGCGGAAAATACATCGCTTTACAAATATTAAATAAAAATTTAAAAAATCAAAATTTAAAGTTTTTGTGAACGTATTTCTTTTGAAAAGATTATTAGCAAGGTAAGAGATTCAAACCAGATTATGGTGCAAGAGATTATTGCCAGGATGTGTTTTTAACAACTAATCTCAGCCTTTTGTGGTACTCATAAAGAAAAGAAATTGCATCATTTCAGTTGGTTAGCGAGTGAAGCGATACGCACTAGCTAATTCACCATTCAGCAAACTTTCCCAAAGAATAAAATAGACTAGATCATGAGACAGATGAGCGATTATTTACCTTTCATGAAATTTTTACTCAAATGAACGAAGATGGAGAGTTGTTTGTGCAAACTAAGAAAACTACTTAGTTCTGATTCCCGCTGATAGAACCAAGTGGCAGCAGTGTGACTTTTCTTTTGACTTTCCTCGTATATTTCGCTAAGGCTTAAATATTCTTTCGAATAATTCTGCAGCAAGTGAAATGTTTCAACTGTAACACTACCATCACACACTGATTTCATCACACTGTCCAGACATGATTCTGCATGAACAATCATCATTTCACAGTTGCCTTGCTTTGTCAGCCCCTCTTTGCTAATAGCATCGCTGCCTGATTAAAGAGAAGTAAAAGACATTTAACGAACGAAAGACATAAATTTAAAAATCTATCCAAATCATCCATTCACCGTCAACGAATTACAAAAAACTTAACATTAAATAGATGTTGGATTAAAATCATACATCTATCACTTATAAAACACTTACTGATAAATTTGAGAAGTCCTGGCCATGTTGACCATGTGAGCAGGTGGAACAGCAAAATTTCTCTTTCTTTTTTCCCACTTAAGTCACTTTCTACGTTCAGCTCATGAGGCCATGCTTTATGCAACATTTCACTCAGTAACTTTATTGCCTTTAATGACTTGTCTTGACTTAAGCGTTCAAATGTGCGTATACTGTAATCTCCCTAAGATTCAATGACAATTTTTTTCAAAAACAGGGACGAAAACTAAAATTTCCATGTACCGTCTTTTAATTTATCCATTTATTGTAAAGTAAGCAAAATTATTGAAGCTATAAAGGTAATGCATTTTGTCAGACAGCGAAGAGCCAAATGATGAATACAAAAGCAACACAATACAATTTATGATGCCCCCTTTTATCTTCGCACTTTCTTACAGTTATCAATGTTTTGATTCATCATTGGAGTTAAGAATACAATACAAACCTAAAGTATCATTTTTATTAATACTGCATGCGTCATTAAATTTCAATGTCATGTCATCCAATATGCATATTTCAAAAGGTGACACTTTCTGCCATATTAAAAAAAAAGTGAAAATTGCAGTGATCGTGTCATCACTCAGAATAAAGCTATACCTAAGTTCTTTTTCCAAATGACAACTGCATGAGCTGCGAAAACATAGCTCCCGTTTACAGTAAAAAAAGAAAAAGAGTGATACTTTTGGCAAAATATTTTTGCAATACAGATTAACATGCAGTTAATATAGTTATATGCTCACTCTTGTTATGATACAGTAATTCTAAAAGTTGTCCAAGTTTTAAAAGGATGATTGAATACAAAGCAAAAAAACAGACAAGTAAAATAGCATCACCTCAAAAAATCTCTGACCTTTTTACGTAGTTACGTTTTGAAGTTTTTCAACTCCGAGAGCAAAAGCTGAAAGAAAATTGTTTCGAAAAACTTACTTTTACAACTTTTTCAATTGCTTTAAAAGCAGCGTCACTCAAACATGTTGCAACTTCTTGGCTACATTTTTGTTCGTTGGATAAACAAAACAACTCTATTTGACGAAATGGTGAAACCTAAATAAAATTGAGGAAATTAAAGAATTTCTTTATATTTTGAAATTAAAATGTTTATAAAAGTTAACAAATTATTTAGATCAAAAACAGTTCATTTGCACAACACAGAGCTGAGATTCCTATATGATTGACATCCCAACGTTAGAAGAATTTAAATAAATCAATGCAGAGATTGCATGTTCACTGATTTCTTGCCTTGTGTATCCTTTCGAGAAACTGTTTTCTGAAAGTATCATACCACAACTTTACAAAAACATCTGAAGCAGCAAACGGCAACACCTCGTTCCAGACCTAAACAGCAACGTAAATTACACGCAGGCAAAACGATTACATGGCTTACTCTAGTTATATATTCTGTTAAGTCTCATTTCCGCTATAAAGAGCAGAACATAAAACCCATTTCAAGAATTTTCATTGCCACCGTGAAAGTGCTACTCAACATTACTAAATATACAAAATTTTCATTTTAAAACCATATATTGAAATTATTTGTTAAGTGTTTAGCCTTGCAGCTAAGTAATGCATCGATTACAGAGCATTTGAAAATTGCTACACTTGTTTTTTAAAAATAAAGAATACGATCACGACGTTTAATAACTTGGTTATATTGAAATAGCTTTACTCACTGCTTAACAAGGGACTAAATTTCGCACAGACATTTTTAATACTTACATGCAAATCATTTTTCCATGTATTATCTTTGCAATCTTCAAGATTGCGGTAAAATGGTAAGTTAAGAAACTCTTTCACCGTTTTGATCAGTTCATTGAAAAATTTAAGAAGCCCATTTATATCTTGTGATTGGGCATAAGATTTGCCTAAATTTCTTTCATCGCCTTCTTTTTCACCATTATCTTCTACCTCCAATCCTGCCTTTTGCAAATCAATAGCGCTGGCAGTGCACTTAGCCAAACAACATAAAAACTTTACTTGATGCAAAGGAAGAAAACTTTTGACATTCTTTGCAATTCTCCCAAGTGAAGTTAATAGAGAACTTGTTTCTTTATATCTTGCTTTGGGAAAGTCCTTAGGACTACTTAAAATAAGTAAAACAAACAAAATCAATCATATCCAATAATTTCTGGTATTTTTTGCATGTCCAAATCTCGTACCTACGGTCACAATCTATAGAGCAATTACATAATGTGATTTATCTTAATCAACATACATATGTTTGTCATTAGCTGTTTTGATATGATTCAATTTAATATGTCGTTCTACAAATTCATTTCAGACAATGTTCAGCTTTATTCCTAACGCTAAATTTCTTTTTCATTTCATTTCTAAAAGCTAAAATGCAACTGTAAAGAAATTTACCATCATGCGGCTTAAGATAAGTTAAAATTAGGAGTAAACGTCAGGTTAGCCGTATTTGTTATCTGGTTCTTACGTCATTGTATTGTGTGTACAGGAAATGTGTGGGTGTCATTGTGAATACAATGACAATACAATGACGTAAGAACCAGATAACAAATACGGCTAACCTGACGTTTACTCCTCATTTGACTCTGAAGATGACTACCCCTAAGATTGTCGAAACGTCAGTCAATAAGATAAAATTCAAAAACACAAATTCATATTCCTGTGAATATTGTCTGCCAAATATTTTCGCAAATCATTTCGATTTTTTTCCTCATAAGCAAATTCAACGTTTTCTCTGTGACGAAAATAAAATCAGTAAATGAAATCAATAATATAAAATTATAATGAGCCGTGTAAAAACAATGTGAAAATTTTGTTTTTACTTTGCTACAGAACCGGCACAGTAACTTGAATAAACAGTAGCTAAGACCACTTTGCTGTACAACTCGGTGGTGTGTATAACAATTTATTGGTTGCAGTTACATTTAGCCATCTTAGCGTTCCTATTACTCCGAAAATGCAATCGACTGTCTCGCATTATGTTAATTACGTCTGTAATAATATGGCATGTAGTTACTAAACACAAGCTGCACGCCGTATTTTAAGCCTAGTTTTTCACAATGTAAACAACAGACAAGAAGGAAAACTAGGCATCTAATTACGATCCGCCTCCAGTTACAAGACCACATATAGTTTACTAAGCTCTTGTAGGGTAGTCTCTAACCCCCCTAAATCATTGGTGTGACTAGTAGAGTTTGATTAAGAAGTTGCCATGACAATAGCCTATTTGTAACAATTTTTTATAATGTTCTATGATGTATCTTGGTTATGACGATTGCTAGTAACATTACAAAAAAGTATTTGCAAAATCACATCAACTATTTGTCTTACCACACATGAATTAAGGTTTTGTTCATTTCTTCCAAAAAATTGACAAGAATGTTGATCTAAAAAAATTAACAGATTTTGTAACAATTTCTTCACTTAAGAATTTAGTAAACGAGCAAAAGTGATCTTCGGGAACATAGGAGTAAGAATAAATGAGTAAAAAGGAGTCATTCAGTTTCGTTTTCTCTTATGGTTACATATTGATATAAGAAATTTTAGAAATGGCATTAAGAATTATATACTGTTAAAACAAGAGACTTTCTAAATCTTGTAACATAAAAATTTTTCACTTTTTTTTGAACAAGCCATAGCAGTGAAAAATAATAGATTGAATGACCCAAACATCCGTATTGCAAAAACAAAAACGCTTGCTATTTAACGTATAGCGCATACAAACCAAGTGATTAAATCATTCTTTAACACACTCACTATGTTTCCAGATGAAAGAGATCGATCAGAAATAAGCTTTCGCATTGTGAAACATAACTCCAGGAAAGTAAACAATCCAGTTTTTAAAAGTTCATGGTATATTTCCAGAGGACAGAGCAAAAGAAATAAACGTTTGATCAAAGGATCCATTTCAAAAATTTTCTTCAAATTTTCCAAAACTTCCAATGCCTCTCTGTATTTCATTATAAAAAATAGAAAAAGGCAGTGAGCATTTTCATTTTTGCCTATAACCCAAATTACGTTTAAGTTTCAGGTTGTGAACAAACTCATTTCGTGAAGTCCACTAAAAGACAACGACGCCAGCATTCCTACTTAAATACTTATTTTCCAAATTCCATGTTCGGAGTGTACTACACAGAACGCTTAACCATACCACTGAAGTGACATCTTTATTAGTTTAAAAATATCACTCATTCAATGAAAAACAAAAAGCGTAAAGGTAATATGTAATTAACACGATAACTTCATGTATATATCATGCAAAAGAAGACAATAAGCGATCAATGCCCAACTACAAAATTAAACTCCACAAAATTTTGTGTCAACCAGATAACTCAAACAGTATACTTGATATAGTTAATAAATCACTAATTTTTCATTATTTAATACTAGCTATATTTTTAATTATGACCACCAACCTTTCTGCAAAACCTTGTAAATTTCGGCATGGAAAGTCTTTCATCCCCCACCAATTCCAGCTTGAAATATCCAGGGCTTTCGTAGAATCTACATGTTCAAACGGTTTGCAGTCTCCTCGTAAAAAGTGCACCAAAGGCAGCGCATTAAGCCAGAGAACCAAAGGTATCACTGTCATTTGTTTTTCGTAAAACTTGATAAAATTGTCGATGAAGGAGCTAATGATAAAGGAAGAGAAACAGCCATCAAAATTATTCATCTAAACTTATTGTTTACAAAACATGTCGCAATAATTGCGCATGCACAAACGATCCTTGGGCTATTTGACATTAAAACATGTTATGGACAGACAGCAAAATTGAGTTTTTGTACACGTCTTGCACAATCAATACGGTAGGAACAACACTGGCCGTCAAAAACATCTGCATAAAAACCACCACAACTAGACGTATAAGAACTAAAAGTAAAAAAGTTCTATATTTCGCGATTTCCCAGCTTAGCTACAATCACAGCGTCACATCCTCAGCACATGCTGATGTTGTATCGTTTAGATTTGAGAACCTAGCCTTTTTCTTAGAACATTTTCGTCACATTTTTCATTTGCCTTTTTATATTATTTTTTAAAATGAGACCTGTATTTCCAAAACTTAATCATCTTACAGCCAGTTTTCTTCTTCATTCGATCTGTAAAACTATTTTGGAAAATGGTTTTCGGGAACTTCTCCTCTCTGGTTCACTTCTCAAAAAATTCCACACAAAAACTCATTTTTTGTCGTGCCTCTTGTTTCTTCTCCTAAGTCAGCTTTAGATCCTCAGCATGACCATACTTCCAGAATTCTTATGTGTTTTTCTAACATAAGATATAGCGTCGATATTGACAAACGAGCTTTATATTTTTAAGAATGCCCCGAGTATCAATAAAGGTGGTACCTAGCTCCTGTAATGAGTTTTTTGAGGATCGTCGCGAATGGGATAGAAAGATTAATAAAAGATGTACGAACTCCCGACTGGCTTCATGAACCAGTAAAACAAGGTTTTTCAAAAATTTTACCTCACATGCAACTTATACATCCATTACTAACGTTCAGCAAATATGAGAATGCTCAATATCGCACTTGAGTCCGCAGCGGGGTAAATCGTCTTTCTTCATATTTTCATAGAAACAATTGAATTTAAGCGTTGCAGGAATTCGCAAATACACAGTCAAATAGCTAATAAATAGTAGAGATAACATTGAAAAAGCGGCCTCGCATACTTCAAAACGTTTTGAAGAAAAAAATCCAAAATTGTGTCAGCGGGTCAAAGCACATTTAGCAAGGCGTAAACAGCCCGTAGGTTTCATCGTCAATCGTGCTACGGAAATTTCAGTTATTTGCCCTTTAATAAATCTATTAGTTTTACAGTGAGACAGAGGAGTAGCCAGCCCGAGAGTTTATTTGTGTTATTTAAATATTTTGGTGTTTACTCAAAGTAAAAATAATAAATAGAAAATAAGAAATAAACAAATAATGCTAACGAAGGAAAAATTATAAAAAAGCAATTTTATTAATGATCTGAAATCAGCAAAGAACCCTCAAACTTACGAGCTGGCTTTAAGATCAAATTCTTCCAAAACCAAAATCGAATAACTTCTTTTGGTAGGTCTTAAGCATACAAATCAATGAGAACTGTATCCAACCACACTAAAACCTCAAACTTTACACTAACCGTAAGCCGATGGTATTTTAAGAATTGGATGCAGAAGGGGATTGTAATGTATCGTGGCTTCAACATTATTGTGGAATTTTAGATTTTGAGTTTCAAACCATTTTAGATTCGGCAAATAAAGTGAATGAAATTACAAGAACAAACCTCGACATTATTTCCTTAAAATTACGAATGCTTTCAGTCAGTTTATCGCATAAATTTTTATCAGGTGTAATCTTGAGACATTTGAACACCGTTACGACGTCGTCATGACTAAGTTGGACATTGTACTTCACAAATACGTAAACAATAACAGCACTGGAAATCAGTCCATCAACTTTATTCTGTAGGCCATCCTCACTTTCCATAATCCTAAGGTTGTTTTTTATTTTCTGCATCAATATTTGAACATAAATCTGTAACAAAAATATTTCAAATAATAGGTTTGAATAATAACTGCGCTTTTCAAAGCAGTTCACTCTTTTTTTAATGATATATCTCAATTATGACTGTAATAAGCCACAGTTATTAAAACAAATGATAAACAAAGGAAAAAGCCGGCAAACTGGCTGTTCTTCTTATTTAATTAGTATATGGCGACAATCGACGACAAGACGTGCAATAAGCTCAAACCTTTTCAAGATCCAGTTTTCGCAAATCCACTTTTTTATACGACCAATTTCCTTCATAAGACGTAAGCATTTTGTGACTATCTTGACTTAGATGCAAAAGATGAAGTCTTTCCAAAGATTCGACCGGTTTCAGTTCATCATCATAAGAAGCAACAAAAAATCCTTTCCAACGCGGAAAGTGCAGTTGAAAAAATTGTTCCCTGTCTTTAATATTATGTTCGGGACGGACCAGAATTTCTATTCCAAGGTTTTTGTACACAAATCCATCGTATTTGTAGAATATTTCTGACAAAATATGAATCACATCAGCTGACAACATTGTATAGATATCAAATTTAAAACCCGGAAAAGTCAGGTCACTCAAAGGCAATTTTCCTACATTGTCGCGCTTTTAGTACTATTGTCTATGATATGACTAAACATAAATTATTATAATATAATATATTGTTAGATATTCTGGTCTACGAGTGCCCAGTAGAATCACTTCTCTATCGCTCCTTCGTTTATACCTACCATGAAACAGTGGTCACTCGATGCATTAATCTTCCGTTCCTGGCACATGCATATCTGCCAGTCACAATTAGCATAAAATAATTTAGAGGCATAGAAACCGGGGAGCAGGCGCTCCAATAATACAGTTTTTAAATCTGGTGGCCATTAATCAATAGTGACAATTAAACAATTATTGGATGAGGTTGAGCATGATATCAAGAATTATTCAGTTCAATGTTATCTGCCGAAGCAAAGCTGAATTCCAAAATTGTCTAACTATATAACTGAAGGTAAGGAATTCAAACTATTTGTGAAGCCATAAAGTTTTCCGTTCTTCAAAATTAAATAAGTTTTGCGGTTAGCTTTTATCTTTTTCCTGTAAATACTTGATGAAAACTTGCCTTACTGACTAGTGTAACCCTTTCTGTGTTTTTTTATTTCCTTATTTTCGATAATTCGAGAAAATTAAGTAGTTTGTAGAGCGCTTTGCTTGAGCAAGTTTCCGCTAGTATACTTTTTTGCTTACAATTTTCACATGAAGAATTACGTAACGCACAAATAACTTTCAAGGTGGCAAAACATTAGGAATCGTCTGTAACCTCTAAGCCAATCATAATCAAGATTGCATTTATCGTACCTTGCCATTATGTTCGTCTTTTTTTATTTTGTAAGTTAAAATATATACTTACTGTTTTCGACAGCATATTCATTGGGAATATCAAGGCACCGATCGATCAAACCGTACTTCCAAAAAGGATTGGATTCCACCTCCACTAAACATTCATAAATCGAGCTCTTCTCGTTATTCTTGCTTTCGACCAAGACATATTTGTAGGCACATTTATAATTACAGAACTTTAAAGGAACTTTAAGTTCACAACGAAGAAAAATTTGCTTTTGTTCATTTCTGAAATATAAGAGAGCACATAACTGAACAGGACATTTGATCAAACCAGCAAAGCTACTGTATCTGAATGAGCCCCCACGCCTCAATTGTAATGACTTATATACAAAAACTGCAGGTGACCAAGGTTTATGACACAAAACTCACTGTGACCAGGTCTCTGACACAAAAAAAATTGAACCGTTTTACATCAACGTGTTTAAAGTTAGAGTCCGAAGGAAATACAAAATCGTTTTCCAAACGACTTCAAGTGTCATAGCTACTATTTAAAGATATTCAGTTGTAAGTTTATGAATCACGAAGAAAAGCATACCCACCTTTCTACCGTAACAGACTCTCCAGATCCTTCATCCCAGTCATTGAAAATTGGTGCTTGTCCTAGAATAACAATCTTTGTCTCGTCGTTATAATCTTTCTGAAAATTCTTCGACAACATTGCAATAAAAACAACAGTCATCATTTTCTCTTCTGCTTGAGTGATTTCTGTGTTTTTCTTCCGTCTAAAAACATATTAGCAAAATGTTGAGTAATCAATAGAATTTTTAATCCGGGGGATTGAAATCAGCGATCATATTTTTCAAATGAGAGGCTGTTCCCTATTAATATGCATCAAAATAGCAAGTGAATCTACAACAGCTAAATGGACTTTAGTGTGATTGCACATCGAGCTCTTACAATATTTTTGTAACATGAACAGTATTACACCAGTTTACACAAAATCAGTTTACACAAAATTGGATAATCTGTTACATCAGAAATAAAAAACGTTATTAAACAGCTCCTAGTCTCCGAGAATTATAATTTAAGATCTGGGTCGGTTAATTGACTTAACTTCCATCAACATTTGTAAATTAGTTAATAAATTTTGCCCAATTTTATTTTTGTTAAAGATCAAACAATTTAAATTGCTAGCATTTTCAGTTTGTATTTCATATGCGATTCATTTTAGAAACTACGTATACATATTCAGTTTGTTCGACCCAAGGATTCGGTGCTAGAGCAATCAACTAATCAAAGAATGCATTAATGAAAGCACAGTGAGCAAGAGAATACATCATATGTCACCACAAAACTAGTAAGAACTTCAAGACAAATTTAACTACGAATATTTTGAAATTTTTCAGCCAGATTAATGGAATAAACAAGAAAGGCAAACAACATGAGAACTCAACTTATCTTCTTCATGATTGTCACATTGGCCGTAGATACAAAGAAAATTAAGAAAACTTTGCCTAACTACGTAAATTTTTGAGTGTCAGATTTAGTAAGATGGTGTGAGAAGAAAAATACTGGAAGCGTGCATTATGCATTATTTTATTACACGCACTATCTGGATGCCCCAACCCTTCACCACAAACCGAAATATCATTGTTCTGAAAAAATGTTGGGTAAACATGCCTGTCTTTTTTGTTGGGCTTTCTCCTGTTATCTGGCTCTAAGTCTTTCTTCTGGTAGAAATAACCATCCTATACTCAGTGAAACATAAATGACAAAATATAATGATTAGGAACGAAAAACAAGCAAGACACCCCCTTAATTAACACATGATGCTATGATATAAAATATATAAAGTAAACCTCGATCATGGTTAAGACATTGGTCGACATCTTTCAAAAGCAACTCACTCAGTTACTTTCTTTTCATAGATGAATCACGTGCAAAGCATTGACTTTACAAATTTAAAACAAAAACATTTTATTCCATATGCATTGAGACTTGTTCATAGATCTAACAGTCGGTAATAATTCTTTTCTAACAAGCAACATCCAACCAGCAGCAAAAACAAAGGAAATTCACAAAGAAATAATCGTTAGCAGCATCCGACTTGACGTGCGGGGTTTTCTCACTAGTGATAAACTGTCGTACAGGAAAATACCTCTTTTTCCCTTTGTTTTTAACTTAAAAAATTAGAAATGGTTTCAAGATGTGTAAACGCCAGTAGAGCCAACGAATTTATTTCGGAACGGGAAAATTAAGTAGACTCCCATACGCCTGTTATCTAGAAGCTCACTCACACTCGCACTCATTGAATAAGGTTTCAAAATCCCCACATAAATAATCAAAATGATACTTGCAGTCCACTGATGGCTTGATTTTAAATATTTTAACAAAATCTCGAGTTTGCCTTTGATTTGGTATTCTGTATCGCACTCAGCGAGTGTGAGTGAGAAAAAACACCAGCGATAATCTTTCCCTCAAACATTGTACCTCCGTTCTCCAAGAGCAGCCTCTTTATTTACGTAAAAGATAAGTATAATTTGTACATAATGCTTGGCATTTAATTTAAGCAATGCAGCTAGAAAACGTTTGTATATACTGAGCCCATAGTTTTTTTGTAAAAATATGGCTTTTGCAGATTTTCGGATCGATGTTTCAAATGACGCTAAGATGCAAGTAATTTATAAACTTTGACAAAAATTTTAAGTATACGTATAGCCACATACCTGTTGTAAAGGATCGTTTCCAACCGACATTTGCAACAGGGTTTGATCAGTCTTTTTCTGGGATTGACAAAAAACAAAGGATCGTATTACACCAACTTAAAGATTCATTTTCATGTGCATTCATATTATAAAGATAATTGAGTTAAAAAAGTCGTAAAATAAATATAAAATTGGGCTCAGAATCATAACACGTAATTTAGAACAAACCCTACATGATTTGAGTCTGCTCCACCATCGCTAGCTTTTTCTTGTCCTACTCCACCATCGCTAGCTTTTCTATGTCCTGCTCCACCATCACTATTTTTCATGTCCTGCTCCACCATCGCTAACTTTTTCATGTTCTGCTCCACCATCGCTAGCTTTTTGATGTCCCGCTCCACCTTTGCTAGCTTTTTCATGCTCTCCTCTACCATCGTTAGCTTTTTCATGTTCTGCTCCACCATCGCTAGCTTTTTGATGTCCTGCTCCACCATTGCTAGCTTTTTCATGCTCTCCTCTACCATCGTTAGCTTTTTTATGTCCTGCTCCACCATCACTTCTTTCTCATTTTGTCCCCTCCACCACCAGCTTTGTCCCTTCACCATCCTTTGATGTCCCTGCTCCACCAAGCTTTTGATGTCCCATCCACCATCGCTTTGATGTCCCACCACCATCGCTTTATGTCCTTCCACCATCCTCGCTTTGATGTCCTGTCCACCATCCGCTTTTTATGTCCTGCTCCACCATCGCTCGCTTTTTGATGTCCTGCTCCACCATCGCTTTTTCATGTTCCTCATCATTATTTTATCCTGCTCCGCTAGCTTTTGATGTCCTTCCACCATCTTTCACCATTTAGCTTTTGATGTCCTCCACCATCGCTCGCTTTTGATGTCCTTTCACCGTTCGCTTCATCATCATTAGCTTTTGATGTCCTCCACCATCGCTTTTTCCTGTCCACCATCATGTCCTGCCACCATCGCTTTGTCCTGCTCCACCATCAGCTTTGATGTCCCATCCACCTTTCATGTCCTTCCACCATCACTTTGATGTCCGCTCCACCATCGCAGCTTTTGATGTCCCCACCATCGCTTTTGATGTCCTTCCACCATCCTTTTGATGTCCCTCCACCATCGCTGCTTTGATGTCCCCTTCACCATTTTTGATGTCCTCCACCATTTCTAGCTTTTGATGTCCTGCTCCACCATCCGCTTTCATGTCTACTTCATCATCATTAGCTTTTGATGTCCTGCTCCACCATCCTAGCTTCATGTTCTACTTCATCATCATTAGCTTTTATGTCCCTCCACCATCGCAGCTTTTGATGTCCCTCCACCATTTCTTTTTGATGTCCTGCTCCACCATCGCTAGCTTTTTGATGTCCTACTCCACCATGGCTATCTTTTTGATGTCCTACTCCACCATCGCTAGCTTTTTGATGTCCTACTCCACCATCGCTAGCTTTTTGATGTCCTGCTTCACCATCGCTAGCTTTTTCATGTTCTACTTCATCATCATTAGCTTTTTGATGTCCTGCTCCACCATCGCTAGCTTTTTCATGTTCTACTTCATCATCATTAGCTTTTGATGTCCTGCTCCACCATCGCCAGCTTTTTATGTCCTGCTCCACTATCGCTGGCTTTTTTATGTCCTGCTCCACCATCGCTGGTCTTGTTCTTGCTTTCATCATTATTTCTTGTTTCTATTCTCTTATCTTCGCTATCATCACCTTTTTTACGTTTCCATCCAGAAGCACTAGCTTTCGTATTGTTTTCTCCATTAACCCTTGCCTTGTTTATGTTTTCATCACTATCGCTAGTTTCTGAGTTATTTTCTCTACCATCATCAGCTTTCGTCCTACGCTTTGGTCCAGAATCACTGGCTTTCGTGTTATCTTCTTCAACACTAGCCCTTTCAGCTTTTGCTGCACCATCGTTAGTTTTTGCACTTTCTCCACAATCGCTAGACTTTTTACGCTTTACTCCACTGTCGCTGACTTGTGTATTCTTTACTTCATCATCAACAGCGTCTTTACTGTTTTCTTTACCATCGCTAACTTTTACAGGTTTTGTTTCACCACCGCTAACATTTAGATCGTCTTCTTCACTATTGGTGGCTTTGTCAAGTTTAGCTTCACTATCACAATGTCTTGAATTGTTTTGCACATCACTACTTCCGTTTTCATTGTGTTCTTTATGCCAGGAATCATCAGATCCTGAACAATAAAACTGCTATGAATTCATTGGCATGAAAAGCAAGTTGGTAATGAAAATAAAAATTACTATACGAAGGCTGGGGTAGTCTACTTTCAATGATTAGACTACAAAATTTAACATTTTTTCCTCAATGTTTTATTAGTAAAAAGCACGAAAAATGAGATAAAACTTTCAGAGGACACAAAATAGCAAAAATTAAGTTACGTTTGGCAGAAGGCGACTCCACCGATACCAATGACAAAGATCTACCTAATATTGACTTGTTATTAAGCAGTGTTGCTTGATGTAATGTAAAACAAATCAGTTTTAATATTACTCATGGTTATTTCTAACTTTAGATTCCATAAGTTAACATTTTCAATTGAAAACACATTGCCAACGACTATTACGTACGCCCGTTCGCAGTTTTTATAATACGCATATTTTCACACAAATAACACGTATGTTTTTCATAAAAATCGCTGAAAAAGTAATGGTAATAATTCGTATAATTAGCTAATTGTTTATTCTATGAATAAATAAGTCGATAAAGTCACACATTAATAATTATAGAACAAATAAAACGTTCCCATAAATAAAAGTTATAAATTAATTTAATTTTTTATCTTTAGTTCATTAATTTCAAAGCAAAAAAATTCATTAATCATTTTCCCAGTGATCAAATACCTGAATATTTGTAAAGGAGCAATAAAATTGGGATGGCTATATTATACATGCAGTACAGGGAGATTCCAGTAAACTTGGGACAACCACATAAAGAGTTACATTCCTCCAGGTATACACTCATGTAAATAATAATCAGAGAATCAAGATTCTCAACCAAAACTTGGTAAAATTTAACGCTCTTCCAAAAGTCCAGTTGTGAGTCTATTAAACTCAAACCTACCAACACTAAACTGCCAGCTATAACAGCCCTGTTTCATATGATCCATCGACAAACCTTGCCCATCAGTTACACTACGGAAATTCACATACAGAAGACAAACTAGGAAACTAAAGATGATAGACATAAGCACTTTCTATTATGTTGAAATATATGACATTGAGAGTTTTAAAACGGAAGAAGTGATGAGTAAATGCATAGTTGTAAACGGAGATAACAACAGTCATAATACTTAGGTAAATTCCTACTTGTATGTTAATATTGTCAAGCCAGACAAATTAGATGAATCATACAGAGCAACTTTGCTGTTGATAACCAAAGCAACATATCTCTCATAAGTCCCAAATTAATAGACAAAATTAAGTTCGTGGTAGACGGTCCTGATGTCCGTCCAGTAATGATTTCCGTTTAGAATGGTGGAAAAGCCCAGCTGAAGAGGTCAGTTGAATTTTAGGGCTTGACTGACGAGATGAAAAGGTTTCCTACCTGCATGTGGGCATATAATGATAAGTCGTGACGCAACAACACAGTCAATAAAAGTTGAAGCCCTGAAAGGTCAAAATGGTGCACACTAATAGAATGCTACACTTATATCAGATCTCATCACGACAAATTTTGAAAGTCATTGGTTACATTAAATGACGCTGATAAAAAAGAATTGTCAACATCTAAAATATTACATGATATTGATAATCACACAATTCCACGAATGAATCGATCGAAATCACATAACCTAAAGTGCCGTTAAATGGTGAAGATGGAATATTGCCCCGCATAATGAAAAGACGAACAAAAACATATTTCAACATAGAAAATGGCTTCAACTAATTCAAATGGTCATCGATTTCCGTCATGTCCACCTCTTAAGGAAGAGCCATTTCAGTAACAGCGACCTGCAGAGTTGAGAAAGACGTTGGCTGATTAAAAACACGTGGAGAGATCAGAAACTTTCATACAAAATCTCTACATCCACAATGTCCTGGCATTTGCCCTATCACTTATTAACCAAGGTGGAAAATCCTGAGGAGACGAAGGAGGCATGTCTCTTACCCCACCTTTTTATGAACACGTCGAGACAACCATCCTCTAACCCTGAACCACCTAGTCAATCCCATCTCACTCTTCAAAACGGATTTGTGACTTTGTTGTAAACCTTTCACCAGCAAACACGAAAGGTCCTTGCTATGTGAAGATAGTAAATCATAAAACATGTCCTACAGTACACGTGTAAATAAACCTTAGTATAGTGCCTTCGTATTCTTTTTAAACTTGCAACGTTATGTTCAAGTGTCCCAACTCGCTTATCTTCTCAATCCACCTCAAACACACGTGTCAAAAATACGAGATCAAATTGCAAAATTCGGACAATCAAATGGACGGACATAGTAATATATGTGTAGAATAGTGGCAATAAAATAGAAAGAAAGTGCTCTTGGGGCATTTGTAAATCTCGTTTTAGAAATACACAACGACTTAATCGTTAAGGAAGGTGTAAGAGTATATAAAAATCATTTTCGAGAGCGACCAACTGTATATACTAGCACTGATTATGGAATAATTAGCTTGCTCAGTCACAAATTTCAGATAAATCATCTGCGCATGCGCAGTCTGCTTGAGCATGCCTACACAACTCCACAAACTCTCAAGTTCATGGTCATGGCAATGACCAACAGTATGAACTAGTACCGATTGTGGAGTAATTAGCTCGCTCAGTCACAAATTTTCAGATAAATCATCTGCGCATGGGCAGTATACTTGACCATGCTGCTCAAGTTCATGGTCATGGCAACGACCAACTGCATGTACTAGCCCCGACTGTGAAGTAAATAGCATGCTTAGTAACAATTCAGTACAGAAATCATCTGGGCATGCGCAGTAGTGACTTTAACAATACCACAACAATTCGTAAGCCTTTAAATTTAGGTATATATATATATATAAATCTAAAACTTTCTAAAGGAGATATCAACTAGCAGTGGAAGCTGGGTGCGATATAGTATGCAGTGGCTTAGGTGGCGCCCGCACTCTCCCTGCGTACCCGAGCAAAGCCTATCGCAGGTGATCTCGGGGTCTGATGGGCGGAAGCTTGCTATTGCATCTCCCAAGCAGGATAGCGTGGAGGGGTCGAAATCTCCTACCGAAACGTTAACATGCGGCGTTCTATTGCCTTACGTAAACAAGGTATCGGGAAGCATGGCCCGAAAACAGGGTTTTGCTTTGAATTTTATCTTTTGTTTATCTTCTCATATAATAAACAAAAATGTTTAAAAACTTCTGCCTCTTTGTATTTTTTACATGTAATTTAACAACCTTAAACATGTTTTTTTACAAAAATTCTTCTCATAAAAGAAACTTAACATCCAAGCAAACAGCAAAGGTTCAAGCAATGTCTGCTTTTTGACCAACCCTAAACATGTTTATACGTTTTTTACATGTTACCTTTTACAATGTAACTCTCTCATCATGAACGATAGCACTCACGTGCTTTATGGAAAAAGGGATCATATACTTTTTTAATGATAGTTTTTACAAAGATTTAATAAGCCAAGCCAATTGTATCGTCTAAATTGAACCCTTATGTCATAAAACTTTAATTCATTGTAGAGAGTAAATTTCTTTTTTTATGATTCAATCTAGAAAGTAACTTCACATATCGAGTAAGTTTGCGATTAAACAGTACACTTTTCCGATTGAAAGGACTTCTTTTAATCGCACAGAGACAGTCGTCCACTTTGTTACGTAGATGCCTGTATTTCGTTGTAAGAAACCACCCGATCAAAGATTATACAGATCCAATTTTAGGTGCATCGAGCGAAGAAAATTGCAAGTCATAGAATTTTTTATAGCTATAGTTTAAAATTCCATTTTTACGTATATAACTTGTAAATGAATCTGAAAATCTAATTTTAGGGAGATTTCATCCGTCAATTATAATAATATTGATAAGTGATTATAAGACAGCGAATCCAGCAAGTAGTAAAATAGCAATTCAAAAATTTGTATGGCTTGCTTTTTAGCGCTTTGTGTAGTTGTAATCCATCCTGGATATTCTAAGTCACATCGTAAAGGCCCGTAACAATCTTTATAAAAAAAGTCATTTGCGCGACAACATGCCAGTATTCAAGCTTTCCCTCAATCGTTATGCTTTTTTCTAACTCAAAATGGTTAGTATTTACAGTTATGCCTTCTGCCTTCATAAATAATCGTTCTGAATAACTAGAACCGGATTCACAAATACCCCCAAACTCAAAGCATCTCCTAACCACTTTATTGCCACTATTCTACATTAACAATACTATGTCCGACCATTTGATAGTCCGAATTTTGTTGTTTGATCTCTTATTTTTGACCCGTCTATCAACCGTCGGAAAGGTGGATAAAATGTTACTTAGTTTATCTTACACAATGCAATAGGTGTATAGTTATACCTCAAACTATGACACGATAAGGAAGAAGTATTAAAATTTTTTTACGGATAAGCCATCAAGAGTCAAGATGTCTCAGTATGCCTTGTGTAGGGATAGCTTTATACAGCAGCATTAGCAATGTGCAAGGCGATGCAGATGATAGTGAAAAAGTTTACAAATAAAGTTGTGCAAATCACGTACTTTAATTGTTCGAATACGACAGCAATAAAACGAAACTCACGAAAGGCGTCTATTTACATAAAAGACGCCACATGCCTTGTGATTGGTCAAATATAATCTAACATAGCCCTTATTGTTCCCCAGGGGACATAATCATTAGAAAAAGTAGCAATATTCATATCATAAACCCAGAGACGGATTATCCAGTAGGCTAAGTGGCCTTAAGCCTACAGGCCCAGGCTTTCAAGTGGCCCGTTGTATCTAGATATAATTAGGATTTGGACGTTTTTGATTTTCCGAGGTAGCTAAATGTGTTTAACGTAGATCATTTACGCTGTTGAAAACCGTACGATTAATTGAATGCAGAGAAAATGGCTTTCCTGCTATAAATAATGTTCAAATGCACATTGCTCAGAACTCATGAAGTATTTGTTTTCCCATTTCTCTAACCCTGTTGACAATTTTCAAAATTTTGTTTGAACTTTAAAAAGAACTTTTCCAATTTTTCACCCTATGGGGTTACAAATATCACGTGCATCATTAAGGAGTAATCACATTTTAGACATGCAGTAAGTTAAAAAGCTGCATGACCCTGTAGCCAGGGGTGCATATATCCTGGGGGGCAAGTTCCCCACTTATTTGAAAATCAACAACTTCACATGAGGAAAACTACTATTACACCCTGAAATAGCAAGTCTACCCCCCTTTTCAAAACAGATTCAAACCCATAATTGTAGCAACAAATGGTTGACTCATCAGCGGAGTTGGTGCTACCAATGGTTAGGCTCATTAGAATTTAACACACAAAATACCAAAGCAGTCACCATCAACTAAACCTTTGAGTATCCATGCATTTTTGACTTAAGACACAATTCAAAATAAACATTAAATTCATTGTTATAACTTGTTATAACTTCATAAGTGAGTTAAACCATATACAGCTTTCAGGAGCAAAACTGGAATGCTAATTAGGGGGGGTTAAAATTCATATATTCAGCTCTGTCCTATTTATTTCTTTTGAAATTAAAATCACCAGCAAAATCAGTCAAGCACAGCTGAATAAATGAATATTCACCCCCCAAAAATTAACATTTTACTTTCACCCCTGACAGCTTGATTGAAATAATTTAATATTTTTATGATTCGGCAGGCATCATGCACTTGAGGCATTAAAAACTTACTCATTTTCATAAACTTGCCAGCCTTAAAATATATCAGTGGGATTTATTGTTATTTAAAACCTAGATTATTCCTTCTGTTTACATTGCATGTGTTATTTTAGAGTAACCTATAACTTCAAATGCGGCATCATTGCACTTAATATTATCTTTTCCCCACTGCTGTAGAAGTGGGCTTGGGGAGAAACCCTTCTACCTTTGAAATGGGTAATTTTTCATAATTTCATGGCTTCAGCTTCGTCAAGAGAGCTCCCATCAGATAAAATTAGTTCTACAGCACTGCTTTTCTCAACTTTGTAAAATAAAAACATATTCTGAATGAATACGCAATACATTACAAAAGTTAAAAATGTGAGAAAATATGAAAAACTCATGAAAGAAATACTAAGTTTTAAAGAAGTTTGAATTAACGTGCAGCTAATGACTACCAAGGAGGCAAAATGATGCACGTAAACAATCCAATCAAGCCATCTATAGACCTCTTTACAACATACTGTGTCACATATGAGTGTAAATCAATTAATTTTTCACAGATGTGTAACATGTCATATTATCAAGCAAAAGTCAATGTGCATTAAAATGTTGGCTAAATTTTGGAATTGGATTGATATGGAGCTGTACATTTGGAATCTGGCTAATATAAACTGTACATTTTGAGCAAAATTATACTTCCGGTTTTGATCACGCAAGATTATAGTGTTGTTTCTTTTACGAATGCAAGGTCTATTTTATATAAATTCATAAAATCTCGAGCAAAAACCGAATCTACACTAAAATAGCACGGAATCTCAAAACCTATCATAGACTCCATCCATGAAATTATCTTTAACGCAAATAGCACTTCAATAAGTAAAGTGAAACCGAAAGTGCAAATTCCAAAAACGAAAATGCTCGATCGAACAATTAGAACAACGATAATTTGTTCCATCAAACCCTAATATGCATAATTGTGACAAAGTCTTAATCGAACTCTTACCCTCTCCCGGATAAACAATTTCTTCGCTGCTACTTCTGCTACTGCTACTGCTGCTACTGCTGCTTGAATTAGATTCAGCGTTCAGCGATGCATTTGCAATAGAAGTGCGTTCGTCGCTTAAATCGGCGGCGTTGTCATCCGCTTTTTCGCTTTCTGAAGGAGTTTCCTTCGTTTTATTTTTATCTTCCATAAAGATTGAATCAGAACATCTTAACCATGTTGCAAAATGTATGTTCACTCAGTTCAACTGCCGAAAGATATGAATACAAGGAAATTTTGATTTTCCCAGAACCGTCCTCGGCATTTAAAGCATGTGAGCAATATTGACTAAACTCTGCAATCCAAAGTGGAAGCTACAATTTTCTTTGATTTATAATGAGAAATAGTGATCGCAGATCGGACCCGGAAGGGGTGTGATCACTGGGTGTGATGAAGAGCATCGTCTTCCATTCATAAAATTATCAACACTATACTTTTTATTTGCTCAATACAAAAACTTAAATAATTATAAATTACAAACAATAAAATGCATTATAGCCTGTGCAAACCGATCTAAGCTCAACCAATAAAAACAATCAATCAATCAAAGAGAATTTGATAATCAATCAAGAATACATTTTGGAGGAAATATTGAAACATTTCTTTTATATTTGTCTGCTTCGTACTATTGTAATTTAATGAAAAAATAAAAGATGTATTTCGTGTTTGTACAATTGAACTGGCTTATGCAAACCTCGGAGTCGTTCAAATGTTTTCTCCCAATTAAAGATCTCTTCGTTTGCATAAGCCTGTGCAAAGACAGTAAATATCATTTATTTCTAAACTAATATATGTAAGAACAAATTCATTTGATCAGCCACAATCCCAGATAAATATAATTTTTCACCGGTAGGTAGGACTTCACTGACAAATTTTTCATTCGGCCTTCGGTATCGGAGGCTTCTGGGGCCGAGGGAAAATAATTTTTAAGTATGCACCAACCACAATAGCAAACAACGTTTTCATTTTTTAAAAGTTTTATAATGAAGCAATTTACGCTGTAAAATGGACAATGTACAGTTCACTCTCGCTATGATAACTACCATCTGAATATATTTTGCTTTCTTTTTGAGAATTCATTCATTTATACAATTTCGCTTGTAAAATTGTCTTTGTATGTATACACATCATGTCAAAGTGGAAGAGACTACGTTGACCTGGGTTTCTAGTTAACAAATTGAAGTGAAATCATTTGCATGAACATTTTCAACAGCAGATTATTATAACCATTACATGTTGTATTATTGATCTTCAAATACAGAAGAAAAATGACTGGCAGATATTTTTACAAAGAAAATTATTATATTTTATTGAAGATTTCCAGCCAAGATAAAAAAACTTTATGTGGATGATTGTTCTTTGTTTGTGATTTTCATAATATTTCCAAGGTTGTTTAAAGATTTTTGTTTTTATTGCCATTGCCAAAGATAGCTCCTATTTAGTATTTTTCGTTTGATCAGACTTTTTTGTTTGTGATTTTTATAGTATTTCTATGGTCATTCAAAGTTTCTTGTTTTTGTCCCCGTTGCTCATGATAGCTCCTCCATATCCATCTATGCTCTTGCTTTCCTTCTTTTGATTAAAGTAGGCACCAAGATAAAACTTTCCAAAGAGTAACAGCAATGTAATCGCGTATAATATACATACGATCGCCATATACGGTGGAAATATGCTTCGACAATCACTTACAGCCACGTAGAGCGAATGGGATATGAGCAAGCAGAATTGGGTCTAAAAATTAATGAGGAGCTTCATGAGAGCGTGCGAGCAAGTGGGAAGCTGCCTCCTACCCAGAATAAATGTTGGGCAGACAAAGCCACTGGGCCATTATTTTGTGGAAAGTTGGCTAAGTTAGGTCATTTGAGATTGAAAATTTTCCGATCACCCTCCTAAAAATGTTGGGTCGTACGCCCATGTCTAGATCCGCCATGTCGTCCACATAAGTGAATTATTTAAATACTTTTAAGAACAATGTAGTACAGTGAATTTACTAACAAAAACTATCTGTGGGTGTTGTAAAGCAAGACAGGGCATGATATATTTTCATGTGACGTAATAACCATGTTGGTGAGTAATATTTTATTGTATGGCAAGCGTCACTTCCGACAAAATGGCGCGCTTTGATTGGCTCAGAAACATTATTTTCCTGTAATCGGCCACAGTCGAAACCGCGTAATTTTACAGTTAAATGTAAACAAACTTCGTAAAGCAAACAGCAAAACGCAAAAAAAAACGAAACAAAAAAACCATTTACGAATGTGAATCGAAGGTAAAAGCACTTGGAAAACTGTTCAACTTTCCAGACGATACAATATGACACGATTTAATTTTTACTGACAAATACTATAAAAGTGAGTAAACAGCAAAAACGAGAAAGAAAGCAAGCTTCGTTTCAGGTCAACTAATGCCATAAAATAAACTTTCTAATAACCTCGCTTTCTCGGTCTTTACTGAGAAATATCGGACCTCTGTCTTTTTCTACAAACATCGCCCTACGGGCTCGGTCTGTACAAAAAGACCTCGATCCGTTATTTCTCCGTAAAGACCTCGCGCTCGGTTATAAAGGGCTTATTAATGACTTTTATAGTTGCACATTTTAACAAGATTCGGATTTTTCACAACTTTGTATTCTAATATTTACCACTAAGAAAATAAAAACAATGCGTGTTTCTTTTCGCGTATGCAGAGCGCGTTGTAGATTTTGTGTTTCCTAGCATTCGTGGAGACGGGTCGCATAAATGTTGAAAATGTTTAAAGTGCTGGCTAAGTTTTTACAACATGCTTACCATTTGAAGTTGAGTTAAATATCGTTTCCACCAAAGATATTTTCGTAAAGTAGGATACCTACTCAGTCCATAGTAAGTGTACATCACAACGTGAACAAACGAGTTTATTACAGCTGGAACGAACGCTGAAACAAGAATGGAATATCACTTTGCAGGGCCGTTCGATAATTGAGGAGGGGAGGGAGAATATTTAGAGATGTGTTTTTTTCCTGTTAAGTCCGTTTGAAAGCAATTGTGATTATACCATTGGTGCAGACATGAAACATGATGAAATAGTATTTATTACTATGTAATAATTTGCACTACAAAGAAAAAAATATTCTTCTGTAAAGGGCTATCTATACAACGTTAATTTAAGGGAGGGCATTTGTATATTCAGTTGTGCCTTACTGATTTCGTTTGAAAGCAATTCACTTTCAAAAAAAATCAATCAATCGGGCACAACTGAATATAAAATGACCCCCCCCCCCAAACTAATTAACATTAATAGGACGGCCATGCCTCCATATAAATAGTTTACAACCGTGAAAAGAAATAGATGTTTGAAAATTGTAATACAAAAAAACATAGCTTTAAAGCGTAATTTCCACGGAGGCCTGAATAACAAGAAAAATCAAGAAATCAAAGAAATCAAAGGTTTTCTCTTACATATAAATATTACACAATATTTAAATTCTTCACCACGAGAAAGTCTCTGTTTTATAAAAAATAAACTTACAAGATCCACCCGGAAGCCATTTGGTACCAATCCACCAAAGTAAAATTACTGTAGTATGGTGATAAACATGGAGAAACGAAATCTGAGTCTCTTTCTTACGAACAATAAATATGAGCTGTAAATGAATATTATAAACATTACATTGATTAAAAACTAAATGCCGTATGTTTATATAGTATTGCGCAAAATTCTTTGAAAATAATACTGAAGAAATATTCATTAAAACGGAATCTTTTAAAGCTATATCTCTTTCTGAAAGATGTATTCTTAAGGAGGTAATGAAGTATAAGATATGTATAACTTTTACAAAGATTAAGAAGTAACAAACTTACAGTGTCCAGCATTTCAAAGTATTTCGACATATAGTGGATCCATAGCAGTCTTGCAATCTGAAAAACATTCACTGCAACGTGTATGATAGGGATGAAAAAACTACGCCAACTCAATAGACATGTTTACGCATGGCTAGGTTTATAGTGCTGTACGGTATAAATTTTAAAAAAAAAGTTTTTTCGTTTTGTACATGTCTTTTTCTCATTTGCAACTATATATGTTCTCCAAACCAAAAGTAAAGACGTCTTCAGAGTAACCAAAGTACTACAAGTAGCTATATAGTAATCAAGATACTACCACTATACACTATTTAGTTACCTCCATTTCGAGGGGGTTGTCAAAAGAATGGTTTATAGGTTGACAAAACATATTGTATTTTGCTTCTGTGACACGTAATATTATCTAAAGAAGTAGAATGACACTCTTAGTTAACAAAACAAAAAAGACAGTGGCAAAGTCTGGTATTAAAACGAACAGTTATTGAACTCATATTTGTCAGATAAAATAGTTCATCTTTAAATTTAATATTGCCATGTATTTATGATTTTCATGATTTCTTTTATATGTATGAAGTTTTTATAACAAGCTACGTTAGAATGGCGAACTATAATTACGATATAGACGCTCAAAAAAAGATGATAGCATGTTCATACGGTTGTGATAGCCACAATACATAACGGCTGAGTCAAATTTTGAATTGATCTTCGAGGATGCTAAGTGTATAGAAAGACAAGCACCTCTGTAGCTATAAAGTAGCTGTGACATATGACGCACTATATGATATAGATTATACTGAACTCAAAAATCAAATAAACCATATAGTAGAAATTATGCAATATTGAAAAATACATACCTTTATGAGCATGTAAGCGCTGAGAATGACGGCCAAAAGGTTATAAACTGTCATTAAAAACTTCACTTCTAGCGCTTTACGATTTCGCATGAGTTTAGGCCCAATAATTACAATTAGGATGTAGCACGTGATTGCCGCAAGTGGACATCTGACATCTTGGACTAGTGGCCAATCTTTCACTCGAGGATCTAAAATGAAAAACTAACCTGTTAAGGAACGTATGTAAATAATGTAATGATCGATTGACTTGTGTAGCTACTTTAGGAAATCATTACTAGTAGTCACTATAGTTGTAGAATTATGGGAAGAGGATTGAACTAGTAGGCACCAAAAATTTTTTGGAAGTAGCTTTTCAGTAATTCAGCTTGTGTATAATGTGCAGCTCATAAATTAGTACAGTTTTTTGTTATTTGAATGCAAAGTCAAATTTCAACGCCAAATACATTAAAATATAACGCAATCATTTTGTTATACGTTTTACAAATGTACATTTGTCTCTCGTATTTCTTGAGCTGCAACTGCATCATTAAAACAATCTCATGAAGCGTTAGCAGCATCTAAAGTGTCGTACTGAGGATGTATGGTTGTAAGCACGACATCACAACTGCAACTGCATCATTAAAACAATGTCATGAAGCGTTAGCAGCATCTAAAGTGTCGTACTGAAGATGAATGGTTGTAAGCACGACATCACAACTGCAACTGCATCATTAAAACAATGTCATGAAGCGTTAGCAGCATCTAAAGTGTCGTACTGAAGATGTATGGTTGTAAGCCCGACATCACAAACTTATTAGTGCAGTTCAGTGTTGCTAGATAGAAGCTAGATCATCAAAATTTTTTCCAGCCCAAAAAATCGCGCAAAAAGTTATTCCCAGCCCAAAAACCCGCAACCCGCAACCTCCCAAAATTTCCCGCAAACAGGCTCATAAACCAGCCCAATTGGGCGGGAAAACCGCCCATCTGGCAACACTGGTGCAGTTGATAGCACGGGTTATTTATATGTGACCGGTAATATATCAAATCACCAAAACGAAATCTGAGAAGATTTAAATTCCAAAGTTTTTTCCCCATATAGTCTCCAGTCATATGCTTAAAATTCCACCCCCAACTCCACTTTTTAATCCTTGGGGAGGGGTTAAACTTTCTCCCTCTGTCTCGTACGTAGACCAGGAATTGTATTGAAACAAATATAGCAGAGAAAAACTGCAACAAAGTCTTTTTGCAAAATTTTGTCGCAGATGCATTTGTATATTCAAAAATCCACCTTGTTTTTAGTACTTGTTTGGTTTATTTAATTAATTAATATGTTTCATATATTTTATTGCTTACCACTTGAATTTTCTAAACGAGCAACAAAATCTCGTGCGTCATCAATTACTTTCATCATTTTCTCCCTGGAAAAAAAGTGACATGGTGTGATGTAAAAATGGTGAACTTTGGACTCCAGTGAACAAGGTCATACATCAAAGAAAAATAAACTCGAAACTTTTCCTTGATAATGAAAAAGGGAGTTCAGTCGGTTGTTTTGTTTTCGTACCGTCAGAACACATATAATAATAAAGAACTACCCCAAGAAAGTTAATTAAAACTAGAAAATCATGGGTCACATTGATTGCTCAATCACGAGAGTCACACTACGATGAGCTGAAGCATGAAACAAAACATTATGAAAATAGCAGATAAAATTATATTATGTAAACAAGATTCTCCATACTGTTGCACGACATGTTATTAAAAAAATATATGAAAATTTCATGAAAAAATCTGTTTTACACTTACATGCACACACATTATCCAAAACGAAGCTATCAATCTGTTCTGTCAGTGGCAACATTCAATCAAACAGTCGATCGACAATGTGAAAAATGCATGACTTCAAATCGACTTCAGGATCACAATGACGTTGAAGGTTAACCGTGAATAAAATTTAGCTCGTGATTGAAGTTTGTTTTAGCTAGTTACGGCAATTTTGCAAAAATTTAATTCCATTTTATTATATGCTTAGTTAACAAATGTAAAGGCAAATAAAGACAAGCCGAATCAAAAGTGCATACGAGGAGAGAAATGCCTGAGTATTTCTTGTAAAGTAAAAAAACTACGAATGATGACATCAGTTTAACTGCAAAAGTGTTCACTGGCATTTTCATAAAGCGTCCAAGAAAATTAAGTACATCTAATCACCTTTTCATGAGATTTTCAGGTTTTTATAAAATTTGTCATTATTCTCTACTAGAGGTAATTGGGATCAGCAGGATAATTGGGGAGGGGCAGGGGTATTCATACAGGCATGTTATAATCCGTACAAAACAAATGATTTATCGTGGAAATGAATAAGGCAGAACATGCACTCTATATACCAATATTTGCTTCCCTCCCCCAATTCCGCTAGTAGCGCCTTATGAGATTGTTGGAACAACTTAATCAGAAAATTTGTTGCCGAAGTTAATATATTATAATGAATATTGAAGACAAGCAACGTGGTTTTAAAAAAGAAACTTATGTAAATAATGTAATGATGGATTGACTTGTGTAGCTACTTTAGGAAATAATTACTAGTAGTCACTATAGCTGTAGAATTATGGGAAGAGGATTGAACTAGTAGGCAACACAAATTTTATTGGAAGTAGCTTTTCAGTAATTCAGCCTTAAAAAACCTTTCACCAATACAAAACATAAAGAGAACATTAGAAATCAATCCATTTGTTATTTCATAATTTTGTGACGTACACTACATATTTCATTTTAAATTAATTATTACTTTATTCTTAAAAGAGCTTTTCTTTCATTAAAATTATATTGCTAATTGCTATGTGTTCGTGCTTTTCAGAAAAAAAATTAGATTAATAGATTGGACTGCGAAGTGCGAATAATAAAAACATGAGAATTTAGAGACCGCGACAGTGTGTCCACTTTAAAAGGTTTCTATTCCTTTCATGAAGCCATATTTTGTGTAAAAATTTAATTTCAAAATATTTTCCTACACGATTCCTTCTCAGATTTAAATCACAGTGAGGAAAAAATAGATAATTTTAGACATTCATGATCAAAAAGTGAATTCTACATTTTAACTAATACTTGCTGTAGATAATTAAAATTTCAACACGTCTCAAACTGACGGATCACAAGATCTGTGCATCATTATTAATGTGGAGTAAAAAGGTTATTCATCATGCTTGAAAACATCCAGTAATTAAAAAATTTACAGTATTTTGGAAATTGAATGCAATTCCAGGGAATGAAGAGGGTAAATGTCTGAACTTTGCAAAGTGCACGCGTGTATGTATAAAAATATATAAATATAAGACATTCCCGAGGGGGGGTCAACGAGATTATGAAAGAGGGGGGCGAACTCTTTGAATTAGTTGGAAAATCATTTTTTGTTATTATTCAATTTTTTTGGGGGGTTTCTCAAACAAAAGAGGGGACCGCAGCCGCTTCGCTCCCCTAAATCAGCCCCTGATTTCGTGCAGGCGAAACGCTAAATTTGGAAGATAATTTGAATCAGCCAATTGGGGAAATCATGTAAAACACGAAATCAAAGAAATAAGATCTTTGCTGTCAAGTGCCAGAGATCTACTTTAGTAAGAACCATATTAAATTCACGGTAGTTCTCTGAAGTCTTTTCCTTCAAATTTTCTTTAAAATCCTTATTTCTTTTATCTAATTTTTATAATTTCATAAAAATTTTCTTTAAAAAGGAAATCTCATTCAAACTGAAAACCATGGACAGCGGGACGGTAACAATATATCATTGAACTAAAATACATGGATGCTACTGGAGCAAATAATGGAAGCCAAATCTTACACCTGTTAGGTTTTGTGATGTAGCCATGTACCTTCTTTAGTATAATTTGACTTACACCAACAAATATTACAGATAACTATACGATCACATTTAATGTTCAACGTCGTCTATTTTACAATGATTTAACTACTCCTATTTATACAAAATTTACGTAAGATTATTTTGGGTTCTGCTAACAAATATGGTTTATTGACGTCAACGGAAAACTACTAGGAAACTATAAAAAATATTGTCTTGATAACATTATAAGTATCTCTTAACATTAGTCATCTAATTACTTACACTTGAATTTATGATTTACTAATTACGGAAGAATATGAGAGCATATCTTAAAGGGGAACTCCACCCAAAAATAATGTTGGTCTTAAAAGTTCCATTTTTATGCAAAGGTTACTATATTTTTGAAATTTTTACATCAGCTATTTTATTTTTGACAAAATCGCGTCTTCAAGTGCGCTATTTGAGCTGTTTTGAGGCTTAGCAGCGTGGGCACAGAAAGCGTCAGCGGAAATTATTTTGACCTCAATCGTCAAACCGATTTGGAGTTGAGTTTACAACAAAGTAAAATAATAACGCACAGCCTTGCACAAAAAACAAAACAATCGCTTATAATGGCTTTTTTGGAAGAACCTCGGCCTAATTCACCAATCGATAGTGAAATGGAAGACAATCCAACAAACAATATTCGGCCATATCAGTTTGAGCCCGAATGGCCGGCTGATGAACACGAAGAAGCTCACCAGTTTGAGGATAACGAAGAACAGGAATTTTTGTATATTGACGATGAATCTCGGCGCGACAATCTTGAATGGTGGGTAGTAAAATGTTATATTATTCTAGACCATTGTTTCTATCTTAAAAGTACGTTTTCAGTTTTTGAAGTTGACCACGTCCACACACATAATACTTTAGATTTTAAAGTTTTATTGTAAGATACAATTTTATTGAAGTTTTGACATTTACTTTTCAAGATCCTTTCTTTTAACATATTCAGGTGTCAATGTGGTAACTGCCAAATAATGGATAATAACGAGAAATGTTTATGCTGCAAAGAGATTTCCAATATTTGTGACAAAATTTAGAGGCAGTAGAAACGAATGAGACCACCGAAGTCCCTTTGTGCATTACACAACATCCTGGTTTTGAGCCTGTTTGTCTTAACAGGTGGGTTTTACAAACAGTTTGGTACCAGTAAAAGCAGCAATATGAGGTAGCATATGATGGGCCGAGGACAAACTGTACCGCCATATTGCATATAGACAGTTGGCAAGATGGTGCTGGGGTGTCTTGGGTAGAGAAGTGAGAGTCATCTTGCCATCATGTGCAGTTACTCGCATTAGAGAAACATTTCCTCCACCTGGCCTTGCAGAGGAATTTCAATTTGAAGGCTTTCACTATGTTGATGAATGAAGTATTTTATTATGATATAGGTATACTCATTACAATTACTTTGTATGTCAATATTAAAGTGGCATAGCCAGCTCATTTATAGGTCATGCTATGCACATTTATTATTATTAATTTATTACAAAAAAAACAGATTTACAAAGAAATGATTATAAATGTGGCTTGGCTATTACACTGGTTATAATATAACTATAATTAATTACATGAATAGTTTGTGTAATGCAGTGGTGAAACTAGCTATAGCAAAAGGTTTTGCTATGTTAATATTTAAGAATGAACATTTTTAAGTAGTACAAAGTTGTCTTCACTGATTCAACGTCATATTATATGGGTATGGCAAAACCTATTGCCATAGCTAACATCACCACTGACATTTTATGCAAATCTAGACTGATGTTCCTTTACAAGTACTTCTTTCCTGGGTGGACATGATTTAGAAATGTTCTTTGGAAGATTCTGCCATGATGTACAAGTTCAATCTCCTCAGTTTTGCATGCATTCACAACCTCCGCAAGTAGTTTATCAATGTACTGGTACTCTTTCTTTTCTTTCATTGCTTTTACAACCCATTGCTTCTGTGTTTTAGCAAAAAACATTTTGTAACGGTCTTGCCCTTTGTTTGTCCCTGACTTAATGAATGCTTTATCATGTTTAATATTGTTGTTGTGATCTAATGCTGCTAACTGAGTGCGGGCTACCATTCCAGGAAATGAAAAATGCTCTCGCTTTGGGCAGGTCTTTTAGAAGCCTCTTGTCACATATCACCTTCTCTGCAGCGATATATGCTTGTGAAGTAGGAGATAACCACTTCTTCTGCTTTGTTTCTTTTCTGTTAATTGTTGGTGGCAACATTGATGAAAATATGTGTTCCCCTTCCAGAAATGCTTGTTGGAAATGTGGTTAAGGACAGACTTCCATTTTTCCACCAATTCTTCTGCATTCTTGTTACAACTTGCAGAGCACCACCAAAGATGATTAGAAATGGACTTAATCCAATGGGTCAAGTCATCATTTCCCTTAATGTTAGCCTTCTTTGTTAGTTTTTTTGTGACAGATTTAGACAAATGCCACACATCATATTGGTGATCAATATGAGGGTGTTTGTTTTTCAACCTCTGCATCCACAGTATTCAGCATCGACAGTGTAGTTTGGACTTCCATGGCATGTAAACTCCTCACAACAAATGAACACTGTGTTGATGCATCTTTGGTTTCTGGCTTGCAATAATTAGTTGGCAATGCTTCAGGACTGTCAGACGCACCCAAATCACAACTGTTATTTGCTTCAGGCTCAAACAATGAGAAAACATTTGTACTTGTGGAGGAACATTATTCTAAAATATTTGAAAGCTGAAAATAGAAAAAATAGAAATATTTAGAATATACTTTAGGCTATAACTTTTTCTTGATTAAAATTTAACAAGAAATGCTTTTACTAACTTCCTCCTTGTCTTGATCAGTCTGACGTTTTTCTGTACGATGCTCGCTAGACAGACGCTTTTTACTGGGTTGAGGGCCAAATGAAAAAATCGATGGTACTGCATCCCGCTTCAGTCGCCTTTTTAAAGGTTGCCATGGTGTAAGTTTCTGTCTTAGGTCCGATTCAAAACAATCGGGAGCAAAGTGCTCGCTGCAAACGTAACAGTATTGGAGAGGAGGTAGATTTTCTCTCCGTATTCTAGCAATCCATTATTATACAATTATGTACAATAATTAGGAAACTATAAGTTCATACTTTACGTCAAGGAAACTACAACTTAATTCTATGCACGAAAGGCTATTTTACAATGGTTTCATGTAGGATTATTTTCTAACCGTAATGAGTTACACAACCATGTTTATTATTATTCAATGTTTATTAAGGGCAATAGATTGGTTTCACATCAGTGGAAACTGTTGTTAAGGTTGAATTCGGAGGACAAGCAAACGGCATTACGCACAGTTTCCACACAAAGAAACCTTCGTATTTTTAAAAATAATATTAATCGACATTCAAGTTCTATATGTAGTGCGGAAACTGTGCGTAATGGCCTTTATGTGAAACCGTTCTATTAAAACAGAATACAAATAACCAGCTCAATACTTGCATGTAAGCTATAAAGGTTGCTTGTGTATATACCTACGAATAAAAAATTCTGACGTTTCGAAAAGAAACATTTTGTGATTAGGAGAAGCATTTTGACGCAAGTTTATTATGACTGTGCAATGACTTTACATAAAGCTTTGAGAAGCAATTGACGATATGACGTCAATACAAGCCGCTGACATATTTCTGCTCCCACGCACCGGATGCCCTAGCTGCAGCATTTCAACTCATTTTTTGTGAAAATATTGAATCAAACAAACAAAAAAATTGCCGCATATTTATTTTCACGGGACAGACAAAGTTTTAAGACCAACATTATTTTTGGGTGGAGTTCCCCTTTAACAACACCAAACCACGCGAGATTTTACCCCAGACACGCGTGTGTAGTGTTTCGAGATTCTCTCGCGGAGTGTAAAATGATTGAACTACACACGCGTTCTGGGTGTAAAATTCGGCTTCAAAAATTATTAGGCTTTTCTATTACAGGTAGCGTTCCATGTATTTTAGTTCAATGTAATAGACATATACAAGATAAAAGTTGCATAATTCTCATATTAAAATTATATGGAAATAGCATATTGGAAGTGGAAGCACATCTCATTAAATTTTTTAAAATGCAAATTTTTAATTTAATCCAACATTATAAATCCATGAATAAGGAGATATGAGAGTGGACTGTCTGGGGACATTGACATGTGTGTTTTGGAGTAACTCAAGCGTTGGAGGGTTTGCGTTCTTTTACCCAAACATCTTTTATTCGAACAACATCTTACAAAGGTAACCAAAAACAAATATTGCGTCTCATTTCACTGTAAAAGCAGGAATAGCTTCTTTATTTTGAAATTTAGTTTTGTGTATATGTGCACCTGCGTCGGTTGATAATGTGCGTTTTATCATTGAGTCCACAAACTTATTCCAACGATTGCTCTTGCTTTGTATCACATCACACCGCTTTATATTAACACAGCAGGGTTGAGCAGATTGAGCATAGGTCGCGTTTCCGTATTGTGAAAGAGCGTTATTTGAAGGGTAATAATTTCATGGGCAAATTAGTTATATCAGGTTTTTATCATCATATCATACTTTGCTAACTGTTTAAATATTTCGCTAGGGAAATGAACTAAACGAATTTATGCAAATTTTGGCTCATTTCATTTCGTTTGTTTGCAGTATTTACTTCCTTTACTTCATCAAAGATAGATTTCCCTAACTGGCTACAATATTAAATTATTTGAATTTTGTTAATCATGTAGTTTTGGCATGATCTCTAATTTTATGTGACATATTACAAAAAAATTTGTTTCATAAGGATTTCTGATTTTTTTTGGGGGTTTAAAGGTTTTATTAATTTATGCATCATGCCATTTCTTTGTTCAAGCCACTGACTTTGGAAATTATAATTTTTTGGTTAGAAGCAAATGGCTTCAAAAGCAACTACATATACATATATGTAAGGACAATAAACTGCAAGAATAGCTGGCAAGTCGGCAACTCCCCAAAACCTGCATGGATTGAGCATAACTATCATAAATGTGTAATTTTATTGTGTATTTCATTGATACCCTTGACTAGTCAAGTTCATTGTAACATGCTTGCAGCTAGTTCACAGAGTATAGAATGAAAGCTTTGAGGAAATCTTCTAGGCAGTTATCAATTGTATGGAAGCATGACAACTTGTTGTACAATGTTTACCAGGCAAATGTTTTTAATTATTTATACATGCACAAGTGAAATTTTAATATGTCATACATGTATGAGTTTGAGTATACTTTGGATGATACTCATGTGATGAAAGTAAACTATCTTTGGTGAAAGGGATTCAACTGATTGATTAAAAAAAGGTTTGGTTTGTAAAAATTCCATTTCAACTAACCAACAATAATCTATCTTCATTTGATAGTATAATTTATTGTTTCACCATACAATCCTACCTCACATTTATGACTGAAACAATACATTCTATTATGTGGCCACATAGATAGTTAGGATTTTATGGTGTAATTATACAATGGCTTATGATTTGTGTATTTGCTTTGGAAAGTCAACTGGCATTGGAATTTTGCCATTACAAGATTTCCTTCTCAGGATCTTGAGCCTCATATTGAACATGTGTGCTTCAATCCCTGCACATTTATCGAAGGTTGTATTTTCTAATGCTATTGAACAAATTTGGCGTATAATTTTGCCAATTTAATCCGTGATATGCCTGCCGACACACGACACAGTTGTGAGCCTCCTGGTACTTTATCGACCAATTTTAAAACTGTGGACTTCACTATACGAATTGTACGATGTTATGACTGCTAAATATTCGAGTCAAAAATCTGTGTTGTACCAAGTCTAGAATTTCGTTGTTTTATCGAACAACTTTTACAACAAAAATAAACAGTATCGACCGGTATTTGTATCATGAGGACATATTTTAGTAAATACAAGATGCAGTTGTGGTAATACAGTAAAACGATATGAGTCAATAAAAAATGTATGATTAACATTACTTACTGCATGATTGCTTCCGACTTTGGCGGTCTGGAATATTGCAAGCGTTCTTCGAGTCTTACATGCTGTTCATTTGGACCATTTCGGTGATGTTTATGATTTAAGGACCACTACACGTCACTGGATTTGAGCTGTTCTTGTAAATAAATTATTTACTAGTATAACGTATGTTAGATTATATTTTGAAATGATTCGAACCATTAAGGTCGATATACAACCACAAAATATTCATCCATTTCCGCTGTTGCAATATTACAATTTGCGCGCAATCAGGCGATGAAAGATGATGAAACAATTGGCTGGTCGACAAGAACGAGAAATTGATCTTTAATGAACACAAGGGCGCAAATTTGTTTTGAAAAGTGAAGGTTTACGTTGGTGAACTGGATGGTTCAAAGTGTTCTGTCACGTTATGACAATTTATACATTTTTTTTGTCTTCCCACGTTGTTTCTATCGTCTCGCTAGTTCGTGGACGTCTACACTCTATATTGTACAGCCGGTTATAACACAGTATCTTCCCACGTTGTTTCTATCGTCTCGCTAGTTCGTGGACGTCTACACTCAATATTGTACAGCCGGTTATAACACAGTATCTTCCCACGTTGTTTTTATCGTCTCGCTAGTTCGTGGACATCTACACTCTATATTATACAGCCGGTTATAACACAGTAGTTCTGAGTCTGGTTTTTTGACGTCTTGTAAATAGTATTTTGTAAATGATTGCTCAATTACGAGAAAAGGAAACGTGTTGTAAAGTGAAATATGTATATCTAATTGGAGACTACTTGTACGTAAGGTAAAGGCATTTAAAACTGACGGATAAAAACGGGGAGAAGTTTCGCTTTATAAATTCCCGGTTATCAGAAAAAGAGGTGAGGGATATGTTCCCTCTGTTCTTTCTCCCAGGGCCGAGTCCTTAACCTTAGAAATCTAGGATATGACCGAGGTATTGGTTAGAGATTGGAATGAGGATCAATTGCTGGTTTTAATAGAACTGAACATTTCCTTTGAATCTCTGTCCTTAGCATTAGTCAGTCCTTAATCAAGACGGTCTGGCCAGTACTCGGGGGGGGCGGAGATCATGTGCAGGATAGCTCTGAAACTGTTATTGTTGCCTTTTTCATTATCGCTTCACAATACCTTCAGAAATCTTCAAGCGAATTTGAAAAGTTAGAATTATTGTTACGGTTTGGGTTTAAAAACGCTTTCGCTTTGAGTTTTTGACTTTTGTGGAGACGTCAATAAAGTCATTGCACTCGGACGCTTGGATATTCAATGTACTCCGTTGTTCTATCTTATACATGAGTCTTTCAAAACCTCAAGATAGTGTTTGACTATTTTTTAGATAGAAATGGATGCTGTTTTAACGGGACTCAAAGCATTTTATAACCGATGCGAAAGTAAAAGTGGTTTGTATAGTTTGAAATTTTCCATAAAAGACTGTAGATCTTAACTATTCCACTTATAAGAACAATGTATTGTTGAATTAATGTATCATAGAAATGATTGGTGCTCTATTAAACAAACGAAAAACCATTAATATGATGCATTGTGGCACTTTTCGAGTTGCGTAGCCAGTTTGCAAGTTTTGGACACGTGCTGATGCATTGTGGTACTTTTCGAGTTGCGTAGCCAGTTTGCAAGTTTTGGTCACGTGCTGATGCATTGTGGCACTTCTCGAGTTGCGTAGCCAGTTTGCAAGTTTTGGTCACGTGCTGATGCATTGTGGTACTTTTCGAGTTGCGTAGCCAGTTTGCAAGTTTTGGTCACGTGCTGCGTAAATTTTAGATAATTATCATTGTATTTTTGTTGGGAACTTTTTGTTTTTGCAGTGAGTGGACACAGAAAAATTTACATAGCAAGACCAAATTTTCTTGGCTGAGAACGGCACTTTTTTTCTATTCTGTGTTGATATAATCTGTGTACACAGTCATCTCTATTTTAAGTTAAGTGCTCTGCTTTCTTTTTTTTAACTTGCATAGATCCAAGGACAAAAGACTGGTTTCTAGTGCCATCTTTCTATGGCCCTCTTACAGCTTGTGTTCTTTACATTACCATTGTCATCATTGGTCCTAGGATTATGGAACAGCGAAAACCATTTGAGCTAAAAATACCAATGACATTATATAATTTTGGCGCCGTGGCATTAAATCTGCACGTGACTATTGAGGTGAGCATGTTAAATTGAATATAACTCGAAGACTACTTCCCGCCAAATTTGAAGCTATCAGTTTAACTAGTCCCAGTCTTTTTACTTAAGTGTTGCCCGAGGAAAGTTTATTACGACAACACGTTTTATTGGCTTTATGCATGCAAATATAGAAATGTTTAAATAGTAAAATAGAGACTTCCTTGTGGTGACCTCGTTCTTGTGGTGGCTAATATCGTAGGGTTTTAAGTTTTCATTTAGCTGACGTTGACACCTGACGAATAGTCTGCCGAAATGCATAGTGTCTTTTAGCATTAAAAACGGTTATTTTAGAACTATTGAATTAGTGCTCTGGTATTAAACAGTTCTTTTAAGAAATATTACGTTATTATTTTCACCATTCACAATGGCATTTACTATTTTTAAAACAATTTTTAGAAATGTTTACTGATAGCTAGGTAGACATCCAGTTATATATTTAGTTCAATGGACGGAGATTTCCACCGGGTTGATTTCGTTTATTTTGTTTGAAGTCTATTGATATGAATCGTGATATGAATTTCTTACTTAAACGATAACCGTGTCATTTTTCAGCTTTTCTTTGGTTCGTGGGACGCAGGTTATAGTTATGTTTGTCAAGACGTTGCCATATCTACAGAACCAAAACACATGAGGGTACGCTTCCTTTCAAAATTTCCTCAATATTTTTTTGTTTGCTTCATTTTGCCTTTTTTAACACTGTATGATGACGCTCTTCATGTGAATCTCGGCAGTGGCTTAGCCCGCGTTAGGGTTGTGCAGTGACTTAGCCCGCGTTAGGGTTGTGCAGTGGCTAAGCCCGCGTTAGGGTTGTGCAGTGACGTAGCCCGCGTTAGGGTTGTGCAGTGTCTTAGCCCGCGTTAGGGTTAAGCAGTGGCTTAGCCCGCATTAGGGTTGTACTATTTTATATTTTCGGTATTCCCTCATTGCGAAAACAATTGATTTCTTCAAGTGCCTTAGTCAGCAAAAATTTTTATTTGCGATATTAAATCTAGTTGTGATGTCTAACACATAAGTAAAAAAGTTTTCAATTTGGTTCAATCGTTCCATTTTATAATGGTTTGAATTTGGCAAAAAAAGAATTTTATTGACCTTGTCCTTTACAAAAGGCTGGAACAACTTACATTTGTGACGTCATGCTAGGGAGACGTGAATGCAAAGTATATATAGCAACTACCTTATATGACGTCAGCATTTGGCTGAATTTTTTTGATATATTAGAAATCATACGTAGATCGCAAATAGATTTTTTTCAGACAAGAGCACTTTAAGAAATAATTGTTAAAGCCCGTACGTACATAGCACGACAAAAGTTGTAGACAATCTCCTGAATCGCAATCATGTATCGTTCCAAATCCATTTGATACGATTAAAGCCCGTACGTACATAGCATGACAAAAGTTGTAGACAGTCTCCTGAATCGCAATCATGTATCGTTCCAAATCCATTTGATACGATTAAAGCCCGTACGTACATAGCACGACAAAAGTTGTAGAGAGGCTCCTGAATCGCAATCATGTATCGTTCCAAATCCATTTGATACGATTAAAGCCCGTACGTACATAGCACGACAAAAGTTGTAGACAGTCTCCTGAATCGCAATCATGTATCGTTCCAAATCCATTTGATACGATTAAAGCCCGTACGTACATAGCACGACAAAAGTTGTAGACAGGCTCCTGAATCGCAATCATGTATCGTTCCAAATCCATTTGATACGATTAAAGCCCGTACGTACATAGCACGACAAAAGTTGTAGAGAGGCTCCTGAATCGCAATCATGTATCGTTCCAAATCCATTTGATACGATATTAAGTATTATTAAACAGCATAATTTATATCTTTTGTTCGTATGTTATTCCTTGACATTGCTTTTGATCGAAGTATGAGAGCTTTGTCCAATTTTAAGTAGTGTAAGTTAAACGAAAGATGATTCAAACGGTCATGATTTCAGTTGGGGCGATTCTCTTTTTTGCATCGTTACATTGTCAATTACATGTTTGTAAATGATGATCGTCCAGGTTAATATGGTTCAAACCATCTACTTTACATTGTCAATTGCTACTTAATCTTGTACAAAAGAATTGTTTATTTAAACGACAATCGCTTACAGGTTATTATTCTCCTTTCCCCAGATTACCAATGCTCTTTGGTGGTTTTATGTATCGAAGTATTATGAAGTGCTTGACACGGTAAGGATATCTTTCTAATAGCGAATCAATGAATGTTGCTTAAAAATCAAGTTTAATTCATAGTCATGCAGCCAAGAAATTGATGGAAATAAGCTGATATTGATAGAAATAAGCTAATTAAGTTTGGTATAATTTCGTAGAAGCACCATTGCTAATGCGCATTTAATATACACGACGAGTTTTTTTAAAATAGACATGTTTCGACATCACATGATGCCATCTTCAGTATAAGTGTTATAACAAATAATAATTTATTATAATTTATGCGCCTAAGTTTGGTATCATACACTCATGATGTCAACGATCAAATATAGTTCAACGTCAATACGTGATTGTTCTGATTTTAAATTTTTTTAGGTATTTTTCATTCTTCGGAAAAAAACAAACCAGATTTCATTCTTGCATGTGTATCATCATACTTCTATCATAGTACTATGGTGGGTTGGGCTAAAGTGGGTTCCCGGTGGATCATGTAAGTACACTTGGTTTAATTATATTGTTGCTTGCATAATTATATTCTTGATTTAATTATATTGTTGCTTATATAATTACATTGTTGCTGCAGTTAAAATGCCTCTATCATTGTCAGAGAAATAGTTTCTTTAGACAATTAAATCGATTTTACAAACATTTTCGGTATATTTTGATTAGTAGGAAAATTTATCTTCGTGGGTTTTTTCTGGTTTGGACGTTAATGACTCCGCGCTGGAAGTGACGTATAAAGGAGAAAACACAATTTTACTTGTTTACGATTTCTTTGATTTTGCGCTCCAACGATGTCGTCAAACTATACACCTATGTATGCGCCATCTTAAGTTTGAAGTGGTTTTATGAAAGTTTATTATCACAGCTTTCTTCAGTATAACAATATCTATATCTTCAATACATTTCTTGTCCTTTTTACGTCACATCCGGCCATAAAAAGCCACAAAGATAAAATTTTCGTCGTATGAAATATATTGCAAATGTTCTTAAAATGCATTTAACTATTTAAAGAAGTTTCTCTGAGCCTGATATCTGCACTTAAAAGCAATTTTAACAACACGTAGATCAATATTTGGCTGTGATCTTTCTTTTGCTTGGTACGTATTTTACCTTATCAAACTATGCCCCAAATTGTCTTTCACTGCTTAAGAAGCTATATCCTTATGATTTATAAAAGTGCTCCAATAAAACTGCTAAAATTAGCTATGAATTATCATTGACAATTTGTTTTCCTTATTTTTACTTTGTTGTGTTTTTCCAGCATTTAATAGCTCGTTGATCAACTCATTTGTTCACGTGATCATGTATTCATATTATGCCTTGAGTGTATTTCCGTCACTTCGAAATTATTTATGGTGGAAACGTTACCTTACCCAATTTCAGTTGGTAAGGGCAAAGACTTAGACTTATATCTTATCATTTCATGTCCATTAAGAATTCTATACTCAGATTAGCCACGTGACTGTTGTCTATTCATATTGACGGTTATAAGAAAAGGTGAACATGGGGTTTGCGATAAGTTTGCAATTTTGAAATGCGGCAAGGCTTTGGGTACAGTTGTTCGTAAAGTGTGTTTATAGAAGAAATCAGAGAATAAGTTGATTGGTGGAAAAATTTGTTGCAAAATTGATGGCGAAACCTCAAAGGTTAAAACTGCGTCGGGAAAAATTTAAAAATCTGCGTTTATAAATGATTTAGAACCCAGTCCTCTAGATATCTCAAGGTGAGGCAAGGACGCCATCTTGAAAGGTGGCAAAAGCAAAACTCAAAAATAGGTTAAAAGAAAGGTTAAAAAGCAATCTTATCAAATCTCGCAATTGAAAAGTGTTTGCACCATTAGACAGCAATTGCAATACGGCTAACTTTCTTGCCCTCAGTAAAAATGTGAACTTCACAACTCTATAATTTGATGTGTCTCATTAACTTCTGTTAAAATAACTAGTTTTTATTGCAGTTTTTACAACATGAATGTGTAAACATCCCTCCCCAAGCAATTATTAAAACTGGCTATGTTTTATTTGTATAAAGAAATAGGATGTAACCCTAGCAATCGTTTGACTTATTGTAATTTTTTGCTGTTGCGAACTTCGATCAAGTTCCGGCAGCCATGGCGCTCTAACGTTTCGTCTCTATTTGCATTAAGATACAATTTTATTGAATGTTGTGCATTCTATTGCTGCCCTTTATGATGACTGTGGTTATCCTCGATGGGTCAGCTACGCAATGATGATGTACATGGTTACCATGATATCTTTCTTTTGTAACTTCTACGTGAAGGCGTATAGTAATGCAAAACTGAGGAAGAAACTGGATGATGCAGGGGAGACCGTAAAACTGAACGGTGTTCATGAAAATGGTCATCAAAAAAAGTTTGATTGAAGGAACTGATATTTTTATATATGTTTTGGTACGGATGTTTTTACTGTTGAGAAAAATGATGTATGGTGCGTGTATTGTATTTGCTTCTATCGTTTGTGGTTCTAAATAATCACTGACTTCACCTTTGAAATGTTGTTTTATGTTTTAGTTAGATTCCAATAAAGTGCAATTCTTTAGTTTTGAATATAACTTTTATTGAGGTTTTAAATAAATCATTGAATTGTGTTTTGAACAAGAATGCATCAATGCTCAGTAACTTTGACGCCATTTTGAAGACGAAGCTTAAGTTAGTTTTTTCTGAGGGTTTCTTGCAAGTGATATTATTTTAAAATATTAACTAAGATATACTTAAAATGCCTAAGTGAAAATTGCCATGATATGTTTAGCCTCACGAGCAGAGGCGTAACTAGAACGTTAATTGGGGGAGTGTATATTCATATATTCAGTTGTGCCCTACTGATTTCTTTTGAAATTCAAATCACTTTCAAGAGAAATCAGTAGGGCACGACGGAATATATGAATATGCACCCTCAATTAACGTTCTAGTTACGCCTCTGCTCGAGATTTGCTAATAAAACAAAAAATGTTGTTACAAATGCGTCTTAGCGGGCTTCAAAATTGCTGTTATCACTTGCATTGACGGTTGGATATAGCCTTCCAGTTTATGTTACAGCTCAGTGGAACAAACCAAAAAGAATTTGATATATTATTACGATCACATGTTTACAAATCGCGCGAACCAAAATGGCAATGTCTAGCCAAGTCTTGAATTGAATAATAGGATGATAATCAACGACGTCTTTTCAAACTGCGAGATTTAACAACGCACTTCTGTCAGCCTCTTATACGTTAATAAAAATGAAACAAATGTTAGAAGTGGCAATATTTTCATAAATTGTTATTTTAATCAATGAAAATGCATTGCACTGCACTTAAGTTTTAGGTGGAATTACCATTTGTTTGTCTGTGGGTGGGAGGGTGGTGGGATATAATTGCATATTTTTCAAAAGCAATCATGTACACAATTTACTGATGTTTAAAATGTCTATAAAACTTCGGTTCACATCTTAAATTGCTGCCAAATTTTTGTTTCATTTGCAGACTGTTCAGTTTAATGGAGGCTCGTGTCCTTTAACATGCACGCAGTACCTTAAATTCGTTGAAATGAAATTGAGTTGTATTTGGCTTTGTGTCATTTGGTACGGCAGTAGCTTTATACGGTGTACTTAATTCTGATAAAGGTGCAAGATGCCTTTTTCACAACCTTTATGAACTCATAATTTGGAAATGATTGTCACATGACGTAAGTCGTATTAAACAGGCTGTCTGAAAACTTATCTACTGATTATATATCACATGTGTAAATTAACAATCGCGTTATTGTCATGCACATGTATCAGGTCGAAGTCCTTCCAAGCCGTCAGAGGTTTTTTGAGGTATTAAAGAATAACAAGGTTAGTTAAACATAAAACATTTTAAATACTCTCTTAAAATCTGTACAAAGATGTAAATGTTCTCATTAGTGCATTCTCTAGCGTCCATAAATCCGATTATATGGGCCGTCAGTTGCCCCGGCAGGTGGGATAATTTTACTGATACTGCTGATAGTGACTAAGCTAGTGTCATTGCTTGTCTCGTTGCTACTCTCACGGCTAGTGACTTAACTAGTGACTTAGCTAGGGACTGGCCCTTTGACCAATGGCGAAGCTCTCCCGATCTTTTATTCCTACAATGCAAATTTTTCAGAGAAATTGTTCTACATTTCTTTTGAAAATTATTCAATTCATTGGGTTTCCAACTTTCAAGTGATTAATACAAAAATAGTTGCATTGTAAGAGAAGAAAACTTGCTGCTCGTTACTTCCAGTGACAAAGCTAGTGATTTAGCTTGATTAGTTACTCAGTAGCTAGTAACTTAGTGGCTTGTGGCTAGTAACTCAGCTAATGACAAAACTAGTTAACTACTGAACTAGATAGCGACTCAGCTAATGACTTAGTTAGGGAGATGGCTATAGTATCATGGCTAACTACTTAGCTAGTGAATAAGCCAATGAGTCTGCTAGTGACTCAGCTTATGACTTAGCTTTTTACTTTACTACTGATTCCACTAGTGACTCGGCTACTGACTCAGTTATTAGCTAAGCTAGACACTCAGCTAATGACTTATTTTCATAGCTAGTGACTTAGCTAGTGATATAGCTAGTGACTTGGCCAGTATGGTTATTGACTTGGTTAGTGGTTAGTGACTTGGCTAGTTACATGGCCAGTGTCATCATGGCTAGTGACTTGGCCAGCAACTTATCTAGTGACTAGGCTAATGACTTGGCTAGTGACTTAGCTAGTGAGCGGGCTGTAATTTCATGGCTAGTGACTTCGCCCATGACTGAACTAGTGCCTTGGCTACTGACATATTAGCCAGTGCTAGTGACTTAACTTGTGACTTAGCTAGGGACCTAGCTGGAAAGATGGCTGATGTCATGGCTAGTGACCTAGCTTGTGACTTAGCTAGGAACCTAGCTGGGAAGATGGCTTATGTCATGGCTAGTGACTTGGTTAGTGACTTAGCTAGGGACCTAGCTCGGAAGATGACTGATGTCATGGCTAGTGACTTAACTTGTGACTTAGCTGGGGACCTAGCTGGAAAGATGGCTGATGTCATGGCTAGTGACTTGGTTAGTGACTTAGCTAGGGACCTAGCTGGAAAGATGGCTGATGTCATGGCTAGTGACCTAGCTTGTGACTTAGCTAGGGACCTAGCTGGGAAGATGGCTGATGTCATGGCTAGTGACTTAGTTAGTGACTTAGCTAGGGACCTAGCTGGAAAGATGGCTGATGTCATGGCTAGTGACCTAGCTTGTGACTTAGCTAGGGACCTAGCTGGGAAGATGGCTGATGTCATGGCTAGTGACTTGGTTAGTGACTTCGCTAGCTGCATTTGAAATAGCAATCTTTTTAAAATTTTAAACTAATCATTGCACATTCATCATTTTTCTTGCATTAAAGAACAATGGAATTTGGAACTTTCATAAAAGAAGCAAAAGAATATTATGAAAGACTGGACAGTTTAAGCGGTAATAACTGTATTTAAAGTCTTTTATAACCTCTTTCCAAACATTAAACTTTTCTACATCAGTCACGTGTTCGTTCCAAAGCAGTTAAGTGTTTGTACATAATCCGATCCTCTAAATCATTTTGTGTTTATATTTTTTAGTATATTTAAGAAAATATTTTCGTTTTACTTTAACCCAATTGTCTTTAGGAGTGACATTCTTCTTCATTGCAGGAAGAATATTTCTGTTTTCATTAATTTTATATTCACCGAGCATAATTCATAAATGTAAAAGAATTATTTACATACGAGAAAAAAACACTTATATTTTGGAATGCTTTTTGATTTCTTCAATGATCATCTCAACAAAAATAGCAAGTCTTTGCTGAAGTCAATGTCAATGTTAATTGTTTAGCCGTTTGGAATTAAAATTTTCCTATCGTCTGTACATTACGGACAAATGCACTATTTACCGTTTTATCACTTTATCAACTGTAGATCCCAGAACAAAAGATTGGCTGCTTGTATCGTCGTTAGCCAATCCATTACTTGCCTCTCTGATTTATCTACTTGTGGTGAATGTTGGTCCACGCTTTATGGAGAAAAGACAACCTTTTCAAATAAAATCATTGATGGTGATTTACAATTTTGGAGCGACAGCATTAAATTTGTACTGTTTTACGAAGGTATTCATAAGATATAGTATCAAAAAATGCGTGCCTTCTGAGTGCGTAAATACTTAGCAATTCGCCCAAACATGTTGAATGTGCACATGTTATACAGTTTGTTGTTAGTGGACAAATTTGTCATTATTACTCACATAAAAATGTTTTCGTTAAATATCGTTTTACGTGGTGGAATGTTCATGGTATAAAACTTTGTCATCTTTTGAAATATCGTCCACAACGATCTTCCATACTGTTAATAAATAAATACTTTTGGGCCCCTTAGAAACAAAAGATGTATACTGTGTTAATGTGTTTAAATCCAAACACAGATATAGACCAATCACCGCACGTGTTTTATTGTTTTTATTTTATAAAAATACTTATTACATAGCAATTGCCACTTCCTCTAAAATGCTCCGCTTTGATTGGCTAAGAAACATAAAATACACGTAATGGCAGTCATTACGCATAATTATACAAATAGATGCAAAGAAAATTTTTGAGGCAAACACAATTTGTTACTTTTCTGTTCTTTTCACATAGATATTGAAGTGCTCATGGAAAGCTGGCTATAATTATGTTTGCCAAAAAGTTGTTATCTCGAAGGAGCCGGAACACTTAGGAGTAATTATTGTTAATTGCCTACTATATTGAGTCGTTACACGTTGTGAAAAAATTCTCTTTAACGATATATACACCTGATTTTGTTTGTATAGATTGCAAATGCTATTTGGTGGCATTACATTTCAAAATATTTGGAAATGTTAGATACGGTAAGTGCTTACCTATTATTGATGACTAGATAGAGATATACTTGATCGAAACCAAGTGAATTTAAGGAAAGGCACATTTACTGTTAAATTTGTGTACTTTTTACAAAACCAACGTATTTTTGTTGCTCTGAATGCTGCATATACAATACGAGAATTCAACACACCGTATCTTTTGTTTCATGTTGGGTTGCCAAACAATAATCCAAGAAATATTGCACTATGCTATATGTTGTTTGCAATGTTTTTTGTATCATTTCGTGAAAAAACGATTGTTGTAAAAAAAGTTTGCATTGTTTAGTGAAAGCATAATAAATATACGTGACCAGTTTTAGAATTCCCAATAAAAGTTTTTAATGATTGATTTTTTACTACACGTTGACTGAAAAGGTAATTTGGATGAAAAGCAAAACTTTGTATGCTTAGCGTTTTTCTACCTGAAGAAGAAGTTTGCAGATGCTTATGTCATCTTTTGATTTTAATGGAGCTTAAGTTTGAAAATGAGTTCACGTAACTTGGTACACTTTGGCTGCAAATAGCAGTTTATTTTATATCTGCATGCAAACGTTAACGAATCAGTTTAATACTTGTGTTTATAGTTAATAATTACTTCAAAATTCTCTCATCTTTTGAAAGATATTTTTCATTCTTCGTAAAAAAGACAACCAGATCACCTATCTTCATGTTTATCATCACACATCCATCGTGGCACTTTGGTGGATTGGAATTAAATGGGTTCCCGGTGGATCATGTAAGTAAGCGACTTGTTGACATTACCACAGATTGAGCTACAATTTTTCTTTATCTTTCAAACCTTTTAAAGCATACTTTGAAAAATTTGATCCATTTTGATGAAATTTGCTTTCTTACCTCGCTTAGTAAATTTCCTGCACACCATTCTTTTTGGGCTATTTTTTATGCAGATGAAAAAACATCTGTTGTAATACTAATTATAAAAGATATTATTCAAAATACCTGTATCAGAGTCAGGGAAATAACTTCTTTGGAGAGTTAAATCGATTTTACGAACATATGCGATGTGTATGATTGGTCGAAAATTTCACCTTTATGAGCTTTTTGGACTTAAATATTGATGACTTTGCACCGGAAGTGACGTAAAAGGAGAAAGCGCGGTTTCTTTGTCAAATGATATCGTCAAAGTGATCAAACTATACACGTATTCAGCATCTTGAATTAAGTTACACATAGTGTTGTTTTTAAGAAGATTTGCTATGGCAGCTTTATTCAGTTTAATGAAAGCCATATGTACAATGCACGTGTTCTCCTTTAACCTCACATACAAACGTCACGTATAAAGAAGTTATTTCTTTAACACTAATATTGGCATCAAATGAAGATATGATCTTCGCACTTTGCTGGACAATTTAAGCAATCGTCTCAGGACCTGAAAAAATCAGGTGACTCAACGGGATTCGAACCCATGACCTCTGCGGTGCCGGTGCAGTGCTCTGACCAACTGAGCTATGAAGTCACACAGTGGTGAGCAGGTCAATATTGTTGGGCTCATGTTTTCTCGTGAAAGGAATGTCGTATGAATGTTTTATGCAGTGCGGTGTTTTGAAATCAAATGAAGATATGATCTTCGCACTTTGCTGGACAATTTAAGCAATCGTCTCAGGACCTGAAAAAATCAGGTGACTCAACGGGATTCGAACCCATGACCTCTGCGGTGCCGGTGCAGTGCTCTGACCAACTGAGCTATGAAGTCACACAGTGGTGAGCAGGTCAATATTGTTGGGCTCATGTTTTCTCGTGAAAGGAATGTCGTATGAATGTTTTACGCACCACTGTGTGACTTCATAGCTCAGTTGGTCAGAGCACTGCACCGGCACCGCAGAGGTCATGGGTTCGAATCCTGTTGAGTCACCTGATTTTTTCAGTTCCTGAGACGATAGCTTAAATTGTCCAGCAAAGTGCGAAGATCATATCTTCATTCGATTTCAAAACACCGCACTGCATAAAATTCATACTAATATTGGCACTTAAAAATTTTGTTTGCCTATTCATTTCTTAGTACGAAAACCTTAGTGTTTTATTTTAATAGTCATCTACCGACCGAAATTGTTGCATAACATGACTTACGTAGCCCTTGTCAAAGTATAGTGAATATACAGTAGAGCCACTCAATTGAATTTTTCACGTGCCGCGCATATCTTATTACGCATGTGATTACCATAGTGGTAGAGAGTCAATTGCTTTTTTAACCAATAGTCTGATTAAATATACAGCAGCCAGTTGCACAACAAAGTGGACCTGCTGTATATTCCCTATAATGTGCCCTTATTAAGCTGGCCACGTCACTGTCCTTTACGCTGGAATGACCCATTACATCTAGTTTTCAAAGGAACAAATGCTTGTTGTATGTAAAATAATTTTGAAATTGTTGTATTCACGACAAAAAAAACAAAAAGGCTTCAACAATTATCTGAAAAAAACTGGAGAAGCTGGGTTCTTTACCATAAAAACGCTTATTGATTTCTTGACCTAAAATTTCAGCTTTCGTTGGCGCCATGATCAACTCATGTGTTCACGTGGTTATGTATTCATATTATGGCTTGAGTGTGTTTCCTTCACTTCGTGGCTATTTATGGTGGAAACGTTACCTTACTCAATTTCAGTTGGTAAGTGAACTTAACAGTACTTGAAAGCAATCAAACACTTGCTATATTATAGAGGTAAGAAGACAAGTGAATTAGTAGTTACAAAGTGTAGTCACCATTTGACATTGGTTGAGTTACTAAAGACAAAAAAAACCAGTTATGCTATAATTGCTAAAAACGTCGTTAAAATAATTTTCATTGAGGTTGTTAGCTTATAGCTATGAACAACATAATAATCGTAATGCCAAGAGCGAATTACAATCGTCAATTCAATGACGTAGATGTACTTGGAATGTACTGTGTGTATGTATGTTAAAAATATGTCTATCATTGAGAAAACAAAGCTTTTAAGATGTATTATCTTACAGTCAACTGAATCAATTCATTTTTTCCAAGGATCTTTTTACCTTCATCTTTGTCCAAGTTATTTGTGTACTTTTTTCACTATGCAAGCTGTAAAAAGATGTTTTTTCCAAAGATAGCACATGTTCTTTCTAGAGTCAGCTATTTACTTTTTCTTTAGAAGACATCTTTCTCGTTAAACTTTAGATACCTTTTTTTTTGTTTTAACTTTAGATGAGTTCTTTTGTGTGGAGTTTATAAGAGTTTATTTTTTTACTTGAACTTTAGATTAGTTCTTTTTGTTGGAACTTTAAATGAGTTCCTTTTATTTAAAACTTTAGGTTCAATTCTTATGCCTATTTCTGCAAGCTGTGTTGGCCCTTCGCGAGGACTGTGGATTTCCTCGATGGATGGCTTATGCTTTGATCACATATATGATGTCAATGATTCTTTTATTTGGAAATTTTTATCTGAAAACGTACCTAAAGACAAGACTGAAACTATCGAACGGCGAAAATGGAAAAGTTCAAAATGGAAAAGTTCAAAATGGAAAATTATTGAAAGGGGATTAGAAAACACACCAAAAAATATACAGGCTCAATACAATGGCTATTGGATACACTTGATTATACAGTATACACAGTAGGTTATTGTGCTAATTACCATTTCAAAATAGTGTCTTTTAAAAACTTAGGACTTTGCTGAGGAAATTTGAGTGTCCTTTTTGATCTTTTGTCACATTAACTATGAGCCAATTGCCGAAAAAGTGGAATCATGTAAGGACTTGATCAATATAGGCTATTCTTATGTTCTTTAAAAAGATCTTTACTCTAATCAACGTGATCCATGTGGTAAAATAGTTAAGGTGATATGTTAAAAACAACTATTTGATGAAAGCCTTGAAAATGAAATTCTAGGCAATTAACTATTTTCAAATTTGAAACATTGTAAAATGTCTCATTCTAATGATCGCTGAAAGTGGTCGTTATTCCAAAATATCTTGCAAAACGCTGTAGCTTTTTCAGAAAATACCATACCATTAGAAAATCTACAATGATTGCTTTCCACCGACATAACTTTTATTATTTCAACATTTAGTAAAACAAACACAATAGCCGTTTCTGTGCGATCAACGTCATGTTATATTATAACGCTATGAAATAGTCACCCATGAAATTCCAGCCTTCATAGTAATAATTTGGGCAGTTCTGAGTACATAGCTTATTATTCATCAGCGAATATCACTAATATGTATAACACCGTTAATTCCCAAGTTATATCACAAATTTTTGGATAAATCTCGAGCATGCGCAATCAACTTGACCAGCTGCTCAAGCTCATCGTCTTGCCAATGACAAAGTGCATCTACTAGCACCGATTTTGATGAAAATAGCATGCTTAGTAACAATTTACTAGAGAAATCTTCTGCGCACGCGCAATCTGTTTGAACATGCACAGTCGATTTTACCATACGCAGTCGACTTGACCAGTTGCCCAAGTTCTTGGTCATGGCAATGACCAACTGCATCTACTAGCACCGACTCTGAAGTAAATAGCATGCTTAGTAACAATTTAATACATAAATCATCATGCTCCAACGCATGCGCAGTCCACTCGATTAATTGTTTATAGTCATGGCAACGACTAACTATATATACTTCCACTACATTTGTGACAATTAGCTCACTTAGTCGCAAATTATCAAGGAAATAATCTGGTCATGCGCAGTAACGATTTTTTTTATTCGTTTATAAATTTGTGACAAAAGTAATGTGAATAATGGCCACAAACTTTTGGCAACATCTGTAAAATTTTTCTGCACGCGACAAATTGTCACTGTTATCGTTTAACCAAAAATATGATCTGTTCTGTAGGTTTTTATATAACAAGCTTCTGAATTTTGCCTGCCTATGTTTGTAATGAACAACAGGAAAATTTTAATTCACTTTTATACGATCTGGGTCATGTGGGAGTTGGGCCAGCTGCTTAGTTGAGGGTTATCCAGCGAATCCTTAATTCAGCGTTCAGTGCTATATTATATCATCAGAATTTCTTTCCTCCTTCAGTTATTACAGAGGCTGGGTGTCGGAGGGTAGCAACCCCGAAGGGTGGAAAAAGATTTTTTGTGCAGGCAAAGAGGTTTTCAGTGCTTAAGGAGTGTGGTTTCTCAGTTTGTAAAAAAAGCCTTGTATTAAATATTTTCCTTTTTTTATTTTAATTCTTGTTTCAAAGAGTCCTCGCAATGCTGTATGACAATTTACAGATTTATGGCTTTGTTTACATGGAGCCAAGTTACCCGGCAAGGCAAATAAGTCTGTCGGCAGGGATAAACCAGCACAATGTTGGTTTGACAATGAGAAACTCGGTTTACAGTCCCATACACACATTGTTATTATATAAAGTCCTCAAAATTGAAGTACACTTCTATCGCGAATTCTTAAAAACAGCAAAAATAATAAAATGAATCGAGAAAAGTTTCAAAAGGCGTATTTGATGTTTCTGTTCGTGCTTTTGCGTTGTCATTGTTTAGTTTACAAGCTATAGCAAGATAGACGCATGCGTGTTCGGTAACCGAGTATGTTACCAAGTTTCCTGTTCAAACTTGATTACATTGTACAGCCGTGACTCGGCACAATTTCCCAAGAACTCTGCAAGGCGAGTTATTAGAATCTCTCAAATAAACAGTCAGGCAAGTTAATCATAGGATTTATATAGCAGACGAGAACTCGCTGTCGAGTTACTTGCCTAGCCGGGTAACTGGGCTCCAAAACAGGCCCTTAGGAAATCAAAAACTTCCCTGGTGTGCATAGACTCCTCCAGAGTGTCTTTCAGCAACTGTACCACTTCAAAATCTGTTGCTATAGAACTGAAAGAACGCGAGTTCATTTGACCGATTGATTTAAAACATAAAAATCTGCATATGACCATAAATTATTACAGTGAATGACTCTTCAATACATTAAATTTGGGCAAATAAGCTACCCCTTCCTGGAAATACGCGGTACTTTATGATATATGATTAAAAACAAGATTAACAAACATTATCAAAGGTATTTTCTGCATATTTTAAGTTTATTTTTGCCAATATTTTTTTCTCGATGTTAAAAACTCATCGCTTTCCGAGTTAGGGTGAGTTTGTTCGGGCAAATAAAGACAGACATAAAGACTTCTTGTCCCATGCAGTGGCCATCATTACAAACTACAAAAGAAGATCTCAAAAATTTGTTATTTACATTTACTTCACTTACATTTTATTACATATTCATCCTGCGTGAATAATTAACTAGAAGCCATCATGTGAAATATTCTTTAGCCCATGTCGTTTAAGTCGTGTTTTTAGTCTATTTTTATAAAGTGTGCCTGAAAGAAAGAATTGTGAAATAATATGTTATAAAACTAAAGATACATTATATACATTAGTCATTAGGTGATTTAGGTCTTTATTATCTCTCGTGAATAATATGCATATTAGCTGTCGTTTTGCTTCGGTGAAAAATTGTTTATTCAGCAGCAGCCAAACTATAACAAAGGACACACCGGTATGTAATGTAAAGCACGCGCTTTACACCGTAAAGGAACATATATTTGTCAATAGTCAGTGATTCCCAACACAGCTCTTACATTCAAGGTATGTTTTAGTTAATGGTGTGTTACATTAACATTGACTCGATCAGTGTTATAGGTGTTTGTTTTGTATGTCAATGTGCTATGTACCAAGAAGATAAGCATCCAACGGTTTCACTTTGACCCTTGTTTAACATAAGCCCCGCTGGTGAAAATGCATTTTATGAGAACTTACTGGCTGGACTCATTAACTATAATTATATGGGACACGATTAAAATGGACTTCACAACAGCTGATTTATAATTATTTTAATATTATAAATTTGGTCCGTTGTAGTGCATAAACAACAGCTTAGCTAGAGGCTTGAAGAATCGGAGAATTATTTATTATTTCATGTTGCAAGTCATAGCTGCAAATGAAATACAAATACAATTCAATTGTGATTTTTACAGACTAAATTAAATATCTGGCGGGCTATCACTGTATAATAACTGCTTTGTGTGAAGTATCCTCGTGTTTGCATATCCGAGCATATCAGCACTTTCTCATTGAATCGTGTAAAATATTTCTTGTCACTTCCATCCCTACTATATATAAGCTTTTATGGTAAACTTTTGTACATCTCACTCCACGAAATCTAAAGGAAATAAACTATGATAGTTTTCTTGCAACTAAACTAAGTTTTGATTTAATTCAACACAACACTTGATTAAACCTCATATCTACCAATAAATTGGCTTGGCCAAGACGCACCCCAGACGACCTCCCGTTGTTATGTTGCTTTTAACTTCCTTTCGTATAAGCAGTCGTTCACAGTAAAGTATGCTCAAATTGGAGATTAAGTGCCTTGTGATAACATTTGTAATCTATTCGGTCATTCTATAAGCACTAACTCAATTTGGAACCTTCGATTTGAGCTTTTGGATAATATGATAATAAACATGTGCATGATTGTGAAGGAGAGCTTGTTAAGTTCAAACATAAATGTTTGACCGTGATCCATGTCCTAATTGAAGCTCATGAGCCTAGTATGATATTTTGGCTGGGTAAGAAGCAGTGGTTTGTATATAATACGTATGTAGATATGCGTGAGCAAAATTGTCGTTAATCTGCATTGTGTGTTCACCTCGTGATCACTGCGACACTTTGATTGCACAGAGCCATAATATTGAGTTGATGTAACGGTTACGTCAAACGGCTTACGGCTACCGTTAGCCGACCGAGAAGAATGGACTGAAATGAGTAATGCGGATGTCTGAAACGCAGAATTTACCGTCATTATTCCAAGACGGTTAGTTTTGGAGCTGTTGACGTGAGTGAATACAGCTTGGTTAAAATCTCGGCTAAAATAGTACTGGCATTTCGAAGCATGTTTATGTGAAAATATGCATGGCAATGATATAACGGACAGGTAAGATTAAAATTCATAATTACTTTTAATTCAAAGTATTCGAAGAGTTGAATTTAGTGTACTTAGATGTTATGAATCATACAATATGTGGCTAGCTATATATATTTCTAGTATCTTATGACAAATTTATTTATGATGTTCATATGTTTATACTTTATAGTTAACCGTTGCGAGCACCTCATGATTCTTAAAGTAAGCAACGGTTGAATTTCGCGCGCACATTGACCGTACTCGCCTCAGTCTATCTATTACACGGGCCACCGTAGCCGTTAATCGTAGCAATTGCATCTTAAACTCGCTAATAGCATTCGTAAAATATTCTGTCGTAAAATATTCTTTTGTAAAATATTCCCAACATTGCTGAATGGCGAATCCAGTTAGGGAGACTAAGTTCAACTGGGGAACTAAGTTCAATAGTTGTAAATAGAAAAGTCATGGTGAAACAGTTTTACCAAATGATGTACCTCCTACTAGTAGAAAGTCCCGGATCCGCTGTTGTGGATGACTTTAAAACAATCAATTAGCTAAAAATTATGTAGATAGTTATTTTAGAGCAAGCATGATTTGTTGTGTAAGCATAATTTAATGCTCTTACTTCTTTGTTGATTGTGCTTAGCGTTTAGCTTATGTTTATTTAACATAATAAAAACTCCTGAATTTATTAAATTTTTTGTAGTATTGCAGAATAATGGAATTCGTGAAAGATGTAAAAGAATATTACAAAGGGCTGGATGCCATGAGTGGTAGATATAATATTTTATAATATTTAATAATATTTAATATAATATAATATAATATATTATATAATATATATATATATTATATATAATATATAATATGTAATATTTTATGTTGAAAATTTAGTTTAAGCAAATAGGTTTTTTAATTTATGAGATGAGCCCTTTGTTTCCTAATGTATTTTTTACATTGTAGCTACTAAATATCCCTGAGATCATGCAGTAGCCGGAAAGAATAGGTTGACCACTTACGTGAAATCATTCAAAATGGTTTTTCATGATGAAATTAGTCTTAAAGAAATTAATTGACTGAATTGTCAAAAAAGTGGAAATCTTCTACGTTTATGTATCAACGAAATGTGAACATTTTCTTTTTTGAAAATGGCAACGCACGCTCTGTTTGTATTCCATAAAGATATTGTTTTTCTGATGAAAGAACAAGTGTTGCCTAGACTGTTCCATGTGTCGAAGCAACTAGACTCCCATCGCTTTACCCATAAAATGTTAAAAAGCTATGCTTCTTAATGATAAAAAACATTCTAATCTTTATTGAACAAAATTTTTGACATTTTCACCGATACATCAATGAATAAAACAAGCGCATTAAAATCGTCTTGTTTAACATCTCTATGTGAGAGAAACATCGATTTCTTAACGACGTTACATATTACTGTGGAGCTCACTAAATCTATTAAAAATTGATTGATTTTTTGTGTTATTTATATAGATCCCAGGACAAGAAAATGGCCGTTTGTGTCGTCAATTGCGAGCCCATTGTTTGCCTGTTTGCTTTATTTGTTTATTGTAAATGTTGGTCCACATTTAATGGAAAAACGTCAACCATTCGAAATTAGAAAGTTAATGGTCATTTACAATTTAGGAGCAACTCTATTAAACTTATACTGCACAACTCACGTATGTATTAGTCAGTATTCAAGGTGTTATTTTGATAAATAATCGATAGGTCATCTTCAAATGTTCTAATGACAATTTTAAATGAATTTTTATAATTTTGCAATTGACACTGGGTTTATTAGTCTCACCAGAAGTGTCATGGTGCATTTTTTATCTGAGGAAAAACAAGAACATTCTGAAAATTCAATTCCTCATTAAGCAAACTTCATGAGAACATGATAAAAATAATTATCTTACCTTTTCAACATGAGACCTACAAGACCTTTGCATGTAGTGTCAATAAAAAATTTTAGTAAACATTTCCATGGCTTCAACTCTGTTTTGTTTGTTTTTTCAAAAGCTCTTCGTTGGCTCGTGGAAAGCTGGATACAAATATATATGCCAAAGAGTAATTGTTTCAACCGAACCAACTCATTTGATGGTATACACAATTGAAACTCTTGTAACAAATGTTGTAATATATTAACTCATGAACTACGATTTCTAATTTCAAAATATAATTACAGATCGCGGAAGTGATATGGTGGTTTTATATTTCCAAGTATTTAGAAATGTTGGATACGGTGAGTTTAAAACTAAAGAAAAGTCCTCCGAGCGTTAGGGTAGTGGTCAAAAAGCCTCTGGCTTTTACTTTCAGTATTGTAACGTTAACGTTGGTTATTAATTTTCCTTATTTTTGAATCAAAAATCATAGGTATTCTTCATAATGCGAAAAAAAACCAACCAAATTTCTTTCCTACACGTCTATCATCATACATCTGTCGTGATAATCTGGTGGATAGGAATTAAATGGGTTCCAGGTGGCTCATGTAAGTCCGGTCAGCGGAGTATTTGCAAAGCTATTGTGAAAGTTGCACTCTACATTATATATCCTAGTGATTTGTGATATAAAGCAGTAGTGATCAAGTATAGAGTTAGGAAAAATAAATTAAAGCTGCTCAATTTCAAATAAAAAAATCTATTCATAGCAATATGCCATCAGCTATAAATTTCAAATTACTTATCAAAGTGCAATTCTTGTTTTGAAATGTAAATACATCCAGAAATGGAATGCTGTAAATTATTTTTTCTACCGGTAAATTTGGCAAGCCAAACAATACAAAAGCTACAGAAAATCGTAGGTTAGAGAAAAGAGCTTTTTTCATAGATTGTTTGTATGTCTGTTTATTTTGTATTGACATGTATGATGTTTCAGAGCAAAATTCCTTTCTGTCGTCCATTTGTAAGATAGATAAATTGGTAGTCACCTGAAATGACGTTTACGCTTAGTGCCGACACGAGTATTTGTAAACGGTCGGATGCTACTATGCGTCATTAATGCTTATTGTTATTTTCAATTTTTTGGCAAAAACTTTCTTTATTTGTGTAAAATACAATAAACATTGTAATTTATCATTGAATTTGAGATAAACAAATGAATATAAGCCATAATGTTGAGTTAGAATTAAACATAATGTTTCGTACTGAATGTTAACTGCTACCGATTACGTTATTTTCGCCTGTTCACTAAAAATTATTTTGTATGTATAAATGAACTATATACATTAACTATATTTCGTAATGTTGAGGTTCATTGACTAATCCTTACGCACTCATTGACTGCTTGTATTTGTTGTAGCTTTACTGCTTGTTAATTTAATGATTTTGCTTTAAAAACACAAGAACATTGACGCTAGTATTAACTAAAATAAATTCTCCATTTAAATGCTATTTATGGTGTTTAGCTTTCTACTGTGCAGCAGTGAACTCCTTTGTCCACGTTGTGATGTACACATATTATGGTTTAAGTATGTTTCCTTCTCTTCATCGTTACTTATGGTGGAAACGATACCTGACTCAATTCCAGTTGGTAAGTGTGCATGCCTAGAAAACCTTTTAAAGTAAAACCATCAAATTTGCTTTCGTTCAGTACTGTCAGTAGGTTTTGTTTTTGTATTTCTGGGATTTAAAAATGAATGGAAGGATCGCCATAAAACGAAATTTTGGTTTCCACGTCAAAATTGTCTCCTGTGTCTCTGTGACATCATTATTTCAAATTTCTGCGTCTGCAAGGCACATAAAAGACTACTTCAAAGTTGATAAATAAGCTTCAATAACAAATAATTTCAGAGTAGGGTCTTTATTTTATGTCTTTTCCAAAATCGACGCTTTGTTTGGATTAGGGGGCTGAAATAAAATCTCGAATTCAATCTTCTCTCTTTGCAGTCCTGTTGTGGATGATCAGCACATCATACTTTCTATGAATGATAATTTTTTCCTAAAATCATAACCCACTCCATCACCTTATCAAGCTTAGAAACTTGTGTCGCAAACTTCATTCTTGGTGTTTTTGTAATTTTTTGACTATTCCATTCAAAAATACTCGTGCTTAAGCGTTGAGAAAGCATAATTTTTGGAGATATTTACAATATGGACGAGATTTTCTTGGAATGTTTCAAGTAATGTGTTTCTTAAAACAAGAATTAAATTGCATTGTTGTAAAGTGGTCAAAAATTATGTGGAAAACCTATCCACACGATATAAGATTTCAATAGAGTTATGTTTAGTGCATTATTAGTACATCCACTTTTTTTCTTTTTAGCTTCAGTTTGGATCTCTGTTTATACAAGCAATATTAGCACTTCGTCAAGATTGCGGGTTTCCTCGATGGATGTGTTATGCCCTACTTGGATACATGACTTCAATGATCTTTTTGTTTGGAAATTTCTATTTGCAAACCTACCTTAAAGGCATGAAGAAACATGACAAGGACGTTAATGGAAATGTTCATAGTGTAAATGGAAAACTTGAAGGAAAGCCAAAGAAAGATCAATAATTCTAGCTGACGAAGTTTAAGAGAGATTGTTGAATATTTAATTTTTCTTTGTCATTATTTTTCAACGAAGTAGTTTAGCCATTCTTTTCTTCAATTTGCTATTGTCAAATGCTTAAATTTTGCTATGTCAATTTATTGGTAAAAAATATTAAATCCATACACAACATGTATTCTGAATAGATAACCTTTTGCTATGAATTATAGTAAATTTAGTGTAAGACCTTTTAAACAGAAATCTGTGATTGTACACAAACCCTTTTCATGCATTGACCATTGCATGACAAATGAACAAACAATGGCCTATAGCACACATGGTCTAAACTTTCTCCATATCTCATTTCAATTCTTTTATTATCTCATACGCCAAATGGAACTTGGACCTCCATGTCTTTGCTGTCGAAAAAATGGTGCAAGAACAACAAATTGCATGAACAGACGACTTTGAATTGAGCTCCTATATGAATATAAGTTCTCCTCACTCAACAATATTCTGCAGTCCTGTAAAATCATGTTTCATTTCGTTGTTACTTTTATAGCATCTGTGAGTTTCATAGTTAAACCAGCACAATGAAGTCTCAGAGAATAAAGATACTTTGCCGAACAATACTACCGACACAGCATTGTTATTATCATTGGTCGTACCTTTGAGTTGCTTTGGAGACTGAAAAAGTTGCTAATTTACTGTCCTTGAACAAATACTAAGCGAAATTGAAATACCTAAACTTCGAGTAAAAACTCAACCTTAATTCAAGAGTCCAATATGATATGAATTTTTTTAAACTTTTTGTGTGATTTCACACTTAAAAACAATGCTGATGGAAACCAATTGCTGTCAAAATAAGTTTGCAAAGCTAATCAAACCAAAAAATGTCTGATTTATATGGTAAATCTCTTCATGTTTTCACCAGAAATATCAGAGATATTGCTTCACTTGTACATGCGCATGCAGAGACTTGTTTTAGCATAACCATGAAGGCTAGTTTTAGTGGAACCAAAAAAAGTAATCAGGGCACTAGTATCTTAATTTTTACGCTAAAAAGAAAAAAAATTTTGGATTGTTTCTGCTTACCTTAGGGTTGTTTACGCACCGCTTTGAAATTGTACGCTACTGAATATTTTTCTTTAAGAATGAGATTCAGCATGAAAGGTGTTAGAACTTAGTAGCTAAATACTTTTGTTTGCGTGGCTTACCGTGCAGATATCCATCTCTTTTTCATCAGAAGACTAAATTCTTCATTGAAAAGAATGGTGAACATATTTTGGACATACTAAGGTGTGGTATGATGTATTTCATATCAAATAAAAACAACCACTGGCCCAGTGTGGTATTAGTCAGGGGGTAGAGGGAGAAGTTGCTACCAGAGACAATTTATAACCCCCCTAAATGTTGTTTAGTTTGTTCTCTTATTGCATCAACGGCAGTAGATATTGTTGACAAAAAGATGGGTCTATATTCAGGAACTGACACTGCATTTCTTGACTTTTTAATTAATAACTCACTTCTGGGCAATGAGTAATTTTAATATCATACAATTTGCTTGGATACATTCGCTTATATGATGACTATGGTGATGTTAAGTGCTTGGATTACATAAGATTTTTTTTTAAAAGAATTTTTTTAATTACAACAGTTACCAAAACTTTTAAAGAGAATGTAGATTCACTAATAAAACAACGTGCATATCAGTTTGGTCGGTTCATTTTTCTTGAAAAGCGAGTTATCCAGTTAAAACTTAGATCAATGGCTAACAGTTTACAACATCAGTGACGTTATTTGCTTTTACTGATAAGCAAATTCAAATCAACTTGTTTGAAATTTTACTCCGGTTATCGGCCATCAGGTAAGTTAAAATCTTAAAAATTAAAAATTATATTATGTACAAATATTGCTAATTGTTGAAATTTACAAAGCATACAAGTGAAATACTGGGTAAGACTAGAAAATCAATAATGTACACGCAGATTTAGCGAGAACATTTATTGATTTTATAAAAACGAAGCTGTTCGTGGCAAAGAAACAGCGGAAACGATCGCCAAACTATTGATGACATTTTTTGTCAAATAAAGTAGCACTCCAGTGACGTTAGATCAGTTGTCACTTGTATCTGACAAGGACTCGTCGCCATCAGTTTCAGAGGAAATTATCTTGGCTTTTCCACCAAATTTATAAATAAGACGAGCATTGGGAACTCTTTCCAAAATGTCTTTTTCGTAATAATAGCGCAAAGCACGACTCATCTTTTCGTATGTCATATTTTTTCGATTTTTTCGTTGCCCCCAAAGCTTGGCAACACCACCAGAATTAACCAATTGGAAAACACCTTCAGATTTACTAATCCACTTAATGTATTTACGATTTTCCTCGGCGTCATTTAACATGTCTCGTAGAAACTCCCACAAGTGAATAGAACGATTACCTAAGAACAACAAAAAGTTTGTTTTTATTTTCCTGACAATGATCAACTGACACTATCTTGAAAAACAAATTGATATTTATGAATTTCCACGCGAGTTACATCGAGGAGAATAATGACAATCATGAATGTGTCGCAAAAATATTGATGCTCCAGAGTTGGTATGTTGAAAATAATCATACTGTGAAATCTAATGGTTATATTTTATCTAAATATTTTCTTTTTACGTTTCTTTCCTTGAAATTCACACGACCTCATTATAATAACTTTTCGGAGATGCGTTAAGTTTAACCCATGTTGTACCTGGGTTAGTCGTGTTTACACGCAAAAAATTAATCTGGGTTAAGTCCGGGTTAGTTTATGTCGTGTGAATAAAGCTTAACACTCCAGGGTGCACAAAGCATATTGTTTGGCTAAGCTCATAATGAGTGATAAATATTTACCTGATCTTTTTCTTTTGCGTTTTGCTAGCTTTGGCTTTCTTTTTTCCACCCTTGGTTTTGCTTTTGCATTTCTGGTGACTTTATTAGCTGATGAAAAAGTCAGGTGATTAATTAGCCCAGTATGAGAAGTTAACATGAACATTTAGTCGAATCACTTCATGCTCAAAACAATAAAGATACTTGTACATGCAAAAAAAATTCATTGCACTGCCATAATATTTAACATTTAATGCATTTTAAAACACATAGTTTATTTCTGAACAGTAATTAGATGAATAATTATTACTTTATCTTTAAATATCTTATGTCATATTTAGTGGAGCTTTAGTGTTCAAAAGAATTGCCTTTGAAGTAAGCAGTCAAATTTATCGTCGGAAACCCGAGTAAGAGATGGAAGCCATGTTTTTTTGCTACTCGCTATCTATTGAAAATTACTATGTAAACTAGAGTAGCCAATCAAATTAAAGAGTTTACAAAAGAATAATATATAATTCTGCTAATACTTATTAGTACACTCTCCATTGCAACCTTACCATTTTGAAGTTCCCTATTAACAAATGGTTCGGGTTGTTTTGGAAAAACTGGGCTAACAGGTGTAATATTCCATGGTGCGTATTCTAATAAAACAAGAAAAATGTTTATGAAGCTTTTGCAAACAGAGAATTTAATCACTTTTATGCTTATTTTTTTTAGGATCGCATAGTTACCTTCAACTGAATTACTTTGAACTGCCATCTGACAGCTAAAGTCAAGAATTTGATCTGATAATTAAAAAAGAAATATCTTTAAAAAAATAATTCATAGCATTTTTAGAGCTTTCTCTTTCAAAATACATTCTTCATTCGATAAAAGCCTTTTAATCTATATACTGCTCTAAAGCAGTAGTTATAACAGTTTTTCAAACATTTTGTTCGTTAGCCAATGCATTAATATTAGGTGTAATTATGTGTATCGAACGAGCATTGCATTCTCTATTTTCCTTACCATTATTGTCCATAATTTCGTCCATTATCTTTGTTAGATCTAAATCTTCGATAGCTTGAACGTTATACTCATGACAATTCACCAGTGAATCATCTGGTGACTACAAAAGTTTTTAATCAGTTTGTTGAGAAAAAATCTTTCAACTTACACAAACGTCATGAGATGAAACATAGTTTTCATTGGCAAGATTTATTTTTTACTTACTGATTGGTCAAGGAAACTGTTCAGTGGACGATCATCCGGATTTGAACTTGCAGGCTTCATCGTGTTGATAATCGACTATAAACAGTTTGTAATATATGCATTAGCAAGAATTCCACAACTTAATCCCATCAATTAGAAAACGGGTAAGGTAGAGGTTAGGATTTGGCAAAATAATGAATACTGTCACTAATTTGTAAATCAAAATACTCTTACAATGCCATTAGTCGTTTATTTATATAGTTTTCTTGCATGATATATAGGTATATATAGTTTTCCTGCATCATACGTAGTTATATAATTTTTAAAGAATATGAAGCGGCCATTGAAAACGGGGTACAAATTCAACTTCGTTTTATTTTACTTCGCCAAACTGTAATGTATAACTTCGCAATACCTAATACTTGGAAAAGAGATAATGTTCCTGGCTCGAGAAATTAACAACTAGCTCGATGCTGATTATATAATTCAGTCTCTGTTTATGTTTACGACATAAAGCAGTTGTACGGGGGCGGGAGTCAAACAGTACCATGGTGATGGAGTTGCTCCAATACAAAAGCACAATTTCCTTGCAAAATATGAAACGTCGTGAGATAAAGTGTATGCAAGAACAGTATTAAATAGTTAGTAAACCATGTAACTTAATATTTCTCAAAGTGCGCATGTTTTTTGTATAGTGCTTATATTAGAGGCACTGGCAGGCCGGGCTTGGAATGCCGTGGGTGTTTTGGGGTGTCTGAACACCCACAACTTTTGTAGTGTAGGAGTACCTTATAGGAAGGACAGACATAAATTTAGGTTCTTATTTGAACGCTTATGATAGGCGTACCAAAAGTGATTTTGGAGGATTTTTGTAATGTTTGCTCGAAAAAGAAGAAAAACTGATTAAATATAATTAATATGAAACAATTTCATTCTAAGTTTGTTGCGTTATGACATTGCAAATATATGGTGCACTCACAACTCTTGAAAGCTTTCATAGCCTCTGGAGTCACGATAATAATATTATGGAATGCTATTTGTCGCGCTCATTGTCTCCAAAAGCACTGCATGTCGGCCAACTTTATTGTATTAGCTCAATTTTAAATTCAAATTACCTTTTCATTGCTATGGGCAATGAATTTATTTATCAAATAAAATGGCAGCGAAACGCACATCTATATTGATAAAGAATGAGTTGTTGCAATCTGTATTTAATGCTTTTGAATTCATCGTCAATACGGAGACAAGCAAAGCAGACTTTAAATCATTAATTTGTGAGTCATTTATTTAGGCAGAATGCCGATTGTTATCATTTGGAATTCGTTAATCGATTGCTTTAAGTTTGCTGGATTTATGAAATTTGCATTTTTAGAGCGAATCTTGTTTTATCAAATAACTTTAATATGATGTTAGTCGTAATTCGTAAGTGCAAAATCAAAACTTATGCTACATTTGAGAATGTTAACTATACCCACAACAATGGCAAAAAGTTGTCATGTTTTCATCTTGCATAGTTAAATAACCATCGCGTAGCATTAATCATAACTTATATTGACGACTCATGTTCGTCAGAGATGAAGAAATTGGGCTAATATAATGTATTAGAGATTTTTTCAATAGTTTGTCTATTCATAAATGTTGAATATCAATAATACATTTATTTAACTGACTTAACTCGTGTACGACGATAACGTCTATCAGATATTATAATCAAGATATCATTATTCTAAGAAGTAAGAAGTCTTTACGCAATGACCATGAAATGGTCAGTTAATTTTAGTATAAACATAACTACACTAATGTGAAAGAAAGAGTCAGTTACTAAGGACAAGCATGCATTTCATTTTCCCTAAAAGAAGCAAAATTTTGAGCTTGCTTTAAGATCATGTTTTAATGTAAACAAGCTTTAAAATCAATTACGTGATACAATAGAGTTTTACGTAGTGTATGTTGATGAACACAAAACCCTTCACAAAAAATGCAACTGTAATAATCAATGTGTAATATCATAAAAACATTTGTAAAAGAACAAGACTGGTTTCTAATTTACAGTCTAAGTATAGCAGTATCTGTCATACAAAAGTTACATGTCATACAATAGTCTAATGTCATACGCATTAACGTAATCCAACTCGCCACTTTACAAAATAATTAAGCATCGTCAGTTAGTGAAATGAGTCGAAAGTGAAACAAAAACACACATGGATTTTTTAAAAATATGTAACATGCACCTTCTTCTTTTAAAATTTATATTGATTATATTGTGAACAGCAACACAGCATATCACGCAAGTCATTAACCATAAAGCTATATATATATCATTTGAATGAAAACGTATTCTGAAGCAATACCTTTTAGAACATACAGATGATCTCATATTCTGGAAAACTTGAATGTATCCTAGATATTTCATTGACTCAAATACTGTCACGGTGTACGTGCAAAAATGTTGGTTCATGATTATAATCGCAATTTTATTAAGGAAATTGGTCGTACGCATGACTGGACGGTCTTTAAATTTAGGAACTTCGACAATACCTTGTTGCCACGTAAATTTTTGTCGACGTCTGAGACGTGTCGAAGCTACACCTACGGTGGGTGCGTTTGTTGTGAAATATTGCCAACTTTACAGCCATTCAATATGATTAATAATACGTGCATGTAAACATATATAATGTCTGATGATGACTTAAGAACTCTTTGTCAAAATAACAAAATACACAGTCAAAATCTTACCGAGCCACTTTTGACAATCGCAGATTTTCAAGAATGATCAATTGTTATTGCTTGGCACATTTAAACGTAACTACTAAGGCACAATCCCCGCGCAAGTTATTTAAACTGCTCATAATTTCTTATTCTAATATGTCATATCCTTTGCTGCATCATATTTCTTGGAAAACACGAAATGTGCTTAAACAGGTTAATTAAGATGACTTAGTGCCGCATTCATATATAATTCCTGGGACAGTTTTCCGGTTTCTATGTAACAACTTAATCCAAAAGAATTTTCTGTAGAATGCGTATCTACGACAATAGCTTTTTGATTTGTAACTTCAGCTTTTTATCGTAAAATGCTGCCCGTGCAGATGTTCTTCTGGATAAAGATTACAAAAATGTCAGCTATTAGTGCTGAGATCTATTAATACTTAGCCATATTAACAATGCTAACTGTAAAAACTCTTTTCTCCATTTGATAAATCGTTACGCGCTATTTAAGTTAAAACATTGACTACCTATTGCGAATTTATTCTGTCGAGCATCAGAATGTCAAGTACAATAATCCCTTTAAAACGTATACGCAGCTTATCGCATGGATTACACAACAATAAAGCAAATATACCTACTTGGAAAAGCGTGAATTTTAAAATAAAAGACAGGAATATCGTAGAGATGAATCGACCACTAGTTTATACACCAGCTACGTTTTATATTTTGAAGTTCACACACTGATATTATACACTCAAAGAGCGGTGTTTATTTTATCATCCGGTTTCACCAGGTGACCGCGTCGTTGATGTATCAGATTTTAAATTTGCATGCAGCAAACTTTCGCGCTTTCACATTTATAGTGTCTGCAACCGATATAGCTTTATTATACTTTTTTTGAGGACAAGGTCAACTTTGTCTTTTATTACCACAACATAGTTCGAGCAACTAGTATAATTTGTACATTTAGAACAATCTCTGCGATGGGCAAAAATCTACATGCCTCATTTTATATTTAATGTTTGCTGTGTTTTGCCTTTGCATATAGCTACATTTATATGGCAGTATGAATATTCGCATAAGTATGACAGCATACACGTATAACTAAGCCTCCAGCGAATCATCTTTAGAGAGAAACATACTAATTATACTGCATCGCATAAAATGACAAAAATATGAAACTTGTAACGCATTGCCCACCTTTTCCTTAATAAAAATGCGAAATACGTCTTTGATGTTAGTTGACGACTCCTTTCACTGGCTGCCACACTGATGTATATATCATGCATTCTTTGTTTTGTATTAACTCTTTTGTACAATTATACACGCCCTGACCGGACGTAAATTCCAGAGATTAGAATAAAAATAGTGAAAAGGTCAAGGGCTAGAAAATTGACAATATGATTGCCCACAAGTAAAAGTCACCACCGAGAGGGATCGAAAGTACCTACTTCAGAAATGCGATACAAGTTTTTTGTCTCGTGATTTTGAAATCTCTTTCTCACAAATAATCATGTTTGAGCATGCATGCATATCAAATATCCCTACATTTCATACAAGCACGATTCATAATTCATAGTTTACATTTTATAAAACAAACAAACAGTCTATTGTAAATTCACTTTAACAGAAAACAATGATATGAAATGCGGTCAATGATCGGAACCGACACGTTTTAAAACATTCTTGCATTCCAAACACTAGCAAATGGATCAGATATTAACTAAGATTTAAAAGAATACCATAGGTATTCTTAGGTTTGATGAAATATATAATGATTAACAGCTATTTTATGTCTCGACTTGTTGCCTCGATTGAGCAAACTTTTCTAAACCATACGTCATTTCAAACAATTATTAAATATGAAAACGCTTCACTGTAGCATACCAAATGATTTATGTACCATGGAAACAAATACACGTACAATGTCCAATACCTCGTACACAACGCCATTTCCAGTCAAATTTACGTATTAGTACTACAAAGTACAATTATGTTCACATAATTTGTCTTTTAAGTAACTTTGCTGCTAATGAAGAAGATCCAGGTAAGAAAGCAATTGATGTTCTAGTTGGAATAATATCAGACTGTTTCTACTCATCATAGGCAAAAAAAAAGATATAGGTTTGTTGAAGTACAAGTATAGGTTGGTTTAATCGGATTTCAATTAAGTTAGCCAAGTTTAATAAAGCTTCATGAAATGCAGCCTCATTGTATATTGCTTCTATACGCAGTACTGAATGCATGACTAATTCTAGTTTACTTTACTTTTTCATATCATGCTGGAACTTTGCTACTTTGCAGGAAATGTCAAGAATCTAATATCAAAGCACTTTGGCTGGTTTCCACTCGTACACAGGAAGTGTCAAATAGTATTAAAGAGAATGGTTAAATTTTCGTTCATGTACACGTGCTGTGACACGCATCCACCTACGCAAAAAAATAATTGGTTTCAAAAGCCACCCTGTATACTATGGATACCACTGTTGATGTAGGGCTGTAGCTTGTCAAGTCTTACAAAACTATTATTTCTGTGATTTTGAATTTCCCATTTCAGCATTTCAAATGCCGAGTATAGATAAGATTAACATAAAATTGTTTATACTGGCGGACGAAACAATAGAGTGTAATTGTTTAGTTATTGTGTTGGCATTCCGTCAATAAAAATATAATATATGCCGCCGTATGTATAATTATTTAACCTTTTCACTTCTTAAAATCAACTCCTGATAAAGTATAGATGTATATTTTTAAAATGAAATTTGTAGAGAAGCTATAAGAGAACGTTAATGAATGTCATTTCAAAAGGAAAGATGTGATTTTCATATTATTGTATTTGAAACAAATATTGTCTTAAGCGACAGTAAATAATTAAACGTACAACATTATATACCATCCCCTGCAGGCATTTCGCCCTTTCATACCGACGGAGAATAATTACTGGCACCGAGCCGTTGAAAATATTTTTTTCATCACCTGCATGGATAATAAATGCTAACGTTGCAAAACTCTCCAATTCATCTATTAAACATTGGTAAATATTTCATTACAATACTGCTATACAGAAGATATATCAAAAATTTACTATCGACATTTTAAAAACAATTTCTTCATTAAGAGCAACCGTTTGATTTTTTTAATGCAGTTAAATTATACTTAGTTTTCATAGCACCCACTCCAATTTTCACTTCATGCTTTTTATTGAAAGTACTCTTGCGCAATTCAAAATTCAACACACAATACATGTAATGATCTTGTTTGCTATAGTATCGATAAAATCGACAGTAAATCGACCGTTTGATTGCAAAATTAACATTTCACAAATACATAACACGTCACGAATATTGTCATCCCCAACGTCACAAAAAATTTGGTATTGGCTTAAATTAGTTATAAACAATTTGAGTTTATACATTAGAGCTTCAGTTTAAAACGTAGATAACGGTTTTTTCCATCAGCGCCGTAGCCAGTTTACAAAATTGGTCGTGCTAAGTAAACTTTAGATCAAATTAACTTTTTAAAAATCTATTGGTTTCACTGGATAGCAACATCGCCACTGTTCTTACTTTTGCGTTTTAATTGGTTGAGTTTGAGTAATATACCCATATTAATTTATGTACTTCATTTCATTTTGCAATAGGTAAAATGCACAACAAAATGCTGCCCTGCACAGTCTTGATTTTCACTTAGCATCAAATTGGCATAATGTGAGATAAGTTAAGTAAACTTAAGGCCATGATATTATAGAAAAAAGCATGTAGTCCAGTTAAAATAAATTGACATCCGCGTTTGCATCTATGTTATTTGTTGTGTGTGAGTTGGGGGAGAGAAGGGGGATAAAGTATCAATTAATGTATTTAGTACGATACAGCAGTGATAATTAGAAGTCAAAGTCGATGATTGTGTTATTACGGTACAGACAGTAAAATCGCTTTCTTTTTGTGAGTGTTTTACGGTAGTCGAAAAAATTTTTTTAGCATTTTGGCAATCAGCCATCGAAATTTAAAGACTGTAGTCTACTTGCTAGAAAAAATAATACACGTGCAAATTTTTGCTTTCCGCTTTTACTTGGAAATTTTAGTGTTCCTGTTTTATAATTATTTTGTAAATTGGGGCGCAATTCAAAACAAAGGATCTTTTTAATAGATCAATAACCAACCTTGAAGTTGATTTTTTTATGAACAAAAATTTCAAAATAAACTTGTGTATGCGGTAAATTAAGTTATATAAATGCTGCTGCTGTATGCGTCTTTAGTTTAGTGCTATTGTTAAAATGAACACAATTATTGGCTTCGTGGTGATGTTAGATTACAAAGTAACTTTAAACATATTAGATTTCTTACTTGTGGGTAAAATTTCAGTTCATCCCAGTAATGCTGATCGATGATATCCTGGAATTGTTCAAACTCCAAAGGGTAATTTCTGGTTTCCATCATTGCTACGTTTATAAATTGTCCTGTATAATGAAAAAAGACGCGTAATATAATCACCAGTAAAAGAATATTTTCGAGTCCTTCAATACATTATATCAATTAAGGAGCAATCCATTGTTGCTCTTTAGAGGCGTAGACAGGGAGGAAAGGGGGGCTTACCCCCTCCAAATAACAGGGCTAGTCATTGAGTACCTATGGTACTACCAATATCAACTGTTTACAAAATCTTCCTGCTTTTTCTAACAGCAGAAATAAATGTCTCCACGCAGTAATGAGCGTATACATACTTTAACACTATCATTTGTGTATTTACATGTGTATCAATGTGCTTCGTTTTGTAAATGAAACTATTCTAACTAAATAAAATATTAGAATGACCTACGAACAAAGAAAAGCTGCAAAGTGTTATGTTTGAGTCAGTCAAATATGACATAAAATGGAAGGGTTATAAACATTGAAAACTAGGTTGAACATTTTAATGACGTGTCATTAAAATGTTCGGTAGCTAATGCTCTAATTACTTAGAAAGTCGTCCTTATTGAAATACGTGAAATTTTTTCACTAAAAATTTTGAAATTGAATCCAAGCGTTTTGGCAGTGGCTATGTTTAATTGAACATTATAAATCACGTTTCTTCTGTTACAAATAACCCTTCAAAAATATGGAAAATTACAACCCAGAAACACTGCAAATCGCCATAGAGGGACTTAAGATTTAAAAATTTTCCATGGGGAACATGCCCCCCTTCAAAAAGCTCACGGTTTTGGCGTTTGAAAATATGCCCTGCCAAAAAAGTTCATGTCGATGTATTATCATATATAACTGTCTAATTTAAATTTTGTTCCTTTAACGCATCGATCTTCATATAAAATACGCAGCTAGTGCATAAAAAAATGCAAGTACTTTTTACTCTAAAAATAACTTATTCGATTCAATTTTCTAATATTTTATTGCGTTTTGAAAGGTGCTCTATGATACGTACAAGATATTTGCTGTTTCAATTTTTTATCGACCGCTGACCTCAATCCAAATATGCAAATGTTAAAGTAAGCCCGTGCTTTCTTGCTTTCAGCATGGAGGGGGTAAGCAGCATACGAGAGCGACTATATGCATTAGTTGTGAGGATGGCGCACGGATTATTTCATTAAAAATGTCGGAGGTATTCAAAATTTTGAATGTTTCTTGTAAATTAATTAAAACACCTTATAAAATAAGTATTGTATATGACAATCATTACTACAAACGTTGACATGAGAAGGATCATACTACTGAACGTTGTACCTCACACTGTACTGTTACTGTACCTGAACTTTTTGCATGAAAACTCCAGAGAATGTATGTCAGCACCTCAGCACATTTCATGTGTTTATGTCACAATGATAACTCAGCAAAAATAGCAGACATTATAATCATTGAATACTTGGGGAAAACCTTGACTTAATTATTATAACTATAGATACTTATTGAAAAATATATAAATACACACATACACAAAAGGAGGTGATTTACTTCACGGTAATTTGTTCAGAGTTCCTCATTCTCACCATTCATTCAAAACTACACAAACCTTGAAAAATCGTGCCGTGATTGGTATGGCAACAAAATAATTAATGACGGCTCTATTATTTAAAATTTGATAGAAACACAAACACTGGAACAAAGTATTGCAGTCCTTTTAAACCTTATATTTAACAAGTCCCTCAAAATGTAAAATACTAATTATGCAAGGTGCACATAAATGTCTTGAAAATATCACGTGGTAAATTAAGCTTGTACAGTATACTGGCAAACAGATAGTGTATATTAATCATGATTCAATAACGTTCGCTAAAATGATTATCGACGACAAAAATAATTGCTGCGATTCCTGGCATTTCAATTTTTTGTGATAAATTTTTGAAACATAAAGGAAACTTTGTAATAAAAGTGAATCAAAAGGTAGCCCGATAGACGTTGTCAACAACAATGTCTTTATTTTGAATTACATAAGCTTTAACTGATTACACACATAAACTTAAAACGTAAGCAAAGTCAAAGAATTGAATGTCTGCTGCACAATCTGTCTCAATAGCATACATGAGAATAAGGTAGATGAATAAAGACATTTGGCAAATTAAAATCATGTTTATCTATTATAAGATGACGTGTGTGCAGACGAGGTTTTTATCAACTTCTGGCACTTTCGCCGTTCATAGAATCATACAATAAATTGAAAAATTGACTTCATGCGAAATATTACGGTATTTGAAAACTCACATTATTCATACTGCGCAAGCTCACTAACACATTGTGCAACACTAAATAAAAGAGGCGGAATGCTGCATAAATACGTTTCAAATTATTTGGAAAGACGAGACAAAAGACTAAGAAAACGTAAAAACGTTCAAATCCAAACCTTAGCAATTTAACAAGAAAAGAACAGAATTGACTGCACTAAAGTGTTATGCTTATAGAGGTGTTATGCTTTTATGTAAAACAAACATAACAATTGCAGCTGTTTGGACATACAACTAAATTATAAACCGGCATAAGTAACATTCTTATTTCACAGAATGTCTAAATTGACTCAAATGTAAGCAATGTTTGGGATTTAGACCTTACACGAATCAAATTTAAAAAAAACAAATACGTACCGTCAAAAATAAAATTCTTTGTCTTGCACAGTTGCAGAAATGACAAGAATTTTAGTCTGGTAATGGCGATAATTACAGCAGCCGACAAGATGTCGATAAACTTTTGTAGTTCAGTTGTAACCTTGCTGCATGCAAATACAACTAATGGTAATCCTCAATAACTACATTTACTCATATATGACGGATTGAAAATGTAATATGTATTGTTCTAGCTGTATTGAAACTAATATAGGTGGCGTTGGCAGTTTGCCAAAAATCGTGAGCTATAAGCGCGCTGAAACGACAAGTACCATGTGATTGGGAAAGTCCCTATTAGATGTTTTTGCGTCAACCAATCAGAATTCGTATACGAGTAAAATTTAACGCCTACGTGAGTTTTGATTGACATCGAGTTCCTGTTGAAAAATACAATGCGAACATATGCTGCATGCCATTTCTGAAATGGTATTGAAGTTAAAACTTCAATATCAATCTAATAAAGCTTCTTATACTAGAGCAAGCACATTCCGTCATATGCTCGTGCATTGCAAACATGACTTTGAATGAATTCTAGAGCATTTTTGAAAGACAACTTTGTCATTCTTATTATGCTCTTATTGAATGGAGCAATCCTATTGAAGAAAGAAGAAAATATTATAAATTGCGTAAATTTTTTATGTATGTGTCAAAATGCATCACCTTAATCATTGAAAGTTGCGCCATGAACCTTTTAACCTTCATTAAAGTAAATATCACAAGAGCACGTGCCAAAGATATATTGCTATAAGCTTTGGTTGTCGACTTGTCTTCATCAACATGATGAAATGACGTGTTATGAAAACGTTAATGTATGATCACGAGCATAAACCGTTCCATGTAGACAATAAACTGATCACTCTCCATGTCTTTAAGACTTTGAAAATAAGAAGTTTGATATTTGCAATACCGTATTTGACTTATCTATAATTATGGTGTTTTTACTTGCAATTCAGAGTTATGTTGGTAATCTTATTAAAATTTTTAAGAATATTTTAAAAATTAAGAATATTTTCGTATCAGGCAATGTTTACGAGCGATATTCTTTACACTGGAAACGCTAAGAATCGAATTGTTAGTCGAGAAATAGCCTTGATAAACAGGAAATGCAAAAATCTGACTCATTAGCCTCATTAATACAATAATTATGCAAGTGCACAGGTATTTTCGTTTTCTACTCTTACGTTTCTGCATTTTTTCATAAAGATATCATTTGATGCGTTTGTTAGTCATCAACATTTGCTGCTAGGAATGGGATTCATAGAACTGATTTTTTAAAATATGACAGTTAAGAAAATATATAAAGGGGCTTTTAGTTATCTAATTTTCAATAAAATATTTTGATTATAAAGATTATGTACTATAGACAACTGAAAAAGAGTTAATCGGCAGAATGTAGGAATCGATCTAGATCTCTTGTTCATTTTTCGCAATGAACTTTGTTAGTCTGGTCTACATGTGTTCAGTTAATGCAACCTTACTGGTGAAACGCTCTCTCTCTCTCGTTGAGACAGTAACACACTGTAGTCTGGTCTACATGTGTTCAGTCGATGCAACTTTACGTGTGAAACGCTTTCTCTCTTGTTGAGACAGTAACACACTGTAGTCTGGTCTACATGTGTTCAGTTGATGCAACTTTACGTGTGAAACGCTTTCTCTCTCGTTGAGACAGTAACACACTGTAGTCTGTTCTACATGTGTCCAGTTGATGCAACTTTACGTGTGAAACGCTCTCCCTCTCGTTGAGACAGTGACACACTGTAGTCTGGTCTACATGTGTTCAGTTGATGCAACCTTACTGGTGAAACGCTCTCTCTCTCTCGTTGAGACAGAAACACACTGTAGTCTGGTCTACATGTGTTCAGTCGATGCAACTTTACGTGTGAAACGCTCTCCCTCTCGTTGAGACAGTGACACACTGTAGTCTGGTCTACATGTGTTCAGTTGATGCAACCTTACTGGTGAAACGCTCTCTCTCTCTCGTTGAGACAGAAACACACTGTAGTCTGGTCTCCATGTGTCCAGTTGGTGCCACTTTACAGGTGAAACGCTCTCTCTCTCGTTGAGACAGTGACACACGGGAGATACGCATGATCAAACTGTAAATTTACATCATAAAACTCTTGAAACAGTGTCCACAAACTTCATAGCCATCTCAAAAAAATAGCAATATTCATACAAATTATAAATGTGTGTTAACTTGCAGGGTTAAAGTTCATGCATTTTTTCTCATATCGATCAGTCAAATTTGTTGTCTTTAATCCATCACATGAAATCTTTGTTAATGCCAATTTTCTAATCGTCGCAGTCACCCAGCACCCTGCAGAGTATGTAAGTTTCATACCGGAAATGCACAGTTCAGTAAGTTGTGCTCACTCGTAGCACAGTGGAAACAAAAGAAGGCTCTAGAGATAGTTCTTGCATCAACTTTCGCTATGCTGACATTGCTTTAAATTTATATTTTTAAAATGTTATGCTCATTATGAGTAGTAATTTCATTATTCAGAGATGTTCTAATGTTTATATTGATATGGAAAACTTTTTGACAAGCCATTGCTGTAGCATTATACTGTTAGTAAATGTTCTTAAATACGAATTATAGTACAGTTAAATTTGAATGCTTTTGCCAAAACTTGCCATTATTTAGGATTGTAGGTACTTGGTACGCAGTTTTATACAACAGAAATGTACGTTATTTTTAAGTGAAAATTGGAGGCGGAAGTTGGCGCCATTTGCATATGTTTTAATCGGACGTACTTTTCTATACATTGGCCACCACATTGTGGCGTTTTAAATGCTTTACAGACAAGTCTCTCTTTACATTTGACAAATTTGGTCTGTTTCAGTGATGTTTTCATAGAATGAATTTTGTGCAGCACATCATGTTGTGGAAATGTTTGAACAGTACTGGAACAGTACTAATAAAAGCAGTTTCCTAGAAATTTTTTTGTTGTTATAGATAATAAATAAGTGCATGGTTAATATTATAGTAAAAATTGATTAGTTAAAAAAAAGAAAGGTACCATTAACCTGAACTTATACGTTTAAGCTAAGGTAGCGGAAGTCCAAGTCATTTCCGCGGAAGCCAATGTGTGGAAATGGCCGTCTACATTCTTAAGTTTCTCTCATAAACAGAAACGTCTTTGCCTTTATTTCTTAAAAAAGCTAGATTAGTTTCAGAGTTGAACATTTTATTTTGAGGATCAATTTCCCTTATAGAGGATCAATTCCCCTTAGTTAAAAGGAGTGTGTGAGCGTGTTATATCAATGTTAACAATAACACAATGAACATGATATTATCAATATACATGACATGTAGTACTTGATAATGACATGTAGTACTTGTCGAAATGTTCAAATAAAAATATTTGCGTTTTAAGGAAGAGTCAATTGTTATGTGTTTTGTCAAAATACTCTTTGGCTGTCGTAATGTTTGTAGTTCTACTGATGATAAAACGAATATTTTATTCACAGTACTTGCAGAAATTATGAAAAACGTTACACATTATAAACTGCTACATTTTTGTGTATAATTGTGCAATTTTTACAATGACAAATCATGTACAAAAAGTGCGAGTGTACAATAACACCACTGATTAATGACTTATAATAGTATAATAATTTAATGTTGTTTAAATGTTCAAATTATTTGTTCTTCACTAAGTTAGAGAATGGGTGCAGTTGACAGAAAAAAACATTTCTACGTAGGGGCGAAACGAGACTACAAGAATCAAATTAATTTATATGTTAATATCTGCATCCTCCAGTCACTTTACTAATGTTTCATTAAGACAACGCTTACGATTTATAATTAGACATGCATGCGATGTTCGTATAAAACTGAGCCTGCGATATTCGTATAGAACTGAGCCTGCGATATTCAGAAAACCCGAACTTGCGATGTTCATATTACACTTTTGTTGTCGTTTGAAAATTAGTAAGGATAGGTTCGTTTTTGTTTGTGCTTTCTTCGACTCGTATCGGTGGTGATTTCTTCTGTGTTGCTTTTTTACTTGTTTCTTTGGCCCCGATTGGTTTACATTCTTCATCTCCAAAAAAAAAATATGAACAATAATCAAATTTGGATGAGTAAATGGTGTGCTCCCAAAAATCTAGTGGTTGATTATACCCGAGGCATTTTTGATGTGCATTTGCATTGTAGAAGTAAAAGAACGGGCTGGCTTCGCCAAGAAGAGCAACCTATCTAAAGTTTGAACAATTATGTTACACGATTTCAATAACTTTTATGACATACCAGATTTAGAATTGTTCTCGTCATCCCATTCGTCAATAATTATTCCGTCGACTTTATCACGTGACGATACCACAGTGGTGGATTTTTCACGACCGTACAGCAATATAAGCACACCAAATATGATAAATGCACTAACTGAAGGAATAAATGCCATCCCTTTTAAAGCAAGAGAATAATTAAAATATTTCGAGTTCATTCTTTTATCATCTTCACCAAAAGTTCGATTCGTCATTGGATTGATGTTGTTCCATCGCCATTCGTAAGAAAGTGTGGTTTTATTAGCATATTTCACCCAAGTCGTATTCTCCACAGTGTATATATAACCATTGGTATCCGTGTATTGTCCAAAAGTATATGGATCGTAAAATATTTGATTTTTCCACATATTCAGATCTAAGATCATGACAATGAATATGATGCCATAGTTAAACCATTTACCGGTCACGTGGATAGCCCAATTTTCTTTGTTAAGACAACGTGGTGGCGTGATGTGAAACGATGAAGTGTCTACACCTGGTAATTTGATGTCAAAATCTGACTGAAAATGAGGAAAATCCCAATCCTAGGCAAGAGCATTGGAATGATTTCAGAATTTAAGACAAAACGTTGTCTACCGCCTGAGAGATTCGGGTAGAAAAAAATGTAGAAGTCTCTAAAGAGCCCAAGATTGCGTTTCTATTCTGAACGACGTAAATGGTAAATAACATTTATTCGCAAAGGAAACAGTCTTATCAGTTTGTGCAGCCAAATTCAAAAATGGCGGTATAGTAAACAAAGAAAAAATAATCAAAACTTTGCGATTTATGGTGCAATATAATGTTTGTTGCCCCAATTACGAATATCCTTGCATTTAAGATGCCTCTAACATTTGAACGCAGCCAAGCAAAATCAACATTTCTTTTGATTCATGGCTGAAATCATTAAAGAAAGAGGCTAACAGTTCTGCACGCGTTTCATAATATTATTGGGATTGTTTTTTGCTTGTAGATGTTCAAAATATGAATCATAACCTGTTTGAGTAATCAATTCATTGTGAAGATGTGAATGATTGTATAATTTCCAGTGACGAAAAGATACATATTGCAGTTTCAACTAAAAATTTAAAATTTTTACACTACGTAGATACTGTAACGCATCAAATGACTCGCACTCTCCATTTTTGCCAGCTTATAAGAAACACTGAGCATATATCAATAATTTGCGCCGACCAATTACAAATCAACATCGTACAAACCTGCATTACAATCAGCAAGTCCATAACAAGAATGGCCGAAGCGAGAAACGCGCGCGAAAGTTCGTTGGAGGACACGAAGTCACGATTAAGTCGATCCCAATTGATATAATCAGTCGTTATAGCAGTGGCGACGATAATTGTGGCCACAATCCATACAGTCCAGAATGCAATAATTCGATGCCACTTACGGCGCCATATTTTTCTCAGTCGTTTTGCCCAAGTTTTATATAACTTTTCCTGTTGAAAAACAAACAAAAATTCCAATTGCTGTCGCGAGAACTTTGAAAATGTCGTGAAAGTGTGGATGAAGTCAAACACACAGGAATAAGACAAAGTGTACAAACAGGGCTCGTACTGGCTCCAAATTAGGGGCCTTGCTTTTTCAATTGATAGGGGCTCAGGAACTAACAACACAAAATTTGGAAATTTAGACTTCAGAATCTCGAGATTTCAGAGCCGTAACCAACTGAGTAAATCAGTTTGATAATATGAAAAAGAGAGAGAAGTGTTTCCATTCTTGCAAGCTGACCTAAAGTACTTCCATACATATTCTGAGTCTTTTTTTTCTTTTGAACATTGTCTATTTAATGCAGGCTTTATAAATATCTGTGACTTTTTAATTCCATATATTGGACAGGTTTCTGTAATGAGGGGCCTACTATATTTTGATTTACCAGTATATAAGCCGTAGTGTCATATGGCACAATGGTATAATGGCACAAATGCGAGTCCTGAAGCACTCAACCCAGAGTTCACGGCCAAAACTCGCTGACAAAAACCTTCTTTAATGTATTACATATATATCAAGGAAATAAATTAGCCCTACCTGTAGCATCATATCTGTTACCATCCATGCAGTAACAAAATCACCGGTCCAAGTTCCAAGGGCAGCAAATTTCATGAAGTTTGAATTTGATTGACCGAAAAAACTTGACAGCTTATATCGACCCAAATTAGATCCAAGGCTCAGTACACCGTTAAAAATATAAGAGAAAACAAACAACGAAAGGATTGTGGTCAAGAACATTATCATCCATGAGCCTTGATCATCCTGGAACATGCGCAGTTTGAGAAATCTCCATAGAAAACGCTTGTGGATTATAAACTTCCCAATCAACATGCCAGTTATTACACCACATAAGAAAAAGAAGAGTTTCAGCACAAACCATCCTCTAGGTGGATATCTAAAAATCACACAATATTGCAGAAATAATAACAAAACGTTGGATATCAAAATCATAGCTACTAAGGGGCTATTTGAGCCCTACGGAAAGGGCTAGCCCTCTCTGTAGGGCTGTATTTTACCTCCTTAATTTTACATGCAAATTCTAACCCTACATCAAGAGTTCTGTTTGAACGGCGAATTTCGGCGCTAGAATACAAAATAGCTGAAAACAAACCAATATAGTTGTCGCCTTTCGATTTTTTACGCTTTCTTAGTTTGTTTGCTCCCGTTGATGTCTTTTGTTGTCGCCATTGCTGAAAAGCTATGCCTTATCGCATGCAAATGAGATACCGAATGCGTTAGGATGGGAAATTACCAGCTCTACATGGCGAGATCTTGGGTAAACAATAGCGAGATCTCGGCTGGTAGAGCTGGCCCTCCTCTCATGTAAACGAAAAGTGATTTTATATGGAATTTTAATAACACGCGAGATCTCGCTTGTTAGGGCCAGCACTCCCTGTTGGGCAAATGTAAACAGCCCCTAAGTGTAGCCAGAAAGCATACGTAGAATAGTGATGAGCATGACAACTATAGTGATGAGGAAGATGAAAAGGCATGACCGAAAACATAGTGGTGGAAAATAAAAAGGAAAGTGTAGTTTGTAATTTTTAGAGGAGAGCGAAGACAGGCTATACGTAGGTGATCACGATGTGCTTCCACATGGCTGGACTACTGCATTGAATGCGATAGGGAGACAGGTTGAAAAGTACGTACTTGGTGTTTCTTCTTGAAAGATCGTAAATAAAGATACCTACGTTGTGGAAGATCAGTGAAAAAAAGAAACTCCCGTTAAAAAACAGGAGTAAAGGAAGATATACTACAAGATTTGTAGTGGTGCATCTTCAAGTGGCAAAAGCTAAAACAAAGATCATAAAATGACTTGTACAGTATGATACGTTGCATGGTGAGAAGGCAGTAGCGCTGCTAGCGCAATAATTGAGGGGGCAAATATTCATAAATTAATGTCATAATCCGCTGAACAACAGTACATTTCAAAGGAGCTTAATATGGCATATACTGCATCTATGAATATTGCCTATGTCCCAAATTATGGTTCTGGCAGTGATAGGGTTTTATGTAAGGAAAAAGTACTGCAGTTGCATTATTTTCTTTGAGGTTTCTCATTGAGAACTACAGAGCTTTTAAAGGGGAGCTTAGTTATGTCTTTGTTGGTTTAGAAAAACCATATGACTGGGCCCTAAGAGAGGAAGTATGGTATTGTATGATGGAATCATGGAGTATGACAGGATATCTATGAATGTATAAAAGGTGTAAAACAGTGGTATAGTATTATATTATTCTGATTAATTTGTACTCAGAAAAAAATATTAAAATCTGCTAAAGAGGTTATAAATATTAATTCAAATGTTTTGCCAACATTTGAATCAATGTTTAGAAAAGACATGAAATTTTCATTATCACAAATTGTCAACTTCTCAACTGCAGAGATCAAATAACATTGAGCAATGTGCTTTGTACAATTTGCACATCATCTTGGCTGGGACTTAGAAAATTTAAAATTATATTTTGAAATGAGCATGTTTTTGCTACCATTTCAAACCACCTTATCATGTTATTCTCAAGTTTTCCATCAACTATTTCTAAACCAGCTCAAATGGCTTGTATACTATTGACACAGGTCATTCTGTCAACTACATAAAAAATTACTTACCTAAAGATTAAAAAGCCAACATCATTTCCCACAACAGGTAATTCAGCTTCAACTACACTGTGTGATACAGGATCCTCTGCATATATCAGGAAATTGAGAAAGACAATAACATAAGCAATAATCAGTCGGCAGTAGGGATGCTGGAAATAGTATCGATTATTCTTCTTCTGCACACGGTACTTCTTTTTCGGTTCAGGATGTTTCTGAATAAAAAGGAAATGGTTGTTCGCTAAATGGTGAAAAAGAATGGTGAAAGTTGTAAAATAACACCTACAAATTTCAAATACAAATTGCTGATGCTGTTTATTACAAATTTCAAGCATGAAATTTATTTCAATTGCATTTATGCTTCCTTGGGGATTAATTTTTCCTGCATCAAACTAATTTTACATGTTGGCTGATTTCAAAAATGCGCAGTTGTTTGAAATACACTGAAACAAAAATGAGTAGAATCTAATGAAAATGAAAGAAGACAACTAAATGCATTTGTGTTGAATTATAACTTTCAGAAAACTTAATTTCTTAATAGTTATATCCAAAAACAACATTTTGACAGAGTGGACTTTTAGATTCATGATTGATTGAAAAATAAACCTTTAAAAAATTACAGTTCTAACCTCTTCCTTTTCAAGTTCAACGTTCTCGAATCTTTCAAATTCACCCGTTTGATCATTAGAGTTTTTCATTTCGTCAGATTTTGATGTATTTCGGTCTAACATTCGATCTAATGTTCCTGAAGGAGAATCCGAAGCAACAATAGCGTTTCTACCAGGTGTACGTGTAGATTCCTCGTCTATATTTGCCAAAATATTTGCCAAAATATTGGTCTGGGAAGAAAATTGCTCGTTGGCATTTGCGAGTGAAAGGTTTGTTGTTTCGAGTGCACTAGAACCCTCCATAGAAAAGAAAAACTCTGAATAAAGAGTTTCTTTGTTTTGTCAAGTTTGCAATCGTAACAAATGAAGCAAATGTCAATTAATTAGAATCAAAATAGAAACACGCTGTGAATGAAACAAAGCGAGGAATGATGATTGTTAAAATTGAAAATTACGTAGTTTGCCCACCCTGAAAACGTTGATAAGTTAAAGATCAAACCACATTTGATACACATCAGGATTTAGGAATGAAAATCTACTACAATTTTCGTTCATGCTTATATTCGATCAGAGTTTGATAAAGTCAACGCAAAAATTGAAAAGACAACACAAAAAAAGGAAGAAAACGGAGGGTTGAAATCATGAGAAAAGTTGTTATTGTTTGTGTCAATGGGACAAATGACCACCTGATGGATATGATCCAGTGTAATGACGCCAAGGCGCGAAACTTTATAAGATTATTCAACTACATAATGAAAGTCATGTTAAAACCACGAGAAGTTAAACTTGAATCCTAACTTCATTAGTATTTTCTCTGATAGCATATTTTTTAATTTTGTAAATATGCATTAAAATGACCTCTAAGCGAAAATCTAAAAGGTAAGAATTTTAAAATTTGTCACTTGATTCAAATTTGTACTATCACTACTTTGACGTATGTGTGAAACATGATTTACTGTTGGTTGACAATATTGGTGATTAATAAAGCAGGGACGATTTTCATATTAGAATTTATTATTTTCATTACCTATTATGTTTTATTTTTTAGATGTTGATCGTCCAGCTTTGTGCACTCCTGAAAAGAATTCTTGGTGTTGGTGTGTTACTTGACTCTGATGATCAAAGGATGTCAAAATATCAATCATTTACAACACCAACAGTCGTTTTCAGGACTGCTCTAACCTAGAAGATCTACATCTACAAGCAATTAGCTTTACTCATGTTTTATTTTTCACCATCATCTCCTGTAGGAAAGGGAGAAAAAATGTTAATTATACTGATATGAGCTCCAATTGTGAAAGTGATGGTAATGTATTGTACATATGGTAATCTCATAGCTACGTAGCTATTAATGAAAATTATAATTGCTCTGTTTTACAGTAAAGTATGTGGTTATACACTCTGGTTTACATAGTTAGGAGAAGGGTACAATTTATATTATATCAGTTTACATGTACCTACATAGACCCTGTTCAAAAAAATACTGATGCAACAAATGTGAATGTTGTCCCCACAATTATTTACTGGCTGCATGATTGATCTAGTGCACTATTAAACATTTTACATTGTTTTATTGTGAAAAAGTTGAGATTATTAATTTGGTAGATATGCAATAAATATATATGGGGATCCATACTTTACTTCCTTTTCAATGTCATGCCTGTATGTTCTGAAGATTTCTCTTGTTTTAAATTGCTAAGTTTTTGTATTTATGACTTCATGATATGTTTTAGATGATTTTGAAGTTGATTTTGAACCACAAACAAAGAAGGCGAAGCATAAAGAGAAGGAAATGAACAAAGAGAAGAAAGGCGAGAGAAGGTGTGACCCAAAAATAGATTTTTAATTTTGGCTAAAGGGCATCATGCTGTTTTACACAGATATTGTAGTAGATCCCTAATCCTTTATAAGCCTTTATTTTGACTTGTGTAATCCAATGTACACACTAATTTCTTCAATGTGTGATACAACAACGTCATGAGATTTTATTTCTATTGTAAGGCCTTCCGTCCGTGAAAAGTTGTACCAAAGAGATATAGAAAAGGCAATTGAAATGTCGTTAATAAGTACACCTTGTGACAGAAAGGATAATGATGTTGGACAAAATGAAAGCAGTCTTATCAAAATAAACATTGAAAGTATTGGTATGTAAAGATATAAATAAAACTGTGAAAATTTGGAAAGTGATTACATCATGAAAGAGGAAAATAGGTTGGGAGGCTGCCCTAATCTACGCAGTAATGAAGTAAATCTAATTCAAACAATGATTTTAGAATTTTTAAAGTTTTTCATTGTTAAGCATTATATAATGCTGTCTTACATTAACCTCAAATTCACATTTTTAGTAAGACTCTTTTTCCCCATCACAAAGCCCTTAATTTTAAACTCATAATGTTTACAGAGTAATCAGTCAAAAGCACAAGTTTTGAAAATGACAACTTTGTTATACTGACCTAAATGAGGACAGAGAAGGATTTTCTCAGAGTTTTATAAACTAGTCACCACTCTTAGTGGTCTGAACTTAACTGTTGAATTTAGGCACATAGTAGCATATATCCATCAATCACAGTTATAAGTGGATAGCCTTAAAATTAGGAGTGTTTAAAAGTGCGGACATATGAAGGTGTGTATGGATGAAGGTGTGTATGTATAAGGGTGGGTATTTATAAAGTTAAGGATGTATCAAGTTGTGGATGCATGAAGGTTTGGATGTATGATGGTGGGGATGTATGAAGGTAGGGTGGGGATACATAAAGGTGGAGTGGGGATTTATGAAGGTGGTGATGTATGGATGAAGATAGTGATGTACATATGAAGATAGTGATGTACCTATGAAGATAGTGATGTGTTGCATGTAGTACTACTTTTAATGGTGTGATGAACTTTCTAATTGACTTTTTGCATGGTATTGTAGTGTGTGATTCAAAATGAAAATACATGATCATTATTATGTAAGATGCAGTACCATGTACATATAATGCTGATTGCTCTCTTACTCATATAATCTAATTAAGATGATGATGCACGCGACACCTGCGATGCACGTGACACCTGCGATAAGAGTAGTGCTAAAGTGAACAAGATTCATGACAATGATGTCGAAAGTGATTCCAATGAAGAAAAAATTGTGAACCTGAAGAAAGGCAAGAAAATGTCTGGTGGGAGTCATATGTTTTCCGGTAGGCTTTATTTTGTATTTATAAAATTGTCATTGATTTCAAGTGTCCTATTTGCATATAATGAAATAACCAAAATGCAGTTGGCATGATTATACAATCAAAATATCAAAACAGTTTGATACATACGTAATTGCATTTGCTCGCAGCTTGTCTTTCGTGTTGTTCTTATTAGTTTTTCTTCTGGCGAGTGCTTATAATAACAAATTTTTGATACACATTTGTTTTAAAAAGAGTCATCCGACTACAAATGCACCCCTGTTGTTGGTACAAAGGAGAAAAAGTCATCACCTATAAATTCTTCGAAAGAGAACGTTAAGCATTTGAAAGATGAAGGGAAAATTTCCACATTTTCTTGCGTTGGTACAAAGGAGAAAAAGTCATCTCCTACAAATTCTACCAAAGAGAACGTTAAACATTTGAAAGATGAAGGGAAAATTTCCACATTTTCTTGCGTTGGTACAAAGGAGAAAAAGTCATCACCTGTAAATTCTTCTAAAGAGAGCGTTAAGCATATGAAAAATGAGGGGACAATCTCAACATTTTCTTCACCTAAACTGTTTACAAACAAAACCAGCGGTTCTTTTTTTCTTGGCGGTGTTAAAATTAAGAATCCAGGTCCGCCATTACGTGTAGGGCTATCAAGAAACCATAAAGTAAAACCGCTTCACAATAACGTTACGCTTTCTCAATAACAACTTACTTACACCAAAATATTTTATCTCTGTTTTGATAAAATATGTGAAATGAGTTGTAGGTGATTTGTAAATATTTCAATGTATAATAAACATTGTAATTATACACTAAAAAAAACCTCAAAACATGTCGTTATGGCCAATTGCTGGAGAGTGTAAAGTCAATCTATGAAAACCACCAACTAAAAAGTATTTGGTAAGCCTTCCTCCAGCCATGCTATATACCTATGAAGGATTTTAGGCTGTCACGTGATAATTTCCCCAAGCAATGTGGATACTCTCCCGCTGTTCATTCTTGGGATTTTAGCTTTGGACCATAGTTTCTACAGTTCTTACTCGCTACATAGTCATTGACATTTCTTTAGCTGTAACCCACTTCACTAGCTAGTTCGCTTTTGGAGTAGCATTGATCTTTCGACCTTACCAATACCATTCCACGACATTCAACATTGATTCTTGGCTTTGGGCGTGTAATTCAGTAATTTGTCTAGATTTCTCTTATCCGCTGAATAAATTTTCTTTCACTAAGTGCTGTTGGAATGAAGTTCGACTATATATGTCTTAAAGTGAATGGTTTGAACCCGGGAACTCTGAAGATGACTACCGCTAAGGTTGTCGAAACGTCAGTCAACATCAACACGAACAGTCCTTCTAAGGACTTTATTGTCATGGGCGATCTACATCTACAAACATATATATACGTCAAATGTCATTTGTGACTGTTGTAGGACATCTGATCGTGGTTAAATATCATTAACAACAAAATGTAAATTTGTATTATAAGCTATGACGTCTTCCTATATAAAAAAAGAAAATTAAGCAGTTCTTTTTGACAGTTGAATGGTGAAATTATACGGTCTATTATAAGTTGTAAGGGAGAGAAAGTCGTTTGAAACTTGGTTTTTGGCTTGCGCTTGTAGACAACCATTGACATTTGCATATTTAAATTATTGGTTCTCTCTTGCACATTAAATCTCAAGAGTATATAACTTCTACGCAAATGCCCTCAAGAGCGTTAACTGTACCTCATAAAAATGTTTCTACTTTTTTCAAACTTATTTCTGATTCCTTTTTGTATACAATACGTAATACAATTATATGGCTTTCAATACTGGCTCCTTAAACTTATCCATACTAAATTCCATCACCATTGTCTCTTAAATGATTTAAAAGTGGCAGGTTTGCATGTCTATCCTACTATTTAAAACTTTTGCCATTAACCTTAAATGATGCCCAAGTACTGACATGCAAAAACTGGTATTTGCGTTAGATTTCAATTGCCTCGGTTGCCTGTTTTGACCAAAACTCCCCAGTGATCTGTTTTATAAACGGCAGAAACCTAGGTCCTTTATACGTATGTCGCACGTTAATCTTTCAAACCTGGTCATTAGCAACACAAATCGTTTGTGGTTTTGTTTGGTTTCTATGGTAACCTTGATGTGCGAGTACAAAAAACGCCCTGTTCTTGCACTCAGTTCGTGTCAGCAACGTCTACGAGAAAAATCATTTTGGAATGTCTGCTTCATGTAAATGACGAACTGTGAACATGTTACGATAAAGCATCAGTTCATCACTGCAAGCAAAGCTTTATTTTATACTGGACGGGGTATATTTGCCCTACGCCCTCCATTTTGACACGACATCAATAATATTTTGTTCCAGAAATACTCAATGTTTATAGTTTTGTGTTTTGTATTGTAAACATAAGTCGTAAACCACGTAGCTACTCAGAGGCTGCGCAAGCTCGATAATTGAAGGGGGCAAATATTCATATATGCATGTTCCATTTTGGTAGCTCCTAACAGTCGATTCATTTCAATTAAATTCATGATCAACGTTTAGATATACTAATAGCATGAAAACCTACATTGTCTTGTATTTTTAAGCTTTTGTAAGTTACAAGAAAAATATGCATGTGTGTCTATAAGTTTTCAAAGCTCCTTTGTCGACGCATCCTTGTAAAAATCTCACTTTTGAATAATGTTTTTCCATATCTGTACAACATCATACATTAAGGCATTGTCAATCGTTGAAAAAATGTTTTGGGATAAAGAAACAACAGTCTCAGCCTCAAGGCCAAAATATGTCAAAATGTCATTATACGAAGTTTGCATTCTGTACAGTTCTTGCTCGCTGGGTTAGATTGTCCATCTTCTAAATGTGTTTTTCTCGCGATATGACTCTAGTCAGTCACGTGCTGCTTTCATTGATGAATTCATTGGTCCCTGTCCACCCACGTACGCGACTTTACCTTCTTCGATGGCGTAGAGTCTCTCAGGCAACGCTCCATAGGCCACATTTGCATTATCGTCCATTGTATCTACCATTATTTGACATGGAAAATTGAGTTCTTGTAGCTTTTGAGCGGCTTTGCATCTTTCATATTGATTTCGATGCATTCGTACTTTGATAAAGTTATTCTAAAATGAAGTGAAATTAGCTCCCTTCATGACTTTATCAAGAAATCTTAAGACATGTTTTTCTATACACAAAAGATTGTCAAATAATGAAAGGGACGATTCTTTTTCAAACAACATCTTTGTTTTTGCCTAATGAAAGTATAGTTCAAAAGAAGTTCAGTATTTCTGCCTTTGAAAAAGGTCCCATTTTTATCAGTAAGATAAAAAAGCTATTATTATGTCAGCAGAACATATTGTCTGGCTATATAGCCTACTAAAATGTTATGAGTGTTTGCAAAAGATTTTTACCTGATGAAATTTATATACCGCGTTATTATTATTCTGGTTGTACAAAGAATGTTTTATAAATTACGAAATTGCTGTAGCCGTTTAATTTCTCTTTCATGTTATACTGGAAAAACTATTCTTCATAATGAAGTTTATTGAATTACATAGCTGTAATATAACTCAACGATTTTCATCCACTCAAAATTATGTTGAAGAAATAAAAGAATTTACCTTGAAAGACCATCCATCAATGGGATGTGCTTCTTCAATATATACAACGACAAAATCCACGATATCTGAAAAGTCTTCAGCTAGAACACAAAATTCTTTCAGTTTATTCATAAACACTGGGCAACTACAACTGCCAAAGTACACGACTAATGCTCTCTCAGCCTGAAGTAAATCAAGTAAACGCACACATTTCTTTCCATCGGGTGTTACCAAGGGAATATTTTGTGCCTCCAGTCCGTTTCGCATTTCCTTTGTAATATCGACAACTCTTGATTTCCAAACTGAGTTAAACATTTCCCATCCAAGAAATGTTTCCCAGCAGTTGGTTTTAGGGATATTTAATCCCGTCACTTTTCTCATACCATTCTCGAGCACAAACCCTAAACCTAGTTATTCATAAAAATAATAAGACATTAATCATGATCATTTTGACAGAAAAAAGGAAGAGATGTCATATATTGGTGTGAAAGTTAGTGCACCATTATAAGGCTTTTTTTGTTATGTGAAAGCACGTACTTGTTTATCAAGACAATATGTATGTGATTAGAAAAAAGTTTTATGGTTGATTGGACAACCAGTACAAAGCCCACATTTAAATTTAAGAACAGTCCAAATGCATACAAAAATTTTATGTTGCCTAAAATACGTATGAACTAGCTGTCTAACATAAGATTGTATTACATTTATATCTATATACGAGTGTCTATAATGTATATGCCATTTTAAGCTACGAATTCCGAAATTTTATGTGAACTTGTAAAAGCAATTCGATCTACCGTTACTAGCTTGACCATTGTTCTGCGAGGTCTAAATTTTAGGCCCTCTTTACATAGCTAACAAGCTTTTACTTCTGCTATCTGCATATTTAGTTTATAAAATTTTACATCTGTAAAATTTGTAAATTTTAGTTTGAGCTTATTTGCTTGCATTACAGGAAAAAATGACCAAAGAAACGAATGATTGTTTTGGTTAAGGCGTGACATATAAACAACGTAGGTTTCTCACCTGGAATATAATAAAATATGCTACAAATAGCAAAAATGACTGTTACTTCAACGGTAACCCAACATTTAACTGCGATCCTGTACATGCTTTCACCTTTCATGTCTGTCTTGAGTGACGTTTATGTGACTGGGAAGATTTCGATTCATTCATTTAGTGTATTTGAAAGTTCTTAATTTGCATTTTTATTCTTTTAAAAAGCGTAAAATCAAGGTATAATATTTCCTGTTCTCTGTTTTCATGGGACATTTCAAATGCCAGGAATAACTGAATACACATGAATAACGGACCAACAACCAGAAATTTTCTCTCACAAAAATTTCCATGCCTAATCCTTGAAAGAAAAGTAAAATGTATGCGAGACATGTTTTGAAAATTTCGTGCAAAGAAATCATGTCACAGCAAAATAACATGTAATAAACTTTAATATTCAATGCGAATGACGTAGATACGATAGTGTTAATCACGCTCGTAAATGACCACAATTGTGTTTGATAGTTTCATCCGTGCCAGCAAATGTTTGTAACGATGGAAAACATCAAGGAAGAAAATTCAGAACATTCTTTACGCTATATAGGCATAGACGTTTTAAAGCATGTTTATATTCAATGAATGCAATCGAACTTACCGTAAAAGGACACCCTTGAGACCATGACTTGGTGTTCTTCTGTCGGAGGTGTCCGCTTATGAGATGTTTGTTAATTTTTGCATAATTATAAAAATTTTTTTAAAAATGACTGTTTTTACAATGTTTTGAAATATGATTATATACTTCATAACGACTGAAAAGTCAAACATCTGTACAGTGAAACGTTTGAGTCCATAGACTTTATCAAATAACAAATTCATCATGTATATTGTCATTGCATAGACACAATGCTTAAAGTTCACATGACATGAAACAATTTTCTTTGAGGCACATAAATGCGCAAACCTGGAGAAAAAACTATAGTGGTTCATGAAGAAAAATGAAGGAGACGAAGGAATTTACATGCATTACAAAACAACATCTATTTATATACCGTAATATGTCAATTAGTCGGGATAATTACTAATTTGACTGAAAATAGATCAAGTGCAACCGCTTACAACAGTTTATAATGTTGTTTGAGAAGGCTGTTTTGGTATTCACCTCCGCTAAGGAAAGGTTGTAAATGTGTCTTCACATACAAGAGGCCTTGGCTTTTGAGAAGTGTCTAAGTTTCTTGATTGTATACGCCTTT